TCAACAAGCATTGAATCAACAAGCATTGAATCAACAAACATTGAATCAACAAACACTGAATCAACAAACATTGAATCAACGAGGATTGGATCAACGACTATGGAATCAACAAGTACTCAACCGACAAGTACTTGATCGACGAGCAGTTGAGCGAGAAGCATTCTTTCAACAAGCACTCAACCAGGTAGCATTCAACCAGCAAGCACTCAATCAAGAACCGGTCAAGCAAGAACAAGCCAGAGAGCAGACAGACAGTCAACAACTAGCTACCCACCCAGAGATTCACTCCAAAGGTTCACTGGAAGCCGTGACCAATAACAAGCGCCGGCTAACGGAGCCAATGGACATCATCGATCTGACCATTGAGTCTGGACCCGAAGACGAGAATCAACGGCCGACAAAGAGAATCAAAAAGGAGATCATCGATCTGACCGACTCGGCAGACGAAGCTGACGTTTAGATACGAGAGTCATGCCAAGGCGGAGGATAATATGTCAACAGCCTTGGATTGTTTATGTCTTGTGCAGCAGGTTTTCAGCTACAGCGCGGGGGAAGGAGATTGCAAGATGACGATGTGTATGATTTGTTGTGCGTTAGAGATACCCATTTGTATTTTCAAGATACTAGGTCATAGGGGAGGATTGTTCACAGCTTCTTGCCGAAATACATTTCAAACCTCATGACGTCCAGCTCAGACCCTCCGTACGGAACCTTGGCCTTTTTCATTCCGCGAGTATGTCGCAGGTGTGCTTTGTAAATACAGCTAAAATGGAATTATTGAATATCCCCGCAACTGCACGCTAAGCTGAGCTTAAATTGACGATCATTGAAGCCATCGTATTGTATTGGCTAGGTTGTGGGCCAAGGAAAACAATAATCGCTCTGTTTGTCATGTTAGTGTGTTGCACATGAAGCCCACAAATGAAGTTGTGATGAACATTTAGACTTGTACCTCGGCTCGGTGATTTTGTAGCTCTGTCGATCCCCAAATAATGTTTTGTTGCGGGGTGAGGAAAAGGAATGATAAGGAGCGATAAGTTATTGCCCCCTTCGAGGAAGAGGATGAAAGCATTATCTCATCAGCCATGGGAGGTGTCACAACCAGCAGTGCCACCAGCAGCAGCATCTCGGGCCTCTGGGCCCAGATTGTCCGCGAATACCCTCCAGGACTGATCGAATTTGGGGTGACCATCGCCGCCCAACTGATCGGATTCTGGTTGGTATGCTCCATCTATCTGGCCATCGACCTGAGCTTCCCCAACTTCTCCAACCGCCATAAGCTACAGAGCGAGCGTCGCCAGCCATCGTGGACGTCGATTAAGCATTGCATATGGCACGTCCTGGTCGGGAATCTCTCCTCCACGGTCTTCCACATCGCCATCCTCTGGGCCTTTGGCTCCGACTCCAGCTCCGGGTCCAGCTTCCAGCTCTCCTTCTTCACGATCACGCCCTCGTTCCCCTCCATCAGTGAGCTCGCGCTACAGTTCGCCATCGCGCTGCTCCTCCGCGAGATCCTCTTCTACACGGCGCACCGCGCGCTGCACCACCCCAGCGTCTACGCGCGCATCCACAAACAGCACCACAAGTTCCTCGCGCCCATGGCCTTCGCAGCCCAGTACGCCCACCCTGTCGAGCACCTCCTCGCCAACACCATCCCCATCGTGCTCCCGCTCATGCTGATGCGCGCGAATATCATCACCTTCGGCCTGTTCCTGACCTCGCAGCTGGCGGAGACGTCCAGCGTGCACAGCGGGTATGACTTTGCGGCCGCGAGGCAGCATGATCTCCACCATGAGAAGTTCCGGGTCAACTATGGCGCTATCGGTCTCATGGATTATATACTCGGGACCGATGTGGTGGGGTGGGATAAGCCGAAGGATGGGGGGAAGAAGGAGGCTTGAGTTTAGAGAAGGTAAATATAGAGTATATGAACATAGAGCAGAGGAATTCAAAGGGCTGCCGAGTAGGGAGACGAGAATTGGATGTGTCTGAGTTGAGAACGGAGAAAGACGAAGGAAGACATGGTGAGATATTGCCCATGTTCGGACTTGAAAGTTAAGTCCTATTATTCAAGTTCCTTATCTGCTCTTTTAATAACTTGATCTTTCGCTCCTCCTGTTGCATCATAGTTGTTGCTTAGCTAGTGGCATAGTGCAGCTGGTAATGGGTTATTATTCAGACCCCGCTTTCATGTATATATCTCTCCATAATACCCAAGATATCCCAGATGCTATAGACTTTTGCTAGTTGTAAGGTTCCTACCTACCTTCCTATAGCTACCTCGGTAGGAAATGCCAGAAACTCGTACCGCAAAAATCGAAAGCTGTCCGGCGCCATCCATTGCTGACCTCTCCAAGTTTGGACGACTACAGTAAAGCAAAAAGTGCTTCCGAATAGTTGCTGGCGTCAACATATTTTTTTATTTCCGAAATCTGTATCTATAAGAAGACTACTAGTAATACTACAAAACTTCTACATTACAATTCTCATGAGAGGAGTTCTATATATTTATACAAAGTTAACGCTACAAAGCTTCTACAATTACAGTTATCATGAGAGGAGTTCCAGATATTTTTACAAAATTGGTAGTTAACATAGCCCAAAAATGCGACATAGCAAAGCCGGTAGGCTTGCATTGACGCACCCCGCATCGTAGATCTCCGGGAAAGCAAGATTAGTACCAACAAGGTTGTCGTACGCAAGGCGGACGAGAGACTCCTTAGCAGGGTCATATAAAGGCCAGCCGCCTTCATAAGTCGTCAAACCATGGACAGGGTCTTTTGCAAACGCAGCCCACGCCCCTTGAATGTAAGTCTCAAACTCGATTTCCTCTGGAGTCGAGCTTGGAGTCGCGAACGTAGTTCCGAATAGCAGTGTTAGTTCGGCACCGTGGTACGCTCCTCCTTGCCAGCTGATGTTGGTGTTGGGGAATACGCCGTGGTATCGATATCTCCAAGTGGGATTGTTGGCTGCTATGCTGGCGTTTGCGCGGATTCCGGCGGGACAGGTGTAGCCTGCGAGGTTTGCTTCATCCCAGTCGGAGTCTACGAAGGTAGTGTTTGCCAGGGCGAGCTGGGTGCGGAGGACCCCCGACTCGTAGTCGGCGCTTCCAAGTAACATCGGGATGCTCGCAGCGGTTTGTTGGGAATAGTTGGAGAACACGATGGTGTTGTCTACTGTTGGTCCGAAGGCGCTGAACAAGGCGTTTAGGCCGTCGGAGGGAACCGATTTTAAGAGGGAGTCGTGTTCCACGTTACGCATACATGCCAGGAGCGCTGTGGAGTCCGTCGACGAATCTCCACAGCCAACGGCTGCGGAGACGCTATACCAGGCTGCTGCTGATACACTTTCCGGGTAAGGTAGTCCAAAGCTAATAGTTGTTCCTGATTGTGCTATGATTCCAGCTACGATTGGGTCCGAGGCCCAGGCGTAGGCGTAGTAGTCTACCGATGAACCACCCGCTGATTGTCCAAATAATGTGATTCTTGCTGGATCTCCGCCGAAGTTTGCAATGTTGTCCCGGACCCATTCCATGGCAAGACGTTGATCTAGGAACCCCACATTGTTCTGAGCAGTAGGGTTTCCTGGAAACCCAAGAATGGACACTCGATAGCTGCCGCGAGGGTTAGTATATGATTGAGCAAAAGTATATTTTCTTACTTGAGTGTCACAATGATAACATCTTCCCGCTCCGCAAGAGTAGCACCGTTGAATATAGGCGTTGAGGAAGTTCCGCCAGAAAATGCTCCTCCGTGAACGTATACCATTACAGCCTTCTTCCGCTCTCCTGATTGGGGTTTCGACCAAACATTCAAGAACAGACAATCCTCGCTATACACTACATCTGGGTTGCCGATGAGATTGAAAAGCTCGAGCCCAATAGCAGTGACATTTGAAGCTGCAATTAAATCTGGCGATGGAGTAATATTCTGGGATGGAGGTTTAGGACATGAGGAGCCCTGAGACATATCAGTTACGGTAAGTGAGGAGGAATCAATTTATAAACCCACGAAGGCAGAGCCATTGACCAGTGAAGACCCAGCATATTTCACAGGCGCCGCAAATCTGAGATTCCCCACTGGGGGTTGTGCATAGGGAATTCCAAGATATTCTGACACCTCTGGGTATTTTGCTGCTGCATGGCCAGCGATAGGCCCGCTGCTGGTCTTAACGATTTGGCCAACCGTGCAATTGCCATGTTTGCTGGAGAATTGCGGGGTGGCCCAGGTTAAAGGGAGCGATAAAGCAGTACACACAGTGGACAGCTGCATAATGAAATGATAATACAGGCCTAGCGAATGATGGTAGGAGTTAGAGATAGTGGGACTACCTAGGTACTGTACTTCATATAGCTTTGGCTGACGGAAAACCCTCGACCTTGCTCCCGGAACTGAAATGACTCTGCTTATGCACCGGGGTAGTCGACGACGTCAATATGAGTAACCTAAGCCTGCGTGTGCGGCGCTGCTCTCGCCGCAATCTGACATCTGTATGAAGTACGTAGTATTAACTACTACCCATTCATCTGCCCCCTATTTCACAGTTCCGCATTATTGTCGTGGAAAAGAAAACACCACTGGTCAGCAGACCGCATTTACGCGGGATAGGGCCCCACACCATTCCTCACCAAAAGTTATAAAAGAAATCTAAAAGAATATAATCAAATCTGATGGAATGATCCGTCTTAATTTTCAATTTAAGAAATTCTTTGGAGAATATGCACGTCATGTCGCAGGCATAAACAATGTACGACAAGTACTTGTTTGTGCAAGATTAAGGAGTATTTGTTTATGAACGGCTTACATGTAGTTTAAGAGTCTTGGGGACATGGTATCTCAAAAGCTTTGAGGACAATCTATAATAACTGTTATAGTGCTAGAATTTCGATTGACTAGATGCTTCCTTTGTTTTAATACATATCATGATATTTTTCCAACAAAAATAATATTACAAATTATACCGCTTTTTCTCTCGGGCCCGAGAGACGTTCAAAGCGATCAACACTCATTACAAATGTCCCTCGTCCGCCCGTCAAACTCCGCAAGTGCTTCAAATACCCAACCATCTCCTTCAACGGCACCCTAGCAGTGACTTGTCGCTGCTGGCCCGGTCCGGCTTTATCCATACCTCCGCCAGAAGCAAAGGGGTCAGGCGGTGCATAAATCCTCTGCGGATCTATCGATGGTAGGTCGCTGGATGCATCTTCGTTGCCGTCATTTTCGAGGGAGAGAACGTGCCCTCCACGAGCAGAAGATATGTCGTGCACGATGGTTCCAAGGGACCCTTCGTTGCAGCTGATAACAACGTTCATGACTGGTTCCATGAGTCCAATATTACCGCCATCAAAGGCCTCGTTGAGTGCAGCCCCTACTGCGAGTCTGGATGCAGAAGAAAGTGCAGCGGGTGAGGTATCGGAACCGAATAAATCTGTTGTAGATTCGAACTTTAGGGTGACATGGCTTGCATGAAGAGGAAAGTTACGACGAGGACCTCGCGCTAAAGCTGCAACAGCTCCATTCACCAGCGCTGCTTGTATAGTTGGTAATGGAAGATCGGTAGGCAACGAAGAATCTCCTTCAGAACTATTCTCGCCGAGAGATCCTATCACCAAGATAGTGATGCGATTTCCGTCACGTTCAACAGTGTGACTCTCAGTTGGAGATACCTCATCGATGGGACCAACGCTAGCCTCACATGCCGCCTTTGCCTTCTTCCCAGCTATATCGCGATCGAAAAGGACCCGATGAGCCGCTGTTGGTGATAGCACACACTCTCGGTAGCTAATTTCGATGTTGCCCATGGTAGCCTTTGCTTTGAAATCGTTGACAAGCCGATCTCGGGCTATCTCCAGATGGAGCTCACCCATGCCGCTCAGCAACATCTGTCCTGACTCTTCATCAATATTGACGTGGAGACTAGGGTCCTCTCTCAGCATCAGCTGGAGGATCTCCTTGACATTCTTTTCTTCGCTGAGACTGTCCGGCTCGATAGCTGCGAAGAATACCGGGGGTGGGATTTCTATAGGACGCAATTGGAGAGTGTTTAAAGGCGCTGGCGGTCCGGTCTTGGAATTGTGTCCATGATATGACACAAGCGTGTCACCTGTCCGAGCATGCTTTAGACCGGCGATAACACCAATTTGTCCTGCTGGAATATGAGATATTTCGAGGGCATCAGATGCCTGCATTTGTAAAAGTCGCTGCGCCTGCTCTGAAACATGGAGATTCGTATTCCACAATGATGCATTGCGTTTTATCGATCCAGAATAGACACGAATATAGACAAGCACACCTCGTTTGGGATGATTGGCGACCTTGAATGCTAAAGCACAGCCTTCAATTTGGGCGACTAATTCCTTGGGGGAGTGACTCTTCTTCACCATCCGTTTGTGGGCAGCAGTGATGACTGGGAGATCACCTCGGAGAAGTTCCGAAAGCTTATACTCTTGGCCATTCAAGCTGATTTCTGGATCTGGCCGTTCCTTTGGATTTGGAAGGAAATTGTCGACGGCGTCTAGAAGTGGCTGGACACCAATATTTCGGAAACTGGCCCCTGCGAAGACCGGAATGAGCCGTCCAGAGCCATCGAGAATACAGCGTCTCAAGCTGTCTCTAATAGCTTGCGGGGGCACTTTCAAAGCGTCATCGTTATGTTCCAACCACGTTGATAATAGCACCTCGTCAAATTCACACAAGATTTCCACTAGGGCGAGCCTGGCTTGGATGAGCTCATCTCGTAGCCCAGCATCGTATTGTTTGAGTTCTTCCATGTCGTATGTCTGAATTCGTTTACCATCTCCGCCCTCCCATTTCAACGCACAGAGATTGATCGCATCTCCCACGCCCATAAATTTGCCTTTGCCACCTTCCCACCATGGAATTTGGCAAATGGCTGGCCACCCTCGCAATCTGGTACCAACTTCCTTGACAGTTCGTTCAAACGCAGCACCGTCTCGGTCCAATTTGTTGACGAAGACAATTCGGGGAATGCTATATCTGTTCGCCTGAGCCCAGACCTTTTCTGTCTGGGCTTCAACACCAGCAACGCCATCAAGGATGCACACCGCACCGTCAAGAATCCTCAATGACCGAAGAACTTCAAATGTAAAGTCGGCATGGCCTGGTGTGTCGATAAGATTGATGGTGTGAGGGATATGGCTCTGTGGCACACCCGTCTTTACATCCGAAACTTCTCCTAGCGGGGGCCAGTGGAAAGTCACAGCAGCAGACTGAATTGTAATGCCACGAGACCTTTCAGCTGGAAGAAAATCGGTAACAGTAGATCCCTCATCGACGTCTAAATGGGCGATAAGTCAGACGTATGGTAATCGGATATTGTACATAGTCTCGTGATCCGGATGGAAGAGTGGGCCCGAAAAGGAGAAGATTGAGATCGGAGAACACCAGACCAAATAATAGAGGAAAACGCCTAGGTGAAAGAAACTTAAGAAATCGTCATTTCATACCTCCTATCCGACGAGTATGGCCACTATAATAGAGCATACGCTCCGTGGTTGTTGTTTTCCCCTATCATTGCAATTAGTTATTTTTCTCCACAGGATACTAGAATCAAGGGAGCTCACTGCATCGATGTGTGCAATGATGCCAATGTTTCGAGTCCTCTCAATACTGGGTTCATGGTAGCCGGAATGGTGCGACGACGAATACCGGGAGCATGACTTAACTGCTCCCAATTGGCCTCCATGACGAGAGACAGTAGGTCGGAGGCATATCCGCCAGGACCGGCATGACTTCCTCAAAATCACTGAGTTCATCACCTGCTAAACAGTGACACCGACGTGGAAGTTCCGGGGGGTGCTACTAGAGACATTGTGATTTAGGGAGGATGAAATGAGGTATTGGGATATATGTGACTTAGTAAGCAGTCACGTCGGTGGCTGGTAGTGTGGCTGATGTCGTGCCTGACAGGCGAGGCGGGATCGCCACGCGGCTAGCTTCGATGATGGCGCTTGTAGGCGGGAACCTACAGAGCCGACGACGGGAGCTGTTCCCTCGGTGTTGATACAGCTTCAATTGAACATTGCAATCCGCTAGCTACGATCTGTCTTTGATAACTCTTTTTGTCCTTGCACATGGAATCTAATAGGATAACACAGCAATTAGGCTTGATTTGACCGCCGTCGCCCCGGTAATCCTCAAACTTCCACCCCGCCTCCTTTTTCAGTTCGACGGGCACAACAACTATCTCGGCCATGGACTACTCCGCTTCAATACACGATTCCGATAATCCAGCAGGTCCCTCTCCATGGGGATCCTCACCTGTTGCTTCTCCCCGACATGGGAGAAACAGTTCCTTTGGCGCTTCTTCCCAGGGGGCAGAATCACCAACACCATATAGCACCGGCCAGTCAGGCAACGAAAGCTATTCACGAGATGATGCGAGAGGAGGAGCATACAGCAGGCCGGAAAGCAGCGCTGGAACAGATGCCGGAACAGAATCCGTGACGGGGAGTGATGTTCAGAGACCGGATACTGCGCAGTCTACCCAAAGCGCCTCTGATCAACAAGTCGCACCAGCCCAGCCAGCACCCCCACAGCAGCGGCAACCACAACATCCGCAAGGTCCGCAATACAAGCTACAAGCAAAAATCACTGGTCTTGAGCGGACCGGGAGAAAAGATCCTATATTGAGATTTGATGTACATGTAAGCTGGCTCTGTTCTCTTGAACCCTCTGATAAGTGCTGATCCATTAGACCAACCTCCCGAAGTTTCGCACTACCCAATTCCGCGATGTCCGCCGAACGCATTCCGAATTTATGAAACTCGCAGACCACCTTATCTCGTCGAATCCGGAGGCTATAGTCCCAGTCGTACCTCCTGCGTTGACTTCGGCTGGGGCTGGCACAGACGAGGACGAGGCGCGAGTCAAAGCATCACTACAACGATGGCTCAACTACGTGTGTTCAAATGAAATTTTAATGAGGGATGATGAGATGGTGCTCTTTGTCGAGAGTGACTTTGGGTACAGCCCGATGCTCAAGAGAAAGCAGCCCGCAACCGGAGTCCGACGAAGAGTCATCAAGCAATTTGCACCTCCTCCCGATGACACGCCAGAGCTGCAGGAAGCACGACCTGCCGTCAAACTGTTCTATCTTGGCACAATGGATGCAGGGCATAAGGTTGATAAACTTGTCAAAGCGCGAAGAGGTAAGTTGTAGACTGGCTATCTATTGATGACAATTTTCTGACCGCGCAGGGCTGGGACTTGCGGAATCGGACTTTGGCGTCAAGTTGGGTACAATGAACGCACAGGAGCCACATCAAGGGCTTGCAAATGCTTATCGCAAACTTGGCAAAACGATACAAACAACTGGAGACTATCATGCTGCCCAGGCCACTGCCGAGGCAACTACCATTGGGGACCCCCTCCAATATCACTCGCAGGATGCATTCGTCGTCAAGGAGACTCTGACCAACCGTCACATCCTTCTCCGAGAATTGCTGCAAGCCCAGCAGTTGACGCGGAGCAAGTTAAATGCAGCTGACAGGCTGAAGGCGAGCTCATCTGTACGGCGGGAGAAGGTTGATGAGGCTATCTCTGCATTGGACGAGGCACGGAGCAACGAGCTCTACCTGCTTGGTAAGACGCAACGGGTCACCGCCAATCTCCTCCAAGAGCAGCGCCGCTGGGTTGCCAGGACCGCGGCGGACTTAAGGCTTAGCATCCGGGAATATGCTGTTCGTGAAATCGAGGCGGAAAGGCGTACTCTGGCAACGCTGGAGAGCATCAGGCCCGACATCCGAGCAATCGATTCTTCCGGTGGCTTGAGTCGGCTTGGACGCGAGGCGCATCCTGCGGCGCGACGCGCTAGCCTAGCTGCGAGTCAAGGGCCGAAGGGCGACGCCTGGAGCGGTGTGCCTCGACGCCCCGACGGACTCAACAGAAGTATTTCAGGCAGTTTCATGGCAAATGTTGCGGAAGAGGCCAACGGGGGCGACGAGCAGGGCCCGGGCCGAGAGAGGGCGCTGAGCGGTGGGAGCATTGGAGGTCTTAAGGGGGTGAAGGAGGAGGAGGATGAGGATCGAGTCGACGCCCGCAATGCTGCGTCCCGATTGGCAACGAGGTAAGGCGATATCGAATCCAGTCCTAGGCTATGCGTCCGATGCTAATCAATGGTACCAAGCACGTTCTGAGCCTGGAAGCAACCCGACAGAGTGGAATGGTTTGCGAATGCTACGAGGGACGGTAGCTCCTTGTCACTACCGCCGGGTGTACTCCCGCACCATGCCCATATCATTCGTTATCCAGTGGCCTTCGCCCGTTTGCAGCGATGCAGAGTGGTGTTTTCTGGTCCCGGGAGCGGAGGTCACCATGTAAGGATGAACGCCTATCGACCTGCATTGAAGACGTGCAGGATTTCCAGGATCTCCAGAATTTCTTGTACAACGGATGGCGAAGGATGGGCTACACCGCCACGTCAGAGTCAGAGAATGCAGCTGTTATCTGATATGTCGTTATTCCACTACCAAATTGATCTTCCACGGAACATACAAAGTATAGTAGTCGCAGTCGTCGTCCCGGATATGAGCATCAGCGTGCTCCGTACCGTACGTACCTCGTAACCCTAAATCCCCGTTCCCTGCAAGCCTGTAAGCAAGCTGGAGACACCCCAATCCCCAATCATCCCAATGCCCGTTTCACGCATCGCTAGAGCCGCGGGCATTTAGCCTCCGCAAGGCAATAATAATCCGACTGGCGGAGCGTGAACGGTTCGCCACTGTGGAGGTTCGATGACCCGGCAAAAAGAATGGCAGGTTGGTAACTGTGTATTTTATTTTAATTTGATATGTGATACGGTATATACGGAGTAGCCACTACGTAGCAGGAAGGTGGTTAATCGTAGGTACAGTAGAGTACTTGGTAGAGTAATGGAAGTAGTGAGATTAGAGAGAGTAGAGACAACTAACTGTAAGTCTTGTAATGCTTCCTCGTTGGCCCTCTCGGTGTTGACATGCCGCGGGTCTCGGGGGGAGTGAAACTTCTTCTTACTTACTACTCGGTCTAGGCATCATTCCTAAACATGTGCTATTCCTCATTTTCCCCGTAAGCTATCAACTAGTGAATGTATGTACAAGTACCCGTCCAGGTACTTACTGCGTACCAGTACGTGCACTCACGTCGTACGCCTTGCCACGACATCAAGCGGGTTCCTGAAATGCCTGCAAGCTGCTCGTACTCTTCTGCACTCTGCACTCTGCACAGGAGACTCAGGAGTACTGTACTGCTGTAGCGCAGCGCAAGTTCGCGCAGGTTCGGGCGCAATCAGAACCGCAATCCTAATCTTCTTCCAATAATCTCCCTCCCAGGTTCCTATCGGTATCAGTCCGGCACTGGCTCCTGTTTTAGAAAATGACGAATTCGTGCGACAGCGACTCCCTGCACCACCAGCGTTATCGTTGTCGCACGAGCCCTTCCTTCGTCTCTGGATCCGGTGTCGCGAGCCTCCGTATGGCGGTATGGCACCATATCGTTCATTTCCCTAGACTCCGCGGTCTTGTCTTTGGAGCAGAGATTGTGCAGCCAGAGGGAGTGGGAATGGGTAATGGGTTGGGTAATGGGCAATGGGTCCCCTCCCCCGTCGAGATGCTATGGACGATGTACATGTACAGCAGATACCACGAAAGATCCGGCCCTCGGTCACGTTCAGCAGCTCTTTACGCCTCTTTGGGAATCCCATCCAGCTATCGTGGAGTGCGGTTACGAGCTTCGGACGATCCACGGGAGGTACTCGTTCCGTTGTCACTCTACTCCTACGCAGATTTGGCAGGCGTGGAGAGCGGTAAAATAGCTGGAGCCCCAAGTGCCCTCTATTCGAAACTACCTACGGACGGAGCAGGAGGAAGTCCTCGTCCTCGTCATTAGCTCATGGCTTTCTCCACTACCAGTACGAAGTACCAGCCAGTATCATGGCAGAGTATGGCATACAGTGCCAAATTCCACCGTCCCACTGACCAAGCAAAGGCTCGAGAGCCGATAGCGCAACGTCACTCACAGCCGTCTCACTCCGCAACGTCGACAAGAGCCGGTTTCAACCTCTGATATCAGCACGCTCTTGCGGCGAGTTCCTCTCATAGGGCCGATAAAAAGGAGCGGCGACGAGGGTCCCTCGTGTCTCCTCCGAAGTCCCAGGGGCAAAGGGAACTACCGGTACGCCCGGTACAGCCAAGTGATAGACGGAGTAGTCCCCTTCAAGACCATAGCCTGGTCTAATGCTGTCTGCTCCTGTGCAATCCTGTACAATCCTCTCCCGAAGTAAGGTTGAGCTGCAATATCCCGGCATCGACGTCCGTCCTTTTGCTGCTCAACGCTGCTCAGTGCTGCCTGCGGGCCCCATCCCGAGATTGTGAAGGGCCCTCGTCCCCTTTGGTCCAGAGATTGCAATGAAGTGATAGCTCAAGCTCCACGACTGGACTGCTCAACCCCAGCTTCCCAATGGCTCCCAATGGCGCCTGCTCTTGCACCACCAGAGCAAGGAGCTGGTGGAGCTCCCTACAGGGAGACGTCGAAGACGTCTGCCATTCCCTTATAACCCCCACGTACTTTCCTTCTTCGTAGCGGTCCTTCAAGTCGATTCTCACTCTCCCCCACCTCTTTCTCTGGATATATTTGACTAAGGGACTAAAAGATCTCAGTCTTACCTGATCTATCAACTTGTACAGGAGCTTAACATGGCCCCCTCTGCGGATGCGGAGACTTTCCCCCTGCCGGTGTCAGCCCACGCCCACCACCACCTCCACAACCACAACAGCCATGACCATAGCCATAACCATAGCCACAGCCACAGCTTCCCCTCAAAATTCGTGCCAGTCAGCGCATCTGTCCTGCATGGGAAACTCGATCTGCGCTTAGTAAGGAAATCCATCCTTCCCTTGCATAGACGCTGCCCCTTTTTTCGGCACCGCGGACTGACCAATCCAATCAATAGGAAACGAGATATATAGAAGACCCGTCCGCAGGCGAGCTTCAGGTCCAGATCAGGTCGACCGGCATATGCGGCTCAGACGTGAGCTACTATAAGAAGTTTGCCAACGGCGACCTCTGTGCTTGTGCCCCTCTCTCGCTTGGCCATGAATCGTCAGGCGTAGTGGTTAGCATTGGCCCGCAAGTCAATGGCTTCAAAATCGGCGATAGGGTGGCCCTGGAGGTCGGGATTCCATGTGGTCAATGTACCATCTGCAGGAAAGGCCGGTATAACCTCTGTAAGAAGATGAGGTTTAGGAGTAGTGCGAAAAGTGTCCCCCATTTCCAGGGAACTCTCCAAGAAAGGATAAACCATCCTGCCATTTGGTGCCACAAGTAAGCCCGCCCTGTCAGAATACCTCGGATTATTATTAACCAGCTTCAGGATTCCAGATCACGTTTCCTTTGACGCAGCAGCGCTTCTCGAGCCTTTGTCTGTGGCAATCCATTCGTTAAACCGGGCCTTGCCCGCCCCTGGATCAACGGCTCTGGTCATTGGTGCTGGTACCGTTGGTCTGCTCGTTGCAGCTATGGCTCGCCAATCCGGGTGCACTTTTGTCACTATTGTGGATGTGGACGAAGGACGGGTAGCATACGCAGTTTCCAAAGGCTTCGCAACCCATGGCTACGTCGTCCCTAAACCTCTCCACTCAAGTTCCTCATCCTCCTCAATTTTCACTGACGGGACCTCCACACCAGCTTCAGTCGATGGCATCATGACCCCATTATCTAATTACAGCACTGTCAATGACCGCCTTGACGTCGCAAAGGCGCTCGCAGTCGACATCCTCGCCGTCGCCAGACCGGACATGACACCGCTAGAAGAGGATGACGATGACGGCGTTGACGTGACCTTCGAATGTACCGGCAAGGAGCCATGCATGCAAACCTCCCTCTACGCCACCAAACCCGGCGGCAAAGTCATCATGGTCGGAATGGGCACGCCTATCCAGACTGTGCCTCTTTCCGCCGCGCACCTGCGCGAAGTCGATATCTTGGGAATCTTCAGATACGCAAACACATATCAGACGGGCATTAGATTGCTCGCCGGCAAGGGCGCCATGAAATTGCCTAGCTTGGACGACATGGTCACGCATAAGTTCAAGGGGCTGGATAATGCGAAGGAGGCGTTTGAGCTTGCGGGGAGGACGGTGGACGATGATGGGAAATTGGTACTAAAAGTTGTGATTGAGGCTTAGGTAGTTTAGACTTGGGTTTTTTAGAAAAATCTCTTTACGAGTAGGTCGTAAGACAGAGGGTTGGTTTTGGGTTAGTAAGTGCGTTTTTGGTTTAATCTTGGTTTTGGTTTTGGTTTTTGGCTGGGTGGGTTTTTGTAATTATTGGAACCTGCGTAGACTTGGGAAATACTTGGGAAGACGTGGTATGATCAGTTTTATAGTGTTATCATGATACGATTCTCGTTATTCATTTCTTGCGCCCCAGTCTCGGTCTATGCAAGTCTGTATGTAGGTGTCCAGCCAAACGCCGCCATAATGATCACAAAAATAGCCCTTCTTTACGCCGACCAAATGCCACTCCCTATTATACGCCGCCGCTTGTGTTCAGGAGGATATAAGGTCCCCAGCGCCACTAACTCCGCTAGATGGGCCATCATTCCACATCGCATGGGCCCCCTTAGCCTTCATCATCCCAAGCTGTACAACAGAAAACTTCCGTCCAGTCTCCCTAACATCCTTGATGCTGTTCGTAATGGTGCTAAGCATCGAGACCATATTGACATCGTTCTCCTCCGAGAGAAGCTCTTTCTCGAACGCTGCGCTATCAGCCGGGATAAGCAGGCCGAGCCGCGTAAGCAGGGCTTGAATCGAGCGCAATACTTCATGGCTGACAGGCGCATATTCCTCGTCGTCAGACTTTACTCCTTCCTCCACAACAGAGCCCGAGACGTAAGAAGGTGGCAGCTTCCGGAGATAGACAGCAATCAGATCGACCCTCGCCTTTAGCATCTTGATCGCATTTGCCTTTGCCGTAAGCGACGCAATCAACTCTTCGTCTTCTCGGGAGAGGAACTGTCCGGCTTCAGCCTTTGAGACGGGAGTTTCCTGTTCCTCTGGCTTTCTAGCTACTACGCGGACTTTACCCTTTCCCTTCGGGTCTTCATGTCCTAGTGCTGCTGGCCCCCCCTTCTTTTGCGCTCCATCCACAGCTGTTGCATTGCCCCCGCCACGTGCTACGAAGTCCACGCCGATCATCTCAGCTTCGCCTGTCTCTACGGTGTATGGAAGCTCTTTGAATTTCAAGCCCAGTTTCGGCTCCGCATCCTTCATCTCCTTGTCTTCGCCTGCATCGGTTGTCGTCTCCTCTGCCTCATAGTTGCTTTCGTAGATGGAAAGAGGGAGCTTGCCGCCTATGGAGCGATTCAGAACATCTTCGGGGTGGAAACCAAGAAGGATCGCAGATTCATTATAGGATTGTAAGATCTGTCGGTGGATTGGAAGATGGATAGGGAGAGGACCGGAAGTGGGGATGATAGTAAACCAGCCCACAAGGTCTAGAGCTGGTACTTTGTGGACATCCTTCACTATTGACAGAACAAGAGTTAGCACATAAGAACCATAAGAATATGCCACGTAAATCGGACTACTAACTTTGCTGTAGCCTGTCCTCGAACCAGACTTGGCTTAGAATGACCTCGCCATCAACTTCGATTAGATGGCAGTCGAAAGCATGCTCAATAGTGATCTCCCTGCCATTCTGCTGTCCTAGCAACGCACCAACCACAGGACCTTTCTGCTGCCGAAGAGTATGTCTTGTAATGTAGTCGGAGATAGTCAGAAGCACGAGAGGGTGGAGTGCAACCTGGAGACCGCTGTCGGAGGCTTTCTGCTTGGAGAGTAAGGGATTTTGTGGTGTCTCTTTCTCCACAGCCATGATTGCAAGACAGTCCAGGGCCAACCAGGTCTGGGATTTCTTTGAAGACAGTGTTGCGCCGAGGGGATGTTTTGTTGGGCTTCGGTTTGTTGACAGTTATCAGTGGCCAAGGCAATGTGGGAGCTTTATCGATACGAGCACCGCGATTGACGCCTGAGGCGGATATCAATCACGTGATATCAGCTGTGTGCTGTGGTTGTTGTGTGCCTGAAGAAGACGGCTTTGTCGCCTGAGGCGGTAAACCATCCTCCCTGGACGACAACACCTCTTGACATCTTCTCACCATCTTCTTCCATCTTCATGCCAACCTGGAAATTCACGCTCGTGAGCACCCAGCGCTGTATTCTACACCAAATCGCATTGTCCTACATCATTCTTGGTGAGGAGTGGTATTGGTGTTCAATGTTACAATTCAGTAGGCAAACTTTACAAGATTATCTGCAACAGGAACGTTGCAGGATGCTTTCCTTTCATTCTTTCTTGTGTCTCTTCGCTTCAAAGATTATTATTTCGCTAGTTGTTTAGCTTCTATTCCTTTCTTGCTTTACTTTCTTCTTATGACCGCCTTGATGACTCTTGATGGGATATATCAAATGGTAGTACCTACAGGTCTTCTTCTCCTACTCTAGACCAGCACCACCCATGGATCAACCATCAACTATGACTGCGGACGAACCTGGTCCACAGAGTGGGGATGTACCGAATAGCCCGGTTTCCAGCTCAGTAGCTGAGGCCCCAGATAGGGTGGCCCCAAGAGCAGTATCCGTTTCGACTCACGGCAAAAAGGATGATAATGATGATGATGATGATGTGCAATTTGTTTCCTGCATTTCTTTACACAAGGAGATAGAATGGTAGGCCAATACCATCTTCGGTTGGGCTCGGCTGATCTTTTACACAGTCCCAAATCATCTCAATTACCACTAGATGGGAATCAACCCTCCGAGAGTGCCCCAAAAGAAACCCCATCTACGGTGGCTTCGCCTCTACCTCAAGTGTCGAAACAGGGGAGCACGGAGGTTTCTCAGCAACATAAATCTGATGATATCGGACACGATGAAAGCAGAACCATCTCAGAACGGAGCGAGCCTTCCCCGAAATCAGCAGCTAGCGCTGATTGCACTCCAAACACAAAGCCTTCGCCCTCCAGCCCACTGTTAGACTCAAACAGCGGAGCAGTCCTTAGTGGGCCACTTGACTCCCAAAAGGCCTCTTCGACTCCCTGGACGGACTTCTTGTATGCAGATCAGCCTGAAACTATGTCCCAGGGTTGGAGACCGGTATGTTTTGGCGATCCTCCCGCTGCAAAAGGGAATCGCCGCGAGGAGTGTGAAGACCCGGCGCTACAGTCGTCACATATTCCGCAAGTCTCTCCCAAAACTGTACATCATATGGCAGCATCTGATCTGCGGGACTCCTCCTCAGGATCGGCATCCCCAGCGATAATCGGAAGCCCAAGGATGGGCGATGCGCCCCAGGTTACGGGCCTAAATGATTCAATGGGAAATATGTGGCCAAACTTTGCGCATAGCCCACGCCACCACACTGGTGGGATACCGGGTGCTCAACAAGTTGCTCCAAGGAGTATGAATCTGACACAAGACAAGACTACATGGCCAATGGTATCATCGTACCCACAGGGTTCGAACAATGACTGGAACGCACTCCGTCCAGGCTTGAATGGCCCATCACCAACTCAAACCTCGAGAATGCCCATGAATTATGTGCAGAGTCTAGCTAACTATAGCCATTTTGCCGCCACTCAATCAGCAACTGGATTCAAGTCCATTCAGAAGAATAAAAACCAAATTCTAGCACAAGATCACACTGATCCACCCTTTTCACCACTTACAGTGTCACAAAACTCTCTAGCACTCTACATGAATCCGGCCTCTGAAATGCCATCGACATTTAGTCGGACGCCCCATGACCCTCATCCGATTCAAGCTAAAGCTTCATGGATGGCGTCCAAGGAATCGACCGCCGCTAATTCAAACACGGAGTCATCTAATATTCTCCGGAGACCATCACTATACAGCATTCCCCCTTGGCCGGCACGCAACCCTGGCACATTTACACCATTTTATTCCCTCTCTGTGCCACCAAATTATGTTGCTTCGGATTACCCCAGCATCACGACTAGAGACGCTTCTACGGCCAGAAGAAATGCTTATTCTCCTTTCTACCCTGGTGATGACACCCGGACCAGAATGCTAAATAATTGTCAACAAAACTCTATACGGAACGCGACATCAACGGGCTTAGGTATCGGCCCACCGACAGGATCTGCAACTGAAAATAGCAGTGATCAGCTTCCACGAAAGAGGGCTCGGCACGAATATTCTCCGAACTTGTATGGATAACATCCATTCCCCGATATAATGACATGCTCACCATTGTAATAGGGTCGTTGATATCGCCGAAACGTGTCAAGAATTATTCCCATTCGCTGAAGTAGCAGCACGCCACAACAAACCTATTCAGAGAGTCATCGACACTTTCTCGGCCATCATTCAAATCCCATTGCTACGGAATGCAGAGGACAGGCGTCGACACGGGTCTCTGGGGAAGAGGAGGATGAGGGAGTACCGGGATGCTAAGAAGGCGATGGAGAAGGCACATGAGGCAGAACGGAGGACTCAGTTACCTGCGAGGAGAAGTAGCGCTGGGTATGTTATTGAAAGGGTTAAAGAGCCACTAGCGAACGCAGCTGGCCATCTTAAGCCTACAGTTCTGAATAGGTCACGGGAGGCTCAGTCGGATTCTGGGCCATAGTATCATTGGACGAGGGCCATGTAGTTGCGAAAGGTCTAGGTGTCACCATACTCATTTAGCTTCATTAAACTGCTGTCACGAAATCTCCTCTTTCATGTACCGACTCACATCAGATCACAACAATACTCAGTCAAGGCTTAGGAATACTACCGCATCAAAGGAAAAACATATTCAATTTTCAAACTTCTTCCCCCTCCGCGACCCCCCAATCCACAATCCCACTCCACCTAACCTTACTCGCATATCTCAACTCCTTCGCTCGCTCAGCACCCTGTTCTCGCAGTGCCCTCTCCATTGCCACTATCTCCTCTCTACTCGTCGCACGGCGCAGCTGCGCTGTGAGCTTAGCTTGGAGCTGTGCATGTCTGTCCGTGATTTCCATGATCACATAGCTCGGATGGCAGGGTGCACAAGTATCGTTGATGTACTTCTTGGGGCCTTCGAGAGATCTACATTCTTCTTCGCCGCATTTGCTGGAGTAGTGGATGAGGATGTGGCCGCATGACATGCGGGTTAATGTTCCTGTGCACATTTTCTTCTGTGTGGGTAACCTAGTCGGATTGCTTGTTGATATATTGGGAAGGCTAATTGGTAGTTGCAATTTCTTGAAATATAGATCTTGACGATGGTGTACACATGATATGTTTAAATCTCGGATGTTTTTTTTATAAGGCCGCTTCTTTGTTACGCAGGCGAACAGGGGAATATAGTTGTTGTTGTCGGACAAAGAAATGCTCACTCGCCCTATCTTTTAGAGCACTCAAGTATCATATTTACAGTTATTATCCAAATCCTTTGTTATATAACGTGTGATAAACCACCTTCGCCAAGAGTTTTAGTTACATATAATAAACAAAGTCGACATGGCTCGTAAAATAAAGTTATGGTACTAAGCACCGACTTATTTAGACTTCCCTATTATTACTTATGCGTTATAGCTTGCGCTGTTACCTTCACGGGAATGACTGCGAACGAGGAGCACTGCCTGTCAGCACGTCCTATAAGTTTGTAACCGATATACATTTCTTATAGAAGATGCTAGAATTTGACAAAATTAAAGCAGGCTAATTATTTGTCAAGTCATTTGCTGCAATACCTCAACCCTTCACTGCCCATCCAAGTTAGCGACTACGCCATTACTACCTACCGCGATAGCCATACTCTAATCGTATCTTCGCCGGTTCTGTTTTAGTTTCTGGGCATGAGCAGCGCGTCTATCGAAACATGCCTTGAGAGGCCATTTTAGCACCCAAGGGTTCGTTTTTCTCCTTGCGCCCCAGTTACACCTGCCTGGTCCCGTTTCGGCACCTTTGCAGCCTAGGTTCCCCCGGAACTATTTTTTGAGTTCATATTCGGGCCTGAAGAGCATTGGGTATTGTGTGCGTTCTTACCACGAACAAGTTTATATTATACATGACAGGCTCTCTTGCTACTATATTTTGGAATTCCTATTTCGCTGCGTGACAATCGAAGCTGGCGGTTGTTCGACGTGACAGACTCCATTCGCTGGCTCAACCCGTTTTCTGCGAGGCGGAGGCCTGGACGAGGGGTATGGCGCATTATTGGGCGAATTTAGTGCAAAACTATTTTTCGTATTAGGCCCAACGGCTATTACCCAAATATAAGTCTATTATTCGAATATCTAGCCTGTTGCAAAGTAAAGCTATTCCTAGATCTCTCACCGAAATTGAGGTATTCGAGTCGTATGAATATCTCAATTTCGGTGAGATATGTAGGCATGGGCTACGGGGTATGCCTGGAGAAAAGGCCCCAGGATAGGAGAGACTGGCTGTTATATATTCGAATAATATAGAGTATAGAACTCTATACTATATACTACTGACTATCTGGTACCTTTCAAGCTTGGATATCAAACAATAGGGGATCTTTTCGGAGAGGAAGGTCGAGGCCACTAGTTGATGTGGTCCGTGGGCAATAGAATGACGATATACCAAGATTTCGAAGAAGTATACGACGAGCACATATTCTGTCTCTTGCTAATTGAAAAGCCTAGATAGCTAGATAGATAGAAGCTAGTTTTGATAGATAAGAGCAAGAGGTTTGAAAGTGTGAACTATAAAGTATAGAACAAGTATAATAGCTAAGAACTACAATTCCGAAACAACTAATATCTATCTCGAAGATTCTTGTACTTTCACTACTTTTTATATGTTTATAGAACTATATAAGAGAGAATAATAAACTAGTAGAAAGCTCGTAACAAGAATAGAACTCGGAAATTATAAGTTATACTTAGTCTATATTTACGTATATCGATACTAAAAAAACTAGCGGAAGTGATTAGAGATAAAGTCGAAGTTTTAGAGTAACTTCTTGTAGATAGAGAGATAAAGGATATAAAGTTACTAGAATAAATAATAGAAGTAATAGATACTAAGGATATTACGTCTGTTTTCCTAACGCTCGATAATTTTGAAATTTACAAGACAGAAGATAATAATTATTACTAAATACAGTCTATCGATTACGAAGAGCAAATTAGTAGCACGGGAATAGTAGACGACGTATACGTACTTTTCCTTACTTCGCGTTTATGTATAAAAATTAGTGGCTTTATTTTTCTTTCTCTTTTACTTTTATTTATAATTATTTACCGGTCTTACCTGTTCCCGTTCGCGGGTGCTGTCGTCGGTCCGAGGGCGAATGTCAGGCTAGTATATAATCCGACTTTTCAATTACTAGATTTCTATAAGAGAATATTGTATTATTATACTTCGATACTAATAGTTTATTACTCCTCCTTTAATATAACTCTTGTTACTTTATTATTTCTTCCCTTAAAGATAGTAAGCTTCTACGAATATTTGAGTTATATTATAACTTTAGTATAAGTACGAAGTATATAGAGTAGAACTTAAGAATAGGGGTCGCTCGCTTAGCACCTTGGTACCTTGGATTACTACTGAAACGGGGAGTGGGTTCGGCGCCAACATGTAGTTTGAACAAAGTTATAAGTTTATAACTAAAAAATAAACTAAGTAGAAACAAGAATTTTAGCTGCATAGTAGCCTTCGAAACTAGCTCCCGCCCACTTTCCGACTTAATCCTTGGATGTAGCTTTGCCTCTTTTCAGGACGGTGCGCATTGAAATACACCGATGTACTGTACTGTACATCTCCGGTTACGATATCCTCATCATCATATTTGTTATCGGTCGCTGTCACCGTCTCACGTGTAAAATCGTATCTCACAATACAGAGATTAATGTAAAGAAGTATCCTTTGATTCACTGCACATAACTCAATAACGGAATTTCGAAACAACTTGACACTTCAAAATATTAAACCTTAGGCCTTCTTAGCTGAGCCCGCCTTTCCGTATTGTTTTTTAACAAACTCCGTCATATGCACCTTCAGATCTCCAACAAAGATGTCGAGCTTAGCCTGGAAATCTATCTTGGAGCTAGAGAACATATCTTTGTTGAAACCCCCCTCTGATTTTTCGATGCGCGCCTTGATGAAAGCTGCAAAATGAAGACGAGCAGCCCGCTCGTTCATCAACTTCTTGCGATGCTGGGGGATGGAAGTCATGTAAGGAATAGTCAGGAAATAGTCAATGTCTTTTGTCTCCGTGGCGTCATAAGGTTCCGATGTCTCTAACTTACACAACTTCTCTTTAAAGTACTTGTCGAACGGTGAGAGGGCATCCGGAAATCCGTATTGACTACCTGACGCGTCGATGATCCATTTTTCGTTGCTTTTCTGGCTGCTTTTCAGTTCCACCACTACGATCGTATGTGGCGGAACAAAGTTGGATGGTTTGCCTAGACCTGAAACAAACTTGGTTGTAAAGTTGGGCTTTCCAACAGAAATGTCACTTATTGTAGTGCTGAGGCTGGTTCCTACCACAGGTTAGTGAACGCTGGCTTACATTGAATCAGTTTGTTGTCCCGAGACTCCTACCTGCAAGAAGGTGTCGAGTCAAGGGGCCTAGAAGGGCCATTGCCAGAGTACATTGGCTGTTTGCAAGGGCTGCCTCCTTGTGCTCAACGTTGTTAGTGAGGTGGTTTGGAAAGTGTGTATGCTGAGGACGGTTCGGGTCCTGTATTAGCCTCTCGTATAAATGAAGAACCCCTTGTCGGAACTCAATCTTTTCAATATCGAGATCGAAGATGCATTCTAGATATGCTAAGAAAGTGGCTTTCAGTATCGTGGCGCCTCGCAGCAATTTCTTTCGTCTCTGTAACATATTGCACCTGGACTTGTGAACGGGCCAGTGAGTTACCTGGCAGCCGCGATTGCAGTAGATGATGCCAATGGATTCGCCAGACTCATATTCAGGTGCATCTACACAGCCTGTGCACCTCAGCGAGGCTAGAGCGCCGCAATTGGCACACTTTGCAGAGCTAGGTTGGGTATCATCCAGGACAGTATTTTTATCCTTGATTCCTTCGTGCTCTTCCAGCTTTTTCGACGCCTTACCAAAACCCATCGGGTCAGGTGAAGCCATGTCGTGGGCGTGGTATTTAAACGACTGGTCACCTTCCAACTAATCCTCGAGGTTGTTAGGAGAGTATTTCTTGGTCAGAGTGTCAACGCAGATGAGAGATTACCTGCAACGGATTGCAAGGCGTCTTTGTAGTTTAATAATATTTCTTCGAGGAGGTGGTTGTGGAGGTTCTTGAAGCCAGATTTGAGAGCTGGGTAGATATCGAAGACGTAGTCGCCTCCTGTTGTAGATCTTATCGATGATCGGTTGGCGAATCGTGAATTAACATGTGGTATTTGAGCTTACACAGCATAGATGTTTGTAAAGATGAGGGACTCTGAGTTGGCGCTTAAGGTTGTAGGCCATAGATTGGGCATCACCCCGCAAACTGACAGCTCGCAGTGCAGAGACCCGATGCACCGAGGCTTAGAATTTAGCCAGCCCAGAAACAAACACCTTAGGGTTCTTGGGAGTCTTGTTGTTAATCCAGTACACCACAACACATCTATTCTTGTACCCTAGTCATTGTCTTTAATCCATCTCCTCTGGCTAGCCTCTACCTCAGGACACATTATAAGTACCCAGCTTCCAGGGGCCTAACGGGTGTTCGCTTTGTATTTTCCTGAGAATCAACAAACCAAGGCAACACTAACTTGTAACCTCTTATAAGGGAACTTGAAGCTTTCAAAATAAACGCAATATGTCTAGATATATACAGTAATATAGGGAACTTCCCCTAAATGCAAGATTTCGTCGACACATCACGAAGCCTGCGGCATTTCCATAGCGACTATCGAAACTGTCCGTGCTATTTCACATGTCATTTAATCCACTAAATCACACATACTTCGTTATATCCCCTAGTGGAGCACTTATTGCCATTGCACTTGCTGCAGCGTAAATGACCGGAATATTGGATAGTATGATTGGGCAATTTGGAATTGTGCTCCTGAAGGCAAATACTAAGGCCAAGAAGCCGCGGTCCCAAGGAATGAGGAAGGGACAGAGTCTCTTGGGGTCCTCAGATGAAAAGCGCTGGAATGACAGAATCTCGGCTGAAAGAAAATAATCAATTTGGACGATAATGATAATCGACGGAAAGAAAGAATTCATGACGAAAACGACTTGGCGTGGATTCCTGGTATGGGTATCCCGGTTTCAGTGATCAGTCCATTGGTTGGAAAGTTCAACATAGTCAGGACCTTTGTGAAAGAACCCCGAAGTCTCAGTGTGATATAATTAGATTTAGGAAAATAAGAATAAACAAACTTCGCAGATTTAAGAGCTATTGGCAAAATGGGTCATGCGGGTTTCCGTGTTTGACAGAATTGATATGCTTGTTCCCGTTACATATCCACGATACCAAACATTCCGAACGTTGGCCCGCCTCCCTATGCGACAGCACCAACGTTGAGGTTCGCAGCTGATCCAATATATCTTGCTTTGGCTTTTTGATGGCGGGACCAAACTAATAATAATCGATGACGATCAGAGTTAAAATACCCCTTTTAAGGTAATATAATGTTGGTATTATTATGTGCACGGATCCCATCTGCCTTTGTTAGGTCAAAGCTCCCCCTGTGAATGACATCAATCGCCGCCGGCCATTCCGTCCCTGTGCTTGTACTTCGTAGGAGGCTATGCGCCAAAGCACACTCATCAGGGTTACCCAGCCTCGTCCGAGACATTCCAGACCATCCTCGTGAGCGCTTGATTCATGCTCCATTGTCTTGCCATCATGAGCTTCTTCCATTTGATATTTTGTTCTTAATTCTGAATTGACCTCTTCGGCGCCCCTGGAGCCCGGCGCACCCCATCGCGCAGCCCAATCTCTGCGTCGTAATCGCCATCCCCATCCCACTCGCCACCTTGGCCCGCGCCCTTCCCCCGCCATCCAACCTCATACAGGCTGAATCTCAGTCGGATGAGCTGCCAAAATGCAGAGGGTGACCTCTATGCTGCCCTCGTGGGACAAGACCAAGACCGGTAGTAAGAAGGGATTCGACAAAGCCTGGGGATGGGCAGACAAGCGTATGAGGTTTGCGCCACTCAGGAATGGAAATAGACTGACAGAGCTTTCTAGTCGGAGCCCCCATCAACAAGTTCTCGAATAAGATCGGATCAGAGGCCTTTTGGCCCACGACGCTTGATATAGAATCTGATAAGGCGGCTAGAATCCTTAGGTCTTTCTGTAGTATGGATCCCTTCCTCTTTGCTTTCGTGATCCCCAGTGGTTGATCAATGACTAATGCTATTCGGTTTGCAGAGGATGGTTTCTACGCAGAGCCGGACCAACCTGGGGCCGTCGGTGTGCCCAAAGGCAAACAACGGGTTCCCCTGAAGATACCACAGAAAGTCATACAAAATGCTGTCGGCCTGGCGATCTTCACTACGATGCGAACGGGGTTATGGATCTCTGGCGCGGGGGGTTCTGGAGTTCTAATCGGAAGGCAGGCGGATGGAGAATGGTCGCCGCCTTCGGGGATAATGCTGCATACTGCGGGCCTCGGATTCCTCGTTGGGGTCGATATCTACGATTGCGTTTTGGTTATAAACAATCGCAAGGCGCTTGAGTCTTTCACCAAGATCCGAGCAACAATTGGGGGCGAGATCAGCGCGGTTGCGGGACCTGTGGGGGCTGGCGGGATCTTAGAAAACGACGGGAAATGGAAACAAGCCAAGTAGGCCAATCCCTTCTCACCAAATCTCGGTCAATTGTTGGAGACGCCTGGAAGAGTACTAACATCTCAATAGCCGGCCTGTTTTCACTTATATGAAGTCGAGAGGATTTTATGCCGGAGTCCAGGTGGATGGAACGGTCATAATAGAGCGTACCGACGAAAACGAGCGGTTTTACGGCGAGCGAATTGGAGCTACAGATATTATCGCCGGCAAAGCTCGCCATCCGCCATACGAGATCAAGAAGCTTATGGAGACTGTGAAAGCAGCAGAAGGTCGAACCGATGTTGACAAGGACATATTGGAAGATTTAGAATACCAACCTGCTCCTGGGGATGTTGACATAGTATCACCTGCAATGGCAAGCGGACCGACGTTTGGAGTGCCAGAGCCTCACGATCCAGATCCGTTCGGCGTTCTTGCGCTAGAAAAGGCAGGATTGGAAATCCGGGAAGCTGGCACAAAAAGTCGACCCCCTAGCTCTCAGTTCGAATACAATCCAAGTCCAACAAGTCCCGTATTCGCGAAATTTAATCGCCGAAGTATCGATGGAACCAGTAATAGAGCGAGCTACATGTCTGGCCGGAGCGTCCGCACCACCACGAGTACCGATCGATATGTCCAGATGTCGGAAGCAGGCACCCAGACGGATGAACTCCTTACTCCGAACACGAGTCCAAGTCACAGTGACGAGGACAAGAGGATTGTCAAAGAGGATGAGCCTGTTGCGGTTGAAGCTCCAGAAGTCGATTATACGAAGATTGACCTCGGGCCCTTCAACCATTTGAATCGCAGCCAGGACTTTGATGGTACTACCATAAACGACAGTCCACGCGAGCAGTATGGCAGCGAACACATTTCTATTTCCGTTCATTCTTCCTCCGTCTCAGACGATGAGGATGAGGATGACGAGGACGAGGACGAGGACGAGGAGCCTGTCATTTTTGAAGCTGCTTCTGCCCAAGCAACTGTGTTGACACCACAATCAATCAAAGCAAGAGGCGGACTAATCACTATCAAGCGGCCAGCCCCACCGCCTTTACCGCCGAGGAGCATTGCCAGAAGGAGTAGGTTGCCGATGATAGACCACTCAGCTGGCCCAAGTCCACTGAAATCGGAATTTGAGGAAGTCGACCTGTATGGGGCAGATAGGAAGAACGTGGATCAAGAGAGGGATATTGTACCGGAGGGTTTGGCGGGACCCGATGACGCCCCAAGTGTGCCAAAAGATCAAGCCGTTGACGAAAAGGGGGAGAATACGCCGAAAGAGAGCGACAGCAATAAGTCTATTTCAGATACTGGCAGCCCAGCCGCGATGGATGACCTAGAAAAACTCCAGACCGCCCAGGTTGTGCTAGATGCCCCAGTCGCTGGAGAGAAGGTGGACGATGGCCATCTGGACGCATCGTCTGCGAAGATCTCACCAATCATCACGAACGCTCTTTCTGAGGACGTCCCCACCCACAACTCTCCTGATCATAGCCTCGAACTTGCCACCCCAGATAACAAGCCGGCAGATGTTCCCCAACAGGAGAGCCTCCAAACAACACAGCAAGCCGGAACATCTGAATCGAAGAGTGACCTCTCCGAGACGGATGACTTCCATAGCGTTCCCACCACACCGGCTGAAGTTAAGTAAACAATTTCACGACGATATACATATATGACGAGAGGCGACGGCGTAATTCAACAAGGATGCTGGCCGGCGTAGCGGTTATAGCGATAGGTGGGCTACTCGGGTTCCGGATGGGCGTTCAGTGGAGGAGTACAGTGCTAGTGGTGGAGTTTATGGTCTATGGTAGTACGGTACGATAAGATATACCTTAAAATATAATACTTCTTGGAGAAATAGAATGGGAACTGGCCGGCCCTCCCCTGGAGAGACCGAAGTTCCATTTTTTTCATGTTTCTGGTGATATCTAGGTCATGATATGTAGAGGTTCCGTTCTATCAGGTTAAGACGATAAAAAGTATTTTGATTCGGGAGAGCCTGGCTTCTCCGACTATGTTTATTAGATCGTGAGGTACGATTGTCTCCAGGTGGCGCTGAAATGAATGGACGACTGGATAGGGTTTGAGGTATCGTTGGGGAGAGGGAGAGGGATAGATAGGGTAGATGACAGAGGGCGGGAAATCGAGACATGGAATGCGGGAATGGGGTAGTGGTTAAGGTAGGTAGGTAGAGGAAAACGCTTCACACCATAAGATCCAAAAAATAGGGAGCTGGACCTATAGATATTCATACTGTGGCGTCTGAGAATTTCAAAAATCTACGCAGGGTATATATTTTACCAAGCAGTAATATCATCTACCTCGGAAACCACACTCCCCTTTTTGATAGCCCCCTGGGCCCCCTCCTCAACATCGACCTCAAATCCAGGGCCCTTCATAATATCCGGTAGCACCTCGTTCAAAAACTCCAAAATATGTGTATTAACCTGTTCAAACTGCAGTAAAAACGCATCGTGACCCTCGGGGGAGTCGATCTTGCGTAATTTCGCGTTCGGGATCGAAGCGGCAAGTTCTTTCTGCTCGTCGAATGTGAACAGCCCGTCGGATTCGATTCCGAGGACTAGGGTGGGTTGTTGGATTTGCGCGAGTGCGTCGGCGATGGGGGTTTCGGATGAAGGGGATACGCGGTACCGTGATACGTCGTGGGTGTCGAGTTTGCGCGTTATGGCTATGTAGCAGTTGCCGTCGAAGCGTTTGACGAATTTCTCGCCTTGGTAGCGGAGGTAGGATTGGGCGGAGAAGTAGGTTGAGGGGGCCCGTTTTCTTTCGAGAGAGGCAGGTTGTTCTGTGGGAGGAGCGGTTGTTTTTGCACCGTGGAATTGGGGGTCTGCGAAAGTGGCGGGGTCAACGCCATTTGTGGAGGTGTTGTTAGACACAGCTGTAGAGCTTGTTGATCGTGAGAGGGCGGTGCGTGTTTGGCGGTGTCCGTCGTTATGGATGGAGAAATGCACTTCTGACGGCGTTGAAGGCCGTTCTTGGTCGATGATTGATTGCTTCCGAGATGCATCTGGAGTGTTTCTACCAAAGCGAGCTTCGAAGGAATTCCGACTTCGATATGTGAGTAAGGCGGACATACGGGCTGCGCCGAGGCCAGTCGTGGGAGGGTCGGAGAAGGGGTAGTATCCATCGTCGTACTTTGGATCCGCGTAGATGCTTTGTCGTTGTGCTTCTCCCCAGCTAATACCCCATGCGCTGTGTCGACTTGAGGTGGCGATGGGTACTATTGACCGTACATAGTCCTTTCCAAAGTATGCCCACTCCAGCACCAGCATGCCTCCCATAGACCCTCCTATTACCGCGGCAACTTGCCGTACCCCTAAGTCGTCCAAAAGAAGCTTGTGCAAGCTAGAGAATAGTTAGACCATGCTAGACTAGACACCCAGAATGTAGATTGGACATACTTCACGTCATCTCTTATGGTTGTAAGGGGGAACTCAGGGCCGTATCTCCCCTGCTCTGGATCCCCATTCCGAGCCGTAACTGGACTGGCACTGCCATATGGACTGCCCAGACTGTTCATACAGACGACGAAGAACCTCGAGATATCAAAGGCTCGCCCTGCGCCGCCCAGCAGCGGACCCCACCAGTCACTGGCATCTGCACTCCCCGTCAACGCGTGGCATATGACCATAGCATTGTTGCGGTCTGGGGAGAGTTTTCCTCTGGTGCTATATGCGAGGGGAACGTTGTGGAGAGTCACTCCGGATTCGAGGGTAAAGGATGGGATGATGGCGATGGACTGGTTCGGTATCAGGGACGCAAATGGGTTCTCTGGCTGTTCGTCGATTCTTTCTTGGACGTATTCAGTTGCCATTCTTTCGTTAAGGGGATGGATGGGGATAGAGTCATTGTGACTTGGGGATGGCTACTGACCGTACTGGAGGGGCGCTGGGCTACCATGCTTGGAGCCATTTGGCACTAAATTGGTCGCCATCACAACCCGTACTGTGTAGAAAAAGGAACGTCGGGAAATGCTCTCGAAAACGTGGGGTTGTTGAATAAATGCGAATTCATAAGATATATATCAGTGATTCATTCGTTGCGGTTGCAGACTAAAAAAGCCCGAAAAAACGTCATATCCGAGATCGCTGATTCGAAGGGGGACGGGGGATCAACAACGCACATGCTGAAAGCAGCGGGGTACCGGGACACGGAAAACACCAGCCACACATACCTAGCCACAGCGAATTCGGCTGCGGCGGTGTGTACTTGTGGCTAGTGTGGCTTGATGAGGCTGGACTCTCGCACGGGCCAGTCCACGCTAAAGGCGCTGCTGGCGAGGAACGCGAAGCTCAAAGAAGGATTGTGTTGTGTTTGTAGTTTGTAGTTTGTACGAAGAGAGTGAATGTTCGAGCCGCCTTAGTATTGTCGACACATCACAATCACCTTTGGTTGCGGTGAATACGAAAGTGAGCAGGACCACATTCCTTCTTCCACGCCCACTGCTTCAACTCTCACCTTACTTGCGACACCAGCGCCCTCAACGTTCAAGCCAGCCAGTACCTGTCACCTCTTCTCGCTTCAAACGACAAACGGCAAACAAAGCTCAAAAGGAGAACACAGGATACATACGCCTATGCAGCGATTGAGAGAGCTACCAAACTGAGGCGGAGATGGCCCCAGGAAAGAGGAAGAGACCCGAGAGGGGTTCAGTTGATGGTGGTGAGAATCGACCTTCGCCGCATCGGCCTGGAAATACCAATCTCGGACAGCATGATCGGGGTCCTGGTTCAGATATGCGGGATGGTGGAAACAGGCGATCGAGTCGCGGAGGCCAGCCATATGGTGGAGGGGCAAGAGGAGGCCGGAGAAATGATAATCGCGACAGTTCTAACTCCAACAAGCTTCCAATCTCTGGCACAGCGACTCCGACTCCTGCTCATGGCCCTATGTCCCCACCCGTCAGACCCTCCAGCGCAACGCAGACTCCAGCTCCAGCATTCGAGCCGGTCGTAAAACGAAACCCAGCTCCGTTCGAATATGTCTTTCTCACCGAGGAGCGGATGTCATCCTGGGAAGCGGGAGGTCGTCAGGAGGTCATCGCACAAGGTATACAGGCTCGTGATGACGAGGATACGATGGATCTTTCTTGCGTCTTCCACGAATTAATTAGGGCGACGTTGGACGGCCGAATCAGTCCAACTGATAGTGGGAACTGTGTAAAAGAGATCCTGGGACCAGATACCGCTCTAGCAGATGGCTCACCAGGCGCGTTCGATGCGCAAACATTCTTCGTCGATTCGTTCTCAATGATCTGCGATGCCGAGGAGCCCCCATTCAACACCGCCCTACGACCGTTTGCTGTAGCCACAGGAGTTTCCGCAACTACCTTTCGTCAAAAGCTCGATGCTCAACTTCTTCAGGACCTTGGACTTACACGAGAGACATTTATTCGTGTTGGCATCCGACAAGCTACGCACATGCTATATCGACAAGCCAATTACAACCTTCTGCGGGAAGAAACCGAAGGCTACTCAAAGCTCATTACAGAACTCTTCACCTCGACTCGAGATTTAACCGGAAACGAAATTCCACCGAGTGATCTTATCGAGAATGCGTTTGAGAGGTTGAAGGGCCTTATAGGCACATTCGATCTGGATGTTGGGAGGGTCCTCGATATAACTCTGGACGTCTTCGCATCAGTTCTAGTTAAGCAATATCGGTTCTATGTCAAACTCTTACGGGTTAGCTCCTGGTGGCCACGGAGTGGGTTGGTCGAGGCCGGTGGGAATGGCGCAGGCCTTCCGGCATGGGCGCTGCCAGGTTATCATGCCGGGCTTACGCTCACGGAAGACGAAGAAGAGGCATTGAAGAAACAAGAAGACGAGGCCTTGAAACCGCAGATGAGCGACCGAGACCGTGTATTCTGGACGCGGGCTCGTGAGATTGGTCTGGATGCCTTCTATGAGCTTGGAGGGAGACGTCGGGTCGATGCAGAGACTAAAGCGCGGATCCTCAGCAACAAAGGTACTTATGATACGGAGCAAGATGCCGATCGTCAGTGGATTGAGGAGACAGGAACGCTTCCACCGTCTGGAAACCGGGTTGCCGCTCAATTGCTTGGTTTCAAATTACGCTTTTATCTCTCACCGGCACGCGACGAGCACGATCTTTTCCCAAAAAATCTAATTTGGCTGACGGCCCTGTTGATCAAAATCGGTTTCATATCCCTGAGGGACATATATCCGCATTTGTGGCCTTCAGACGACGAGATGTCTGCTGTCAAAGAATACAAGATGAAAGAGTTGGCTGAAGAGGAGAGGAAGAATCGACCGGGTGGTGGTGTAGCAAATGCGCTGTTGATGGCTGGAGCTCTTGCAGACGATACGGTGCCTAGCGGTAATAGAACCCGCGAGACTACAACTGCTAAAACCGACGCGACTCCCACCGCTTCAACCAATACTGAAGAGCAGGATAATTTTAGCCAGAAGCTAAAACAATGTGACCAAAAGGAGTGGCTTCTCGAGTGTCTCTTGACCATTGGCTCAATTCCAGAATCCCTATTTATTCTTGGACGCTTTCCATGGCTCCCGGAAGCATACCCAGCCATCTATGGACTCATCAACCGCATCATACGCTATTCGATAAAGGATGTTTATGATACAGCCCGTCCTACCTCTAAAACCGCAGCGTGTCCCCCCAAGCGAGTCCCGGATCCTGACCAAGGCGGAGTGCCAAAGGGCCAGGTCCGTTTGGCCCCGATGCCTGCTCGAAAACTATTACGCTGGCCATATGCCGAAACATTTGATACAGCTGAGAACATGTCCTACCGGTTCTATTGGGATGAATGGGGTGATAACATACCAGTCTGCCAAAATGTGGATGACGTTTTCACGCTCTGCGGTACGCTTCTCAACTCTTCAGGTGTCAATATTGGTAGGGATGCCGAATTGCTATCTAAACTTGCACGAATCGGTGTTCAGAGTCTCACAGACGACCGATCACCACACAATCTCGAAAGGTGGCAAGATCTTCTCAAGCGACTATTAGTTCCAGCCCTCAGCTTAACCAAGGCCAATACTAGTGTGGTTAACGAAGTGTACGACATGCTCAGGTTCTACCCAGTCTCCATCAGATATTCAATCTATGCGGAATGGTTTGAAGGACAAATCTCCCGGCTACCAGCAATGAAAGTGGCTTTCGCACGCACAAGACTTGAAACCAATCACATCATGAAACGAATTAGCATGACCAATCTTACCGCTATGGCCAGGAGTCTTGCCAAAACTGCTTATGCATCACCTGGCATCGTTTTCAGTGTTGCGCTGAGCCAGATTGAAGCCTACACCAATCTCACCGAGGTTGTGGTGGAATGCGCCAAGTACTTCACAGACCTTGCCTACGATGTTTTGGTTTGGTCGCTTATGAGTTCCCTTGGTGGGAAAGATAGGAACCGCACCAATGCTGAGTTTGCTCTTCTCCCAAGCAGATGGCTGCTGGCCCTGTCACGCTTTGCTGGAAAAGTCTTCAAGCGCTACTCCATCATGAACCTTTCGCCAATTATCCGATATGTCGATAATCAATTATACCTAGGAAACTCTACCGATCTTGTCATTCTACAAGAGCTCATTGCTCAAATGGCCGGAGTTGTCCCAGATACAGACTTTACCGATGTCCAACTCACTGCAATGACCGGTGGTGAAGTTCTTCGACGTCAGACACTCATTAACCTCCAAGATAAACGTTACGAGTCTGTCAAAACCGCCAAGAGGCTGATGAAGGCTCTCACAGAAACGAAGCTCGCTGGGAACCTACTCATTTCCATTGCACAACACAAACAGGCAGCAATCTATAAAATCCCAGACGAGGATGCTCATATCAAATTACTCGCAACAATGATCGATGACGCCCAATTGATTCTATTCCAATACCTCGACTTACTTCGCAGCAATCTTCCTGTTGATGAATTCGACAAGCATGTCCCTGGAATTCCAGACCTCCTTACTGAATATGGGCTTGAACCCCCTCTCGCTTTCATGATTGGCCGCGCCAGTCTTGTGCAGCGCATGGCACAGGCTACTTCTTCTCTGGAAAGTACGACCAAACGTCTGCCATCCACTTCTGCCGCGGAGGTGACAACTGAGATGGAGGTTGACGCGGTGGTGGAAAGTGCTGATGAAACAAATATCGTCAATGGCAATGTGAAAGCCAACGATGATGTTCAGATGTCAGATGTCAAAGATGATAATTCTCCTCGTCCGGATTCTTCAGCTAGTACTCCTGCTACACCAGCTGACCCATGTTACGAAATCATGGAGCCAATAATCTCGACGATCAAAATTGTTTTACCAGAATCGTCTTTCAGGGAACTAAGTCCAGATTTCTATGCCACATTCTGGACTTCGACCTTGAGTGACCTGTCCATCCCTTCTGGAAGCTATGAGGCCGAAATTAAACGACTTCGCAGCGAGCAAGAATCGCTCATGAGAGATCGTTCCGATATGACTCGGTCAGGGATGGCTAAGAAAGAAGACATGAGAAAACATTTAGCTGAAACTCGAGAAGCCCTTATCGCAGAGCTTAGCAAGCAGGTGGACGCCTTTGGCCAAGCCAAATCCCGTTTACTTAAACGGAAAGCTGGCTGGTTCGAGCAAGCTCCTAAGCCCGATGCAGTGAGCGATGCTTTCCTGGAAACGTGCCTTATCCCACGTCTTCTTCTCTCGCCCAGCGATGCCGATTTCTGCTTTAGAATGATCCGATTCTTACACGATAATGGCGTACCAAATTTCAGAACTCTCTCACTCTACGGACGGATCTTCAGAGCACATCGCTTGCGCTCAATCATTTTTACATGCAGCGTTCGCGAGGCTGAAAATCTGGGCCGATTCCTCCGACTTGTACTTGCAGATCTCGCACGATGGCACGCTGATGCAGCAGTTTATGAGAAAGAAGCATGGGGAGGACCTGGGAAATCTCGAACGGGTTTTATCAAGGGATTGAATAGTGACGGTACACCCAAGGGTTGGCTTGAATATGATGGCGAATTTGGCTACAAGAACATATTGTATGCTTGGCACAAGAACTTGAACACTGCTCTCCGAGTGTGTCTAGAAGGAACAGAGTGGATGCATATTCGAAACGCTATCACGGTACTCAAATCTGTCGCGGAAGTATTCCCTTCTGTTGATTTCATGGGCAATAACTTCATCAAACAACTCGAAGCAATTATCGTCCGGGAGAAGGGTGCCCGTGAAGATCTTTCTCTCACAGGCAATGCTGTTTTGGTGCAGCTAAGGAAACGATCGAGGAAATGGGTGATGGTACAAGCCTTCGGTTACAGTTTGGTATGTCCTGTTTCTACCTTTCAACCCTCCTTTACTAAACCGTCCAAGTCCAAGCCAGTCCAAACCAATGGCACTGCTACTAGGTCAACATCACAATCCAACGTCCCTTCCAGGCCATCTCTCAAGCCGACTGCTCCCGAGTTTAAGCCCCAATCGCGAGCTAGGTAAGTTAGCCCTTTAGCCAACAAGCATATTACAGCACCTCTAATTGTTCATCAGCTCCCAAGGAGTATCCACGCCAAAGCCCGTGGAAGTTGAAGATGGCGAAGTCGACGACGCGAAAACGTCTGGAACGGCCACAAACAAACCTGACGCTGCCACAAAGGATATAGCTGACGCCAAGCCTACTGTTCCCGCAGCAACACCGGCGACTGAGCCGAAGAAATCGGAAGTCCTGCTCAAGAGAGAACAGTTCCAAAGGGAGGCCGCTGCGAAGGCCCTCGCCTCATCCCAAAACACACCCGTGCGCCCTGACCATTCCAGAACATCCACGCCGTCGAGTCTTGACCGAGGTCCTTCCAACCTCCCCAGCCGTCCAGATGCTCCCTTCCCACCCCGGCATCAGTTAGATAGACGCCACCCAGAGTGGAGGGATGGGAGAGATGTGAGAGATTCGCGCATGGCGGACCCGAGCCGGATGGATAGACCTGATAGACTTGGGGACAGGCACCGTGAATATCCGGGCGGCGATCGGCGAGGCGGCGATCCGGGTCCAAGAGACTTTGGGCGAACTTCCGATCGTAACGCGATGCCTGACCGTGACCGTGTTCGTCCAGAGCCCCCTCCTCGTTGGACTCCCGACTCTTCTCGTGAAAATCTTGACAGGACCACGAACCTCAACCGAACCGCTGACAGCGGCCGACTATCTCGTGAGACTGTCATGCCTCCGCCAAGGTCGTCAGGAGTATCAGGGGATCGTGCTCCCATAGTGGATTCGGAGAGAGTCCCTCCTGTCAATCTAGAGCGACAAGAGCTTATCAACTCTGACAGGGCTGCACTTATATCTGCTGATCCTCGATCGGACTCACCGCGTCGCCACAGAGATGAACCGAGAGAGCGACGCTCGCCACGACCGCAATCGCCCAGACGATACGGGTCAGAGCGAGACCATCCAGAGGCCAGGCGAGATGACCGTTCACGTAATGTACCTACAGATGTCCATACTCCTTCTCGTGGTCGCAACGAGGATATCGTACCGCCACCTGTTGGCCCTCGCAATGACAGATTAGGTGATCGGAGCAGTGAACGGGGTGACAGACCACCATTCCAACAAGCACCCGTTCCACCGCGATCAGGCGGCCCAGATCATGGTAGGTTGAACATGGGCGCTCGACAACAGCCCGACCCCAACTTTGGTCGGTTGAATCCTACACCAACCCATGATATACCTTCGGGGCCGCGGGATAGAAACAGTCGTGGTAATCGTCTCAGCACTGGGCCTCGATTGGGAGGAAGACCCTCTACAGAGACTCCTCGTCCCCCAACTCCGGATAAGCAGCCACCTACAGGACCTTCGTCTGGCCGTCACCCAAGACGCTCAGCTTCAGGGCAGTTTGAAACCCCGTCTGCAGCTCCTACCTCCGCCCCCGCTACACCGGCAGCTTCATCACCGGCAGGTTCAATACATCCGGACCGATTGAGGGCTCTAGGAGGGCCGGGGGCCCAGCCATCGCCAACACCGCAATCAGCGAATGCTGCTTCGGGCCCTATCCACCCTGACAGACTGAAGGCATTTGGGAATGACCAACCAGCCAAACCTACTCCCAACACCCAGCTAAACAATACCCGCTCCAGACCACAAGTTCCTCCCGTTGTTACCGGTGGCCCTCCGCTGGGTCCGAAGGGATCTCAACCGAGCCCAGTCACAGCTGGGACAAACGGATTGGTGCCACCGACCGGCCCATCCTCAGCGTCTGAGCGTGCTGCTCGTGGTGGACGACGACAATTCGCCGCGATCAACAACACGCTACAACAATCCAATGTTCCTGATCGTATAAACGTTCGTGGCCGTGGACGAATAAGCGCCGGTGGACCAGAAACACCTACAGGTACCTCGTCAGGCCATGCACCCCCGCCTCCTCCGCCACCACCACCTTCCACACCTCCACCTGGAAGGCAGATGGGCAGAGACGGTGGAAGAGATCTCATAAACGCAGAACGTAGCGATTTGATTACACCCAATGAGCCATCGGTTGATGATCGGGACAAGGACCGGAGCGGGCGCCGAGAGCGATCGGGTCGTCATAGCCACAGGGGTTCACGAAGTCCAGAGGCTCGCCCCCGGGATGGGAAACGTGTGTTACCAGAAGACGGTCGTGCCTCGCGAGGTGAACCTCGGGATCGCAGAGGTGGTGAACGAGAGCCTGAGAGAGAGAGACACCAAGGTCGCTCACCCCACCCTGATCTAATTGCTGGGAGAGACGTCGCCGGTGGCCCCAGAGAAGCCGGCCGCGAGCCAAGGGATAGAGATCCGACTAGACGGGGTGATGGTAGGAGCCGTGATGGCGGTAGTGTGCGAGAACCTCATGATCCTGCATGGAGCGGCGAGAGAGCCCCTAGCGGACGAAATAGAGACGTAAGGGGCGATGAGCGACGGGATACGAGAGGGAGCAGAGGTGACGATATAGGAAGGAAGAGAAGAAGCGACGATGGAGTCATGGACCCGAGGGGTCATGATAAACGACCTCGTCGTTTGTAAATGGGTCAATCATAGATTGGTTGGTTTGGTGGATGCATGTTGTAAGAATTTTGTATGTTTTGCTGGAATTCGATGACGAAAAATTACCATATGCATTGGTAGGGCGCTCGTTTCCTTTATTTTCATTTCAGACGCAAATAGCATTCGAGGCGAAATGCATGGTATGATACTCGTGTGTTATGGAGAATGAATAAAGGGATGGCTTACATCTCCACTATCTTTCATTCCCTCTCAAGGAGAGAATATATTTGTGTTCAGTGCGTAGAATAGCAAGGAAATTTACAAATACCTCTGTTTGTTTTTGCAATAACGTGAAAAATCTCGCTTGTCGTTCGATGAGTGCTACTACCTATAAATCGAGGATGGAGAGAGATGACCTGGTTTTGAGTAAACCTTTTATGATGGGATGGATGGCAAGTATTCCGGCAAGTGCACCGGCGTCCTCGATCCATTTACGGTTGACTTATCTCAAGCAAGCACACTATGTACAGTACATCTCCCATTTTTGTGGCAGGTTGCCATTTTCAAGGCTATGTTATCATCGGACAGCAAGTCCTATGACTTCCAACCCAAAGTCTCGGAATGGCACACTCGTCGAGCCACCTCAACCCCCTGGGTGTTACGAAACTTGGTCTGTCTAGTATTCCAATCAATGGAGCATGTATGCTTTACATGTCTACCTAAATACAATTCTTAGTTCCTTCATTTTATGATCATGGACAGATTATGGATACAAAACGCAAGAAAATCCAGGCAATCCTCGAGCCTATTCTGGCTCCTTCAATTTTAGCTCCCTTAACTTCCAGGAAACCCGTTTCTTAAGGTAAGTTAGCATCAAGCCGGGACTCGTGAAAGTTTCACGAGAAACGGGATACAGTTCAAGGATATGTCTTCGGACTTCTGGAATAACTCCTTCCAGAGGTGCGTTGTATTTGACTACGTACATGTATATGACACCGTGAGATACTTTTTCAAGGAATGGTATGTTAATGGAATTTCACTATGCGGTGGAGAAATGACAGACGAAGGGCGGTTGACAAGTGGAGAGAACTTGACACTAGGAGAAAGATTGACAAACAGGAGGGAAATGTAATAGACCAATGCAAACCTCTATGCTGCTGTCAATCCTGTGAAAAATTGCAGGGCCTCGGCTTTACATGGTGCTTTATTGTTTTGGTCAGTTAGATCCCTCCTATAGCCTGCGGATCCACTCGATGGCGTATTTCAATTGACACCAATATATTGCTTCCCGAGTGTATCAGTCTGCGTATATTTGATATATTAACCTTGAGAGTCAACATAGTCAAAGTATAATCTGGTCGGGTAATGCTTGATTTTGCAAAAGGTTTCGGATCCAACATACTATCACTGGCAATCATCTGAGAAATTGCTAGGCCGCGGGTTTACTAATGCAGCCTTATAGTTTTGTCAGTTAAATTGCAATTTGCACTATCGAGGAGCACTTCTGCTATAGAGCCTTATAAGCAACGAGCGAATGGACAGGGCAGCCTAACGCTACATATCAAGAGGTAAAAAGTTTAACGTAGTAGTTTCCCTTGTTATATTCTTCATAATGGAGTTGAGGAGGTTGTTAAAAGCTCGCAGTATCTGAACAGTATATTACTAAATGTCCTCTCTTCTGTTATTCCTTTTCTCTTGCTGAGCAAGTAAATGAATTCAGGTTCCAAAGCAAAGAAAACGAACATAACCTGAAGCGATTTGGATGCTTCCAAACATGATATAACCCAGTAATTATTACCTATCTCGACAATAAAAATTGGTAACCAGAAAGAAGACGTCACCCCACGAGACCTATTTCCGCAGCTTTCCCATCAGCACTCCCCAAAAGTCAGCTTGATTTAGTTCCTCAAAGCAACTGCATCCCAGCAACCAATGCAACCAACCCCATCACTCCCGCTCCCAATCTCATCTTCCCAGCTCCGGATACTGGCACAGGGTTGCTTGGGAGAGGTTTAGTGGGCACAGCAGCGGTGGAACCAACATGGCTCAACAAGGCAGTCGTAACCTTTCCCCCGCCAGTCTTCGTCGCAACAGCTGTCCCATTGGAATGGCTCTTTGTATGACCGTGGCTGAATGTGTTCGTAGGCGTAGCGACGCAGTTAGACTCGGTAACGGTGACTGTGACCCTGCCATCATGCGAAGAATGATGCTCTGATCCAGTCTTGGAAGGGTGTCCAGTTGGGTGCCCAGTTGGTACGATGGAGACTGAGTCGGAGTCGCTAGTGGAAGCGGTGGGTGCGACTGAGGAGGAGAGACTGGCATCGCCAGTGGGAGTATTCTCGTTCGTGTCTGTGAATCCGATGGTACCAGTTTCTGTAGGATCGGCGATAGTAAGAGAAACAGTTGGTGCCCCCAGGCTAAAGGAATCTTGTGCCAGCGTAGTCACGGCGAAGGTCGCGACGAGTGAGAGGGTAGTTGCGCGCATTTTGAAAACAAATAATAATAGTAAGAGGATTATATTTTTAAACTGAGCGAGCGTTTTTTAGAACGAGTGTGAGAACGAATGTAGGTACGTAGAAACAGGAGGATGAGAGCAAAGTACCAACCAAGTCAGATCGAACTCAGGAATACACACTATATATGAGAGGAGGCAAGACTGCTTGCTCGACTGGTCTGGCTGCCATTGCTAAAATAGCCATTGCCGGCCGGGATAAATAGTAAATGGCAGGTTCCTGCATATCTTCCATATATCGATGTTTCGTTTTGAAGATCGATATATCCCGGAGATATATGTCGTGTGACGACGAGATGCATAAGACTTCATCCAAGCCAATCAGCAGGCGACGGTTGTTCTACCGGAACCACAACCTGCAGATGCTGGAGAAGTCCCATATACTATACATGGGAACTTATAATAATATAGAAGCTGTCTAGTATTCAATATGCAGGCTAATGCTGCCACTTACCCGGTGGTGTGTTTATGTGGGCTTATTGCGAAATCCCGCTGAAAGTGGTGGAGATTGAAAACATATTTTGGGATGCACAGCGAGGTGTCTCATAACAGTTGGGAGAATTAAATCCACACTTCTAACAATTCTATATTAGATCACGTAGAAGAAGTAGAATCGATGTAATAGCAAGTGTATTTGCAAAGCTCAATCTATCCCTGTGAATCAAATTGGTATCCTTAATCAAATTCCTCCAAGCTGGGGGAAGTCCCCTGTTGTCAGCTTGCTTCTTTGTCAACTTGCTGCTTGTCAACTTGCTGCTCGTCTGCTTGTCGACTTCCTCCCGAAGGCGGAAGAGATATAAGCCATATCTAGATGGCTGGACCGCTTCGAAACCCAGAGTGGGTACATTCTGGTAGGGATAGCCGACGTGGTACCAAAAGTGCAACGCCCGGCAAACCTCGTTGACAAAGCAAGTTCGATTATAGGTATCGAACCTCGTCCGTTCTTCTCGATCCCAGGCTACTATGGCCTGGGCCTGGAGTCTTTCGACTGGTCCGTTCCATCGGATATTGATGTACTCTTTTCCAAGTTGGTCGGTTTGGGTGTACTTGATATACTGCTCCCTTCCATCTATATAATCGAAACACAGTCTAGTTGGATCGTGCTTAATTTTACAGTATACGCTGGCTCCTGCCTTGCGGCAGTTTGGAACCATGGGGTACTTAGGGGTCGGGTCACAATCTCTGATCAATGTGCCCATTTTGATGGCACAGCCGGCCATCTTCCGCAGCCTTTTTTCTTAGTGTAGACTCTAAAGTACTCGGAGTAGCGAAGAATAATAATTTTTAGGGGTATGTATCCACAAGATCCACACGATAAATTATCCTAGACTTGAAAAGAAAACCCAAGAATTCAACAATCGAACCCGGTTTAATGTTTCACTTCTAGTGAGATATTTAGGGGTTTAAAAAGCTAAGCTCATTTAAGGTTCCTCCAGGGACAAAACAAAGCTTTAGTAAGGTCCAAAGGAAAGGCAAAAAATAAAAGGAATATTCGAGGCCGTTTTGCATCATCCATAAATCGAACCCAGTTTTATTTTTGCGCTGGTATAATGAAGTCACGTGACAAGGATGGATTTGCATCATTGGTTTATTGCCAAAAACCATTGATGCAACATATAATAAATTATGATCACGAGACTCGTATTGTATCCAAAAATTATATATCCATTCTTTTTTAGATTGAGGACTCTTAACGTACCCTTTATTATTACCATCAGCTCATGTTGCAACGGGGAAAAAGCCACAAAAAAAATCAACTCGGCTAGGCTCTATATGGGGCCTTTCTAGGGACTAAAAAAAAGCTTCAGCGAGGTTAAAAGAAAGGCAAAAAGTATGGATTGGAGTCCCTGTTGCATCATCCGTGAATCGAACACGGGGCCCATCGAGCTTGAATAACAGAGTTATATACATGGCAACGATGGATTTTACCACTAAACCAATGATGCGGCTGTTGTTGAAGAAAGATTGTCTATTTGACATGATATGGGTTGAGTCGTGGGGTGGTGGACTATGCCGGAGCCAATTGCCTCACGAGCGGTGGTGGGTCTTGGCACGCTTTTAGCGAGAGTACCTAAACACCGACAATTTTCTTGCTCGGATTGCAGCCCGGTTCCTAACTAGACAACTAGTAGAACGTTTAGAGTTGGGAAGCAGCCGTTTCCCCTGCATTTTGACAAGTTTTCTTGGAGGCTGGCCGAATCAATCCAAGGACATCGGGAACGGGAGATGTCTACTTTATCGTCTACTGTCCAACTCTGGCGGGAATGGGATCGAAAAGACACTGTCAGTTCGTATGAATGATTGATATTCTTTGAAAGTTGTCATAATAGTCGCCTTGCTCCCAGGGATATACGATATTATCGACGATAAAATGTAGATTCGATGTAGCGTCTGCCTCACATTTGCTGGCTTGGGCTGGATGCGGCTTGCCCTTCCCTGTTACGCCAGGTCGCCATTATTGTAAACATGACAACTGCACTACTCTGTCTCTCCATAGATATGTCAAGAGTCATGACCGTATGACTGAAATGCACCGCAGGAAATGTTTCGGAGACCCATGATCTATATAGCGGAGAGTTGAATCATTCTTTTTTTTCCAGGTAGCCATAAGAGAGAATCGAGGCAAATAGACCAAATTGAAGGTGTTTGTTGTCCGCTCAAGATACGGAATCCGTTCGGGTGGGGGTATAGTTTGCAGCCACCCAGCCAAAATGTCAATTGTTTCCCCATGAATATGGGCATCCCTGACTGAACTTGGTGCTCTGCGGAATGTCCTGTGGTGGATTGTTGCTTCGGATTAATGCTGAGGAAAAGGGGTGCAATTGAGGGCATGTTACGTTCTGGTGCTCCGATGCTTTGGTATCTTGTTGAACTAATGAAGGAATACCGCATGCCGCGTGTTTGGGGGCCTTGGGATTCTGGAATCCTCATCTCAAACTATGTGACCCAATAATCTCGTTAGATGTAGACTGTTCCAAGTCAACTGTCTGCGATGAAATGTGTCATAAAGGCAAAAATAGCAGTTGTGCTAGAAGCGCGTGGTAATAGACTGCACAGGTCGATAATAACGAGTTTTCCAAAACATAGAAATTTGAATGATGGGCATAAAGAGTAAAAGTAGATGGGCGAACGTTTCAGTCCAGGGAGTCCCACACTGATGAAAAATGATTTGGTCCTTCCGCTGGAAGCTTCGATATTTTCTAAGATAATTCTGGGTATGCATTATATTGCTTTTTGTATGGCTGATGCTCTCGATGACGTTCAAGCCCATACTAACGGGTGAGCCTAGCTTTCTAGGACTTATCAGGGAATCCGAAGTCAACTCCAAAGGCAGGGTAGACATATCTCACAACCTTTCCAGATGATTCCAAGTCTCTGGAGTAATCATTAAGAACCTTCATGTCGGTATCATCGAGCTTGATAAGCTCCATATTTGCCTTTATCCTCTCGGGATTGACCGATTTTGCAAGAACTGAGCTTCCTCGCGCAACTAAGTCGGTTAGCACTGATATCGTTTAAGGGAAATCGGCACCTACTATGATAACTCAAAAGCACCACTGCAGGAGTTACACTGCGCTTCTTCGCAACTTCTACAACTGGTGCTGCTGTGAACATAGGGCTTCCTGTGCTGCCGAGAGGGCTGTAGGCCGTGATATGGATGCCCTTTGACTTGCAGAAATCTACAATCTCCTGTTGGGGCAGGGAAGGGTGATTCTCAATCTGGTTGACCGCAGGCACAATGGTGGCTTGGGGCAGCAGTTCTTGGAGAAATCGCACACTATAATTGGCCACCCCAATTGCTTTGACCTTGCCGGTTGCCACGAGCTTCTCCATCAATTTCCATGTTTGAATGTGGGACCAGTCCTTAACAAGATCGCGCGAACCGTCGGGGTGCTTGGGGAATTTCTCGTGGTTTCCTGCGACGAACAATCAGAAGGTCTCAGGACGATAAAGGTGGGGTACCGACCATTAGGATTCATGGCAACCGGCCAATGCACGAGATATAGATCTACATAGTCCAAGCCCAGACTCTTCAAGCTCATATCAAGGTTCTCCTCGACGCGAGAGTGGTAGGTAGACCAAAGCTTAGTGGTGACGAAGACATCCTCTCTCTTGATCCCACTATCGAATGCCTTCTTGAGGCCCGCTCCTACCTCGTCCTCATTGCCATAGCAGTATGCTGTTTGGATTAGACGATATCTCGCATATAATAGATAAATGGCATAAGCACAGTCATGCTGTGAACATACCGGCGTCAATATGTCTATATCCAAGGGAAAGAGCATCGGATACTGCGTTCTTAACCTCCCCCGCAGCAGATTGCCATGTGCCCAAACCGAGCGCTGGAATCTCCGCACCTGTGTTTAACTTGAAGCGTGTGTCTGCCATGATGTGATGCCTGGTATTGTAGGGAAGGGAAGAATGACAGGGAAATAAATATATTTTTATATTTATGCAGCGCAGAGAAGATGGGGGGCAGCAAGAAAGGAGAGAGATACCAACTTAGCGGGGGTGGTGTCCCTTTATCGTAATTTTCCGGGACTTTACCCGTCGCCGTTGCAAGGCGCCAAGGTTAGGAATCAGTGAGATATAGCGTACAGGATATGCTCCTTGCCTAGCTTCCATATGGCATGCTATGGCGAAGTCGTGGGGATTTGGCGGGGGCATGCAAGACGATCAGCTCTATTGGAGAGTAGACAGTTCGCACGAGAGTTGTCCCGATATCTTGAGAGCTGCCCGGGCATCGGGATAAGTGGAAAGTAAACAGTGCTAATCCCAAATAGGAAAGGTCATGCTCGCATAAACGGTACAACATAACCCGCCAAAGCCCGATAAATTCGATATAACGCCGATAGCGATCATCATTGGGGTGACAGGTGCGCCAATGCTTATAAATATCTATAGCAGCCAAGAAAATAGATTTCTCCACCAACCATCTTGTCGAAGTAAGTCGGGTTTTCCACCTTGCTCGCAACACAGGCAAACCGCCAACCACCTCAAATTGCGAGGTATCTAATCTCTAATATACAGTAATTATACATATCGACAACTCTATGAGCCGCTTGGTATTGAAGGAAGTTTAGATACTTGCAGTTAACGAGCGCCGGTTTCCACACTGACTGAACTACGCCAGGGATCAACCTGGTAGAGATATCAATTTTCCGATTTCATTACCAGTATCTCCCTCCGATGAGAACCTTTCGTAAAACATGCAAATCTACATCTTATGAACTAGTAGTAGCGTCCTCATGTTTGGACAATAGAAGCTGCAATTCCGAATTCTCCTTGTAGCGAACCAATGCAGCGATTTTCCAATCATCGCATTCCAGCCCCTCGCCCACATTGACAGCGTCTCGAAGTCCTCAAAAATGGCCGAGAAACCCACTCCAGTCAGTAAGATCATAGCTACAAAAATCAAACCTATGCTGTAACCAGCCATTCCAGACAAAATCCGCTAGATCTGGCGGCCGTTTCCCTCAGCAGGTTTGCAAGTTATATCAAACTTCCTTATATCAAGCTTACGAGCTTGCAGAGCTCTAAACACTTTGCTGCGAAGCACTATCAGATAACAAGTGCTCTTAGATAAATAAAGAAGTCGCTCTATTCCTCCTCGAAATAAATTATGCTTTCAATGATTCTATCCTTTGATCTAGGAGCAGTGGCCGTCGGGGGGGATACGAGGAACACGAAGTTGCCAAGCCTGACTCATCGCAACTACTTCGCCACAGCCCGAAATATTTCAAGAAGATGAATTGCAACTCAATGAATTTGAAAATCTAACAGCGTGTCAAATTACATCCTACATATCGTCAAAGTTATGGCCTCACCTAACCCCCCCGGCAAAACAATCGCCCTCATCCACAACAGTGCCCTACCATTTCCCCTCGGCACAATCAGCACTCATGTCGCTGAATACGCCCGCGATGTATGCCTATATAGAGTATCCTCTGACTATGTTGTTGAAATCATAGACCTTGCAACTTTTGCTCTTCCCGTCACTTCCAATATAGACGGCAAACTAACTCCAAGCGACTTTGCAAGCGGGCCAGATCCATGCACCCAAAAAGCGACCAAGTCCCTAAAGGAATGGGAAGAAGAAGCCTCAAAACACAGTGTATTCGTTTTTCTCTTCCCTTTCCACATCTGGTCCTATTGCAAACCGATCAAGGACGCTATCTCAGCTCTCCCTCAAACTCTCTTCGCTCGCAAGCCGACAATCATTATGGGCTTTGGGAAACAAGTCCCATTTTGTCCCAAAGACTGGGCTAGGACGTGGAGAAAAACTAGTTATGGGATGATGAAGGATTTTTTTGAGGGAAAAGGAATGAAAGTGATAGAAATGAGAGGGGGCAATCCTGAATTCGCGGTTCATGGCGGGGATTACGAAGCGTATTGGTTGAAGGGACGAGCTGCGATTGGTGGCCAGCAGTCGGAGGAGTGGGAGAGTTCGGCGTGGAATCGGTGTGCGGAGGGAATGAGAAAGATAGAGATGTTAGAAGTGCAGAGAAAGAAATGATATTTCTCGAATTTGCACTGTCGCTTGAAATAGCCACTAGCTCGTTCATGTGCAGCGGTCATCATCCACTTGTGCCGGGGAACCTTTGTTTTGGGGGCCCAAAACGAGCATACATTTGAACCTTAAAATAGCAAGCCGCCTGCCACCTGCGTTCGGATCCAATGGCAGGATTCGAAAAGTCCGGCAACTTTACAGCTTTGCTCCTTCCCGGTATTTTCATATATTTTAATTGTCAGAGAACGTCTCCGATGTTTCTGCCTGACCTCCAACGACCTTGGTCCTCGGGGACTCTGGGTTTCCTACGTTGTCAAAAGCCTCCAGATACCCCCGACTTCCGCAAATCCGTCAACTCACTAGCCATTCCTATGGATGGAAGTCTCACAACCCGTGAAGATTTGACAGGATCAATTGTCATTTTCAAGCTCTTCTTCGTCACAATGCCTCTAGATTTTCTTGCGACCTTCATCATAGTATGCGGAGGTAGAAATGGGTATCTGGTTGCAACATCTGGCCAGTACTAATTCCCTCGATTGCCTGTCAGGTCGTCGATCTGCATGATAGCTGGCTCATATGCTCTTGCACCGTCTTTTCTCGGGTGTCTTCAGCTTCGAATCGTCGGTGTTCTTCTAGTCCGTAATTCACTGATCCGAGAGTGGTATTATTCATTGCAACTTCTTGCCGCCAAAGCGGACATGTCAGCCCACAAACTTTCTTTTGTCTATAGTTAAGACTCCTTTCCCAAGTTAGGCGGCTCTCAGAGGGGCAAGCATAGAAAATGGCATCTATAGCGACAATGCTTCCTCAATGATTCTCCAGATTCTACATCTATTGCGAAAGCCGATTGGAGAAGCTAACAGACTACCTTCAGCCATCATAATATCGTCTTTCTTAGCCAACTGCTTCGCCAATGCCTTCCAATCCCGCGGAGCATCGTTGACTGAGGTATCGGTACTCCTGGGGATGAATCTTAGCCCATTTTCACAAAACATACCTTGCTCTCAAGATCCCAGATGAAAAGTTCCATGAAGTAATCGTTGGAACCAGAATTGTTGATCGATACAGAGGCGCGATGCCAACGTCTTGGAAGATAGTCGTAGGGCAAGTAGAGAGGGCGTTGAAAGGAAAGAGGTAATCTGGCCCGTAATCTCCACTGGTAGAGCTTCGAAACGGGATGCTTCCTTTGGTGTTGAGGTTTCTGCTCCAGATATTTGAAATTTCGCAACGTTAAAATTTTCTGGGCGTGGGGTCCTAAGTTGAGGAAGCAGGCTTAGAATGAACTTGGTGAGATTAGGTACCTTGGCGGGATCGGCGCAGCACCACTGCGTTGGAATGTCAGTAGTGAATCGCAAATTGTGATCCTATCGCTCACCTCAGTGCCATGACCGCCTTCCCAATCGTTGTAGCCCTGACACTCACGAGCACGATAATAGTTATGGTCCCATTCTATGCCGAACATGCCATAATCGCCTCGGTTGCCTACTTTCATGTTTCTCGAGTATTGCTTGCATAACGAATCGCAAAAGTAAGATGGGGACCTGAACTTGGAATGACTCCATTACGTTTCCGAATAAGATGTTCAGCAATATCAATACAGGCGTCGTGGATCGGAAAGGGACATCGTCATCCTCGTTAGCGTGACACACGCGGTATTCTGCGTGGCCTATATAAAAGAAGTAGCTATCCTAGACTGCAGAGCGTCAATACTTTCTATTTTATTATTTATTATAGTAAACTAGAACAAAAGGGGCGGGGAAAAACTAGACGATGATATGTTTGGGGCATAAAGGCATAAAGGAGTGAAGAATGTGTTTCAAGGACCGTAAACAAGGAAAGTACGGAATTCAGTGGTCCTTACACTGTGGTGGGCATGTTCTGAAATGAAAATCGCTTCAACTTCGGAACAGTTTTTGGGTCTGTATAGGAATCACTAAACGAAACAACGCATATAGAAACGACCGCCCATAGGATAGAAGGGTATACGGGTGAAAATTCCGCTCGCAAAAGCTTTCCACGCTCCGTGTTCGGCCCACGAGTCGATATTCTTCAAGCCACTATGTTTCCTTATAGTCAAGCCCGCGTTTACTAATATCGCCGATATGATGTCCTCGCGAGTCACGCCTGAGTGGAGAGGAAATCGATGGCGAGGAGACCGACCTGGGACTTGTCTTCCGTTAGCACAGACGCCCAGCTGCAACCTATATCTCCTATGCCGGTGCTATCATCGAAGGTATCAGGAATCCCAAAAGGTCCTCCGCAAACCGGACAGTACTGATTTGGCAGACCCATTCCGCATAGAATTTCTTCCGCGTATATTCTAATCTGATGGGAAGGAACGTGAGCAATAACAGGCAGGAGCTATCAGAACTCAGTTTCGACGTGGCATTTTGGAACGGGGACGCGTTGGAAAGACATAATCTGCTACGCTCTGGCTTAGTGCTCACCGGCGTTCCTGTAGGCGCAAATAGTCAGGACTCCCATACGCCCCCGAACAAGACTTATGCCTTAGCAGAAACTGCCCATCTATTGACTGTCATTATAGTCATTTCCACGTACTATGAGTGTTGGATGAGGTTGTAGGAAATTTTATCGCCTGAGGCATTGAGACACTTGGACATGGGTTTGTGTAACCCACGTGACAATTTTATATCATTTTCTTTTCTCACTCCCTCCTCCGTCCTGTTACATACACATACCAAGTGGATTGTCTTCGCCTCCCAGTGCATATAACGTGTCATATCAAATTAGGATATTCCAATCAACAAACGAGCTTCAAAGGCCTGGCTTGTGGCTGTTTCTCGCTGTTTTGTTCCTTCTCCGGGCCATTCTCCCATTTTATCTAGGATTATCTATGACTGATTTGAGGGATGAGCAGCATACCTCTTCACTAAGCTTGGGTTGCTCTTAAGACCAACATTTGCCGCCATACTCCGACTTTGCCATAATTATCTGGCTAGATTACTGGCTCCTGCTTGAACTAGTCGTATGTGCCTTATGTTCCTGTTTTGGCTAGATGAAATCATAAGACTGACTTGGCGTAGTCTTTTGACGTCTCTGTACCTTCTCCCAACACATTGGAGCATCAATGGGAACATATTTGCAGCATGGAGGTCGCCTGTTGTTGCCGGTAGAACAACCCCTCCCAAATCCGGATTCAATCCCACGAGGAGGGGCCGAGGCACTATCGCCATATATTGTGCTCGATGTCCATCTGCTACTTAAGTTAGCGCCTGTGAGTATTGAGAGAAAGGCTATGTGTGATAGGGAAACTAGGTGCTAGTGCACGTGGAACTTGATATCACCTGATCAAAGGTAGGTCAGGTACATTTTGGTTTTGAAACCTCTGAAGGGATTGTTTTATGCGGCTTCTCGATTTTGGGTTGCTTTGAGAATTAAATGTACGTTACGGCCCCCGAATATTGCTTGCTGATAATTGCCGAGCTGTTCGAAGTGCCCCTGACCATTGTTTTTCTTCGCAGTACTCCGCGAAGGTAGCAATTCGAAGCCCTTAATTCCAAATAAATATCACCTTACAGGATGCAATGACGCAATCTGACTATCTGACTCTCTATTGCATTATTGATAAGCTCCCTGTTATCCATGGAATAATGTCAGCTCTTAAACGGTCGTTGCTTTGTCTATTTAGCTTACTTGGCGAGTCTCGTGCGATGATACTTTGTGGCGTTCCGCAAAGTGCACCCATAACCGGAAGAAACATCACATCGGCTCATGGGATCCACCCAATGACAGTTGCTGGCGCATGACCACCTACATATAGTTACGCCCGTTACATTCCCAAATCTACTTCTAGTATTGATTTATTCTTCCTGCTTATTTTTGCCCTGTTATAACAAAGATACTTCTAGTGAAGTCAATGACTAGGGATTGCGTTCCATCTGCCGAAGGAGTGTGATGCAGTCTGACCATGGAGCTGGCTGATCTATCAGGTTGCACAAGACCCTCAACATCGGGCAGCCTATCTTTGTGAATCAGCTGGAGACAACTTCGTACTATAGTTGGGGAATACCTAGGTACTTACAATGGAATCTGCAGTCACATGATATATTTGTCCTAATGAAGTGGAGAAAGGTCTTTGAAAGGAAATGTTTATTTGTTAAGTACCTGTCGGTATTTACCCATCACGTGCTTATTACGCTATCGTTCTTTTAGGGGTAACTAATATCAAATTCAGACCTAGATGTTATGAGCTTGTCTTCAAACTCTGGTTAATAACTTGTGTTGGTATTCACTTGTTGGTATTTACATGTTGGAATTCACCGACACCACGGACGTGGTACCGCCTTTTCCAAGAATTAAACCTTCCCCCCGCACACCGATCTACAAAGTTACCCTCCTCTCAACCTACAACTCCTAAATCACAACTTTTCCGACAACCCGCCGTCTCGACGGCACTACGCTCGACATGGCTTTCAGAATGATCTCTGTGGGTCAGAAAGTGGTGAAATTCAACCGCTACCGTCATCAGCAGGGCAGCCGATTCCCAGGAGCAGCGTTCACTCATCCCTCTAGCCGGTCATACTACCACTCGAATGAAGCTTTGAAGCCTTCAGAACCCGAACCTGAACCTGAACTCATCAACGCTGACGGTAGCTACCCTTTCCACCTTTACAGTAAGAGCCAGATCGTCAACATATTTAGCCGATATGCTCCGCAGCTCGACCATCGTCCTTTTGTCGCTGCCGCGGAGGTGTTCCCCATGAGAGTCAACAACTACGTGGTTGAGAATTTGATTGACTGGTAAGTCACTTCTAAATTTTTAAATCTTACATTCACCTTCACAAGAATTTCACATGCGTCATACAAACTTCGTTTTCTTACGTCGCGAATAGGTCAAATGTACCCCATGACCCAATCTTTAAATTGGTGTTCCCACAACCTGAGATGCTCTTGCCAGAACAGCTGGATCGCGTGCGGTCTTCGCGTACTCGACTAAGCCCCCCTCAACGCCAGAAGCTAGCAGAAGAGATCAGAGCCACGTTGAACCCGCACCCAGCTGGCCAAAAGGAAGAGAATGTTCCCATGCTGGACGGCATTTCAGTTGAAGGCATGCAACACAAGTACAGAGAGACTGTTCTGTTCTTTCCAATGGAGGTTTGATTTCAATGCTCTCTATGCTTGATCCAGCGCATACTAACTGAGTCGCCAGGGTCAATTTTGTCACTCATTCTGCACATACTGCTTCCGCTGGGCACAATTTACCTCTGTTGGATCGGATCAGCAGTTCAAGTCCAAAGACCAGGAGGCATTGAAGCACTACCTAGCCAGTCATCCCTTTGTCAAAGATCTTCTTTTCACTGGAGGTGACCCGATGGTCATGAATTCCCGGACCTTTGCACGCTACGTAACCCCATTACTTAATAACCCCGAAACACAACATCTCCAAACGATCCGCATCGGCACCAAGTCTTTGGCTTACTGGCCTTACCGCTACACCCATGACAGCGATGCCAAGGCACTGCTGAATATGTTTGAGAGGATCGTCAACTCAGGCAAGCATTTGTCAATCCAAGCACACTTCAGCCACCCTAAGGAGCTCCAAACACCACAAGTCCAAGAGGCAATGAAGTTAATCCAAATGACGGGGGCTGTTATCCGATGCCAAAGTCCGTTGATCCGTCACGTCAATGACTCTGCGGAGACATGGTCTACGATGTGGAACCTTCAGACGCGATTGGGTGCGATTCCGTATTACATGTAAGTACTCTGGCAATGTGCAATGAGCCACAGAACAATACTAAATTACTACAACAGGTTTGTGGAGCGAGACACAGGAGCCCGAGACTACTTCTCCGTCCCCTTGGCTAAGGCCTACGAGATCTTCAACGGCGCATACGCAAAGCTTGCTGGCACGGCTCGCACGGTTCGTGGTCCATCCATGTCCGCTGGGCCAGGCAAGATCGGCCTCGTCGGAATTTCAACCATTCATGGAGAGAAAGTCTTCGTCTTGAAGTTCTTGCAGGCTCGGAACCCAAAGTGGCTAGGTGAGACATTTTTCGCCAAGTTTGATCCACAGGCAAACTGGCTCAACGATCTCAAACCTGCTTTTGGAGAGAAGGAGTTCTTCTTTGAGCCTGAGTATAATGACACTTCAAAGAATTACCCTGGATCTTCAGGACAACGCACCTACCAATGCTCTTGAGAGTTGGTTGCTCAGTGTCTGAAACTCTTTGGGTAGCGGGCGTATTGGGAGTACTGGCGCCCAAGGATCGGATTGGTGTCTCGTGGTGCTGCGCCCCCAGTTCTCCTTGGTAGCATCTGCTTTTTCTCCTGCTGCTCCACTTCGGGCGTGATTTGGTCTGGCTTTAGCCCGGTAGTAGTAACTAGACTAGAAACTGCTTCTGTAACTGTGTTCTTGCATTTGCCAAGGCGGATAGGTCTCTTTTCTAGTCTCAAGGCAACCACGAACCGCTATAGCAATACAAAGTCTCCCTTGAACAACACCTGATGTTACCTACCTAGGTTTCCAAGCCACGTGACTCGCTCTCCTTTTTCCTAAATTCCGCGATAAGCGAACCAGTTATTGCGGCCGCGACGCCACAGGCCTAATATTGTTTTGGCTGAGTCTGATATAACCAGAGGTTGCGCCGACGACCTACACGCTGCACACCATCGCATACAACGCTGACTACTTCGTACAGAAACAAGGTACTTGCGAGATGAACCACATGTCGCACAATGATTGACTGTATCTTGGCTACAACGCCACCTGCGGCAACCATACTGAATAGCGATTGAAGTGCAGAATAATTGATTACTCAGATGCGGCCTTTGGGGCGCAGACAACAGCCAACATGCTTCCCCGCTTCCTGTGGCGCTCTGTTCTGGCCATCTGTCAAGAACATAACAGACATGCCTAAAGGGACCAATGAATCCGCTAAAAGTGCGCAATATATCCAGGCATATTGACTTAATGTCTTATCTTGCATTGATCGGAGAGGGGTACGTAGTTTGCGGGCTGGGAAGATGCTTGCTATTGGGGTCCAAATAATATGCAAGAGAAGACGAGAACGGTATAGTTATGAAGGCGTATTCTAGTAAGTAATGATGACTACTCTGCTAACAGCACAGAGTTGATAGCAATACAGGAGGAAACAATTAGATTGCGATCCCGAGCACTTGGATTTCACATTTGATGCAACCTTTGTACGTATTATCCAACGCGGAATTTCAGGGTCCTCAGTATACAGCCGCGTGGCTTGCGTCTTGTACGCTCCATCCAACAAACCCGCGGCGGCATAAGGCTTAATTGAAGCTGCTTCCAAAGCTCGGCTCAAAAACCGGATCTTCCGGTTTCCAGCACAGCAACACAGCAACCCAGTGACACAGAGATCGCCTGGGGGTTCCGCTGCTGCGGGTCCTCCGGCTCAGAAATAGTAGCCGATGCGCTGCGGGCGCCAATACGCCATCAGCGTACATATAGTAGGGACCGAAGTATCGGGATCGCTGATGGCGTATCATGGCCACCACCTGGCTTTTGTGATCGGTACGATTGCTGGGCGTCTGTAGTGATAAATCCCGCCTGCTAAATAATTAGCGGCGGAACGATAAGATCGATAGCTGATGACAAGGCATGGATATGATCGCAGGGGGTAAGCTGTCAGCGCTGTAGGAAGCATCGTTTTACCATCTCTTATCTTTCCGTGGCGGATAACAAGCCAGATAATCCTCCGCTTGAACTAGACTGGCTGCAAAGATTGCATGTTTCTTATCACAGATGTTTCAAAGCACTCGCAGAAGATGACTGGCATGACTGCCGTCTTACTTTCGTAGTATTATGCGATCTACTGCTCTCAATACTTTGTATTGGCCGCCTCATTGTTCAACTGGTTAAGTAAGTTTGCATACACGAGGATATGACGCAAACGAGGACAGGGATATAGGATCGAGCATCACGAGGCAAACAGACTTGAGCCGCCCCCGATTTCGTGGGTTGGTGTTTCACAACAGTTATCAAATGGGTGTTGCTCTTCTTTTGCCGCCTGCAACGCAGTATCCCGAATAACGACGCTGACCGATTCCAGGAAGCTGCTCCAATAGAAGTTCATATCTAAATCCAAGATTGAGACTTTTCGTTCTATACGCATCCCGCCTATGCTGCTCAGAACGAATGATTCTAGACCAGAAGGCTAGAACCAATTCGTGGGGTATAATACCAACAACGAGATAGTACAAATCGCTGAAACCGGAGATACAGAAAGATAAGTCTCCACAGGCATGGATGTGCCCTAGCAAATCCGATCGTGATATTGACCAAAATTGCTTATTTGCATCGTATATTTTGCTCGCAACCCGAGCGTCATTCGGAATCCACGATACACCATACCGGCAGCCAGATGCGTACCGGCTACCAGATCCGGGCGTTGGTTGCACACTGCAGCATCGAATTTCTCTTCCCCGTCAACAACGGAGATGCCTCCGGCAGCAACTGGTATCGAATTGGAATACTTAACGGTTGCCGGAGGTTAGTGCCAGCCATCTGGAACAGATCGGCACTGATACCTCGGAGTATGCCCAGTCTAAGAAGAATGCAACTGGCCACTGGTCGGCCCTGTAGTTCAGCTGTGGTTGGAAAGGGCAGCTTCTAGGAGTCCAGGGGCTCCGGTGGCGTCTAAAAGCGGAAATTACTGTATCTACCAAATTTCGGAGATATCAAGGGTTCGATTCGGCAACTCCTAGAATATCAATATATGTACAGTACATCAGTAAGATATATATCAAAGCTATAATTTGAACACTTATTTGAGATAAAATTAATCAAACTCCAATACTATCAAGTTCACGATCGAGATCTAGCAATTCCCAAGCTGTCATTTCCAGCTGGGACTGTTCGGTTGGGTTGCTCGCCCTCACGGATCCACACACCATGTAACCCATTCCCAGGGCCGACAACTCCATTTTCACATTCGTGACCGGCTTTCCCTTGAATAATATCCGGAAATTTTGAAACATCTCTCCTGCCTGTAGTGAGTCTGGATCTTGAACCCCCTCCTTCGCTGCAGGGACTAGAAGGTTCGAGATCTCGAGATCTTTTAGCCACGGCGCCAACAGCGCTTCTCCGGTCATTTTGACATAAGCTTCTCGTAGACACCACATTGCGTAAAAGTTGCGCACTTTTGCATCAATGACCGGGTTGGTGGAGACCTGCACATCTTCTTCCGTCCGGCCATCATCCCGGGTAACCTTGAGATTTATTTTTCTATTCCTCCACTGACATTTAGAGAGTGCATCCTCTCCATCACCCGAGATTTGGGCATCGATAATCCCCAAATCCTTGAGATTGACCGTCGCCAACCTCATGCATTTCAGCTCTTCCTCCGCAAACACTTCGCCATGCATATCAATCCAATCGAAGAAACCACTTTTGTCAATATGTTGGTGGTTACTGCTCAGCCTCTCGTTCCAACACACCACATCCGTTCCAACATCTACGTGGTTCTCAAATCCAATAGCAGCAATAAGGCTGACAACCCCAGCTTGGTGACTGACATTGAAATCGATGCGTACCCGATGGTCACTGCTGCCGTCCGAGGAGGAAGGGGCGAAGCAGGGCTTTCCATTCGCAGCTGCTGAGATCGTACTCCGTGACCAGGAAACATTACAATATTTTGTGATGATGAGATGTTTTAATATATGAGAGGCCAGGCTCATTTTGGCGTCTCTAACGAAGTAGTATTTTAGCACGCTTTCTTGCACTGACGGTGGGAGTAATGCGAGAGCACGGGACGCCTGGCACATTGTTAGTGTGATTGTGTCGGGTCAAGAATGGCAACTGGTAGAATAGGACCTACTACTGTCTTCAGCTCCTGTACTTCATCCTTCGGGTTAGGTTTCCGAGTGACGGGCCATAGGGGCCGCGTATCGAGCACCCATTGAATTATTTGAGGATGGCGCGTATTGGCTGGACTTGAAGACATCACACGTTATCAAGGAATCTCAAAAATAACAAGTAAGATATGATATGTTAGGGGCTAAGGTAGCTCATCGAACGTGATAGATAGTTGAAGGTCGTTTTGATTCCCGAAGGACATTGAGATCGGAAAAGGAATTAACCCGGTCGTATCCAGATCACGTGATATTATCCAGGTCCGAACCACCTATATACTCGTGAATAAATATTTGTAGATGGTTCCAAATGATGCGTTCTAGTTTGATATCCTAAAAGGCCATGGCGTCCTAAGCAGCCAACGTACTAATTGTGGCAGTGCATAGTATAATTTCATCAAACGTTCGACCATAGTTAAACACAACGGGTCGACTATTGAGTTTCACCAAAGTCACATATACGTCTTTAGCTAAAGAATTCTCTAGAAATAGGGTGATGTGTTAATATATTGGTTTGAGTTATAGAAGCATTTTTACACTATCATTTGAAAAGGACAAGTATCTATGTAAGAAATAATGAGACGAGAAAATATGATGAGAAGGGGAGGGATAATAATTATACCCTTAGCCACATGGACCGTACTATATATGCTTAATGAGAACTCCAAAACGAGACATGATAAGATGCCATGGGAAACTCCAAATAGTAAAATATTGTGGATCTTGCTCAGTAATAACTAAATTTAGAAATCGTAGGAAGCAGGCAAAGGGAATAAATGTTCATTGCTTGCTTCCCACTCACGGAACAACAACGGGAGTGAGAATCGCGAGACGTAGAATATTGAGCTATCCGCCCTTTTCTATACGGAGATCAAGGAAGACTGCTATTTCGCTGAGGTTCCTGTGACCTTATCTACCTACTTTACGACACCTCTAATAACTGCTCCGGAGCTAAGGCAATGGTTTAAGTTGATATATGATGTGAATCAAAGAGACCACCCAGTAGAAGACCACCTCAATTCGCCTTGGTCTACTCACTTCAAACAACATCCAAGCATCGTCTGGTCCTCAGTTTCGAGTCCAGAAGTCCCAGCCCTAGTAGAAATAAATAATTTGTAGAATTTGTCTTCAATCCCTCACTGCGCCCCATGTAGACTAAATTCAGCATATACACATGCATATTACCTCTTGCTTGCACTCGGATCACGAATTCCGCAATACGGAAAATAGAATTTGGTGCTATCGCACCCGCTGTATTTTGGAGGATTTCTCTCGCTGGTCCGGTATAAACTCAACAGAATAATACACCTGCCTTCACAGCTTATGGTAGGAAGAACTCAACGGTATACAAACCCGACTCCTTCTCTTGAAGAATCTATCTGTCTGATGGGAGAGGGGAGATGCCGAAGATGATATGCTGCGCTTTTCAGGTTATTATGCATTAGTTTAATTTCGCGAGCCAATCCAGTGACTTGATTAGAATTTCCAAAAAAAAAAATCACCTTCTCGTTCATTTGCCCATGAAAACGGAGACTTCTAATGCCGAATATTGGGCTAATAGAATAACTTAGGTTTGAAAGTTGTCTGTACACTGCTGGGAGTGGGCCATGAAGCTGATATTGAAGTAGAGTGGATTGAAATACGAACGACTGGAATTAAGACAACGCGGCGTTCATCCCTATTAGACGCAAAATTAGAAGGAAATTATCTGGGTTTACTGCTTCACAGAAAATTCCCTTGCCCCAATAACGCCTGCACCATAAATATAAATATGACAGCATAGGGTCGGCAACAAAAAGTATAAAATCGAAGAGAAGCTCGAGCCAGTACTAATTGCTCCCGGCATACTCGTGAGTAAATCTATCCTATCCAGCCATGTCGGAAAAAATGAATGCACTTGCACCACGAGGAATATGAAGGGTTATAATAGGGGTTGGGTGCAAGATTGAATCAAGATGGAGAACACACGAGTAAATCAATCCGGTCCGTCTTCCAACCAGAAGTTATCAAGGTTTACTTCTGTGCAGGACATGTCTTGCAAGGCATTTAGCAGTATGAGGGATGAGCAGACTGCTGCTTTCCCGCCAGTGACGAAGGAAAAGCGGACGTGGAGATGCCAGGCAGGCATATTCGCGTGTTGGGTATCGTAATCGCGAATGCTGGAACTGTCGCGTAGGTCTGTCTTACTTCAGACGGAGACATCTTTGGTGAGCATCTCAGAAGTCTCCGAGCTTTGTCTCAGTGGTTTGTCAGCTAGAATGTTGTGCTCTAGTAAGCGATTTCTGGCATTGTTACTCCATCCACCGTTGACCTCATCCTATACCACGCCACGGCATAGGATAAATATATAAACCCCATCCCTCTCTTCCAGTAAGTCTTAATGTGATGCGTTAATCTGAAATATATCTTGCAGCCTCTATCGCAATCCAGCTCGCATACCATTGGATTTAACTCTGGAAACTCTACGTTGCAATACTATGTCGTCACAATCACCCTCACAATCGAAAGTCGCTGGGAAGAAGATCCTCATCACAGGGGCAACGGGCAAACAAGGTGGCGCGGTCATTGATGCCCTGCGATCCAGCTCAACGCCTTTCCAGATTCTAGCCCTAACGCGCAATGCGTCCTCCCCCAAAGCGAGAACACTTGCCTCCGAGCCAAACGTTACCGTTGTCGAAGGCGATTCCACAAACCCAGCACCTATTTTCGAAAAGCATAGACCGATACATGGCGTTTTTAGCGTTACGGCGATGAAAAAACCCGGGGATGAAGAAAAACAAGCCATGCCACTAATTGACGAGGCTATTAAGAACAATGTTGAGCATTTTGTCTTTACATCTGTGGACCGGGGAGGACCTGGACGGAGCGAGCAGAACCCTACGAATATCCCGCATTTCCTGTCGAAACATAACATTGAGGAGCATCTGAAGTCGCAGATCGCAGCCAAAAAATCAAATATGCAGTACACAATATTGCGGCCTGTTGCCTTCATGGACAATCTCACGCCGGACTTTATGGGCAAAGGATTTGCCAGCATGTGGGCCGGTTTAGGGGATAAGCCACTTCAGCTCATCGCAACGCACGATATCGGGCTGTTTGCTGCCAGGGCGTTCGAGAATCCCGCCGCGTACAAAAACAAGGCCGTCTCTCTCGCAGGAGATGAGTTAACGCTCGCGCAAGGGAAGAAAGTCTTCAAGGATACATTGGGATATGACATGCCCGAAACATTTGGCTTCGTGGGCAGCGGCATCAAATTTATGGTGAAGGAGATGAGCACAATGTTCCGGTGGTTCAAGGATGAAGGATATGGTGCTGATATTCCTGCGTTGAAGAAGGAGGAACCCCGATTACAGAACTTCAGCACATGGCTGACGGAAACTAGCAGGTTTAAGAAGCAGTAGGTAGTGCGTTGAGATTTAGCGTCCCCAAGTCTACTTTCCTTTTCCTCCTTGTAATTTTATTTTAATCTTCCTGCTAAATGGGATTTTGCCTATCAAATCAATACAAAGAAATTATTGCTGTCAAAAACAGTGCTATTAATTTTCCGAACAGAGATATTCCATGCAACCTAAAACCGGCATTCTATGTCTCACTAGTTTTCTTTATTCGATGCAGTCACCAGAAGAGCTTAGTGTTTATAAGACTGTTTTACACATAGCATAGGCGAAACTCAGACCTTTAAGAAGGACCCTTTCCTTCACTACTTGCAAAATATCTTGCCAGAGTGAACTGATCAGTCGCAAGTAGACCTCAACCAGCCATCGTCACCTACTCTATTCATCGTACGACTCTTACAAAACAAGGACGATATCCCGATTCCTTCCGTACACAGCATACATAAAACCGCCTTTCTCGGGTGAATCGACTCGTTGGTCACCTCCAAAATGGCGGAATTGAATGCAACCACTTGCCCGGTTCCGTCGGACGCTCCCTCAATTGGAGCGCTCCTCATAGCTCTGATCACAGTCCTGCTAGCTTGTGCTATGTTTGCGTTGGAGATGGCAGGAGTTATAGAACCCCAAGTCCCAGTAGATGATACGCCCGACTTTGAGAAGACAGTTTAAGCAGCACCTATGCAGGTCGTCAAAAGAACTAACACACTCAGCTAAGGAACGGTTCTATCCAAGTCTAGCATATTCAACAATGCTTTCAAGAATGGAATATCTGAGATAAGCTTTTACCAAACTGCAATCACCCCAGCCACGAAGTAGAAAATTCCCTTCCAGCACCATCTCATAGCCATCCCCTAGAATTAATTCAACGCCCATCACCCGAACTTGTCTCAAACCACCTTGTGCAAACGTCACCACCGGTAATAAACATTACTGGGATTCTTAATCTACCTTGGTCCCAGCCCGCTCCTCTATTGTCTTTTCTTGGCAATTTTCTAATTACTTCGCTAGACACATTTGGTTCCTACCCCACATAATCTATCATTAATTCCCGAAAATAGTTCTCGGATACCCCACGGCTGAATAAACCACCTATGTGAAAAGCATGATTATGGAGGGCTTAGTCAAGTTTGTTCAACGCATAATCTTAAGACGCTAGCAGCTACACTAACGTCTGTCCCTGCGTAGCGAGACGCACCCCGTAACGAGACAAATTCAAGCTACTCTAAATCTGCGACTACATTAAAGTTCCAATATGTTTTTGTTTTTATTATATTATATGCCTCTCCTGAACACTCCTGACTTATTAATTCCGAAAAATTTAGTCGCGTCGTCGCCGCCTATCTAAATTAGAAAGAGCCTCTTATTATAGTGTGATAGACCCTTCGACCCACAATAGTACTATTAAGCTCTTTTCGCCTTTTAAACTCCATAAAACAATGAGATATAGATCTACGAGTTTTATCACGATGCTAAAAAGTTATTCTCAGCGTTATGGCGGCCAGAGCGCGCCATGTCAGGCGCCGTCGCCACATAGGCTGATACCTTCTCTAGTCAGTGGCGGTGTGGTCATAGTAACCTCGCTAAAATTCTAATAAAACGTGTGGCTGCTAAATGCGTGGCTGCGACGTTTGTGGCTGCGCATAACTTATATACATTACTAAGCACCGAAACATGAGGCCATCTCCTCAAATCGGAGTAACTCCCGGGCTGTACAGTAGAGTTCGAAATCGGCTTCATTTTGAAACACTCAATGGTTTAATTTTGGCCCATATTTCATGCGATCACGTGGGCGTCTACCTAGGAAATGGGCGATGTCGGCCGGTTAAGCCGCTGACTTGGCTGAGGTAGGTTACGGAGATCGGCGGGCTGCATGCAGCGAGATTGCAGACAACCAGAGCAGAGAGGCGGAAGGCATGAGCCCTTCTATGGATACAAGTAGTGCGACGTACACTTATGCAAAAATCGTGGTTGTTTTGATATAAACCTTATTTCACCAAGAGAGCTTAAAATTAATGCTTTGATACTTTTGTCTCTGAGAAGAGACAGTGAAACCTTGAAAGAGACGCTCTCTCAAGTCTCTGCGAGATCTCCTGTAAATTTTTGGCTTCGGGTTTTCACAGTCATTAGAATATTCATACAAATCTTTTACGCAGCATGTTTACACTAACTGACGGAACTCTTTGTCTTTATAGAAATGGCTCAATTGCTTGTCATTTAGTATTCATTCCTTGCAGTTGAAGGTATGTTAGATGATTTCAATAAATTGACATTCTTCAGGAAATCCCATGTTCCTATCAAGCGTCTTGGCAAAATCGGATTTTGGTGTTGTCTGCTTTTGTTTCCTCATAATAGCTAGGACAGCTTGGTAGTTGCGTACTATCCTATCTTCGTCCTCAAGGCCAACATCGAAGCTAAAGTCGAACATACCAAATCGAGAATATTGTACAGTATTCTCAGCCTGGAGATGTTTTCGTAGCACTAGGCCTTGTATTGACTTGAATCTCCCGGATTTACTCCTTGGAGGTCTTCCTACAATTGGGAGAAAGTAGAGCAATCCGGAATGGTCCTCTTCAATATCCCAATAGATGCTTGCAACGGTTGTGTCACCGCCGAAACTCAGCGCTACCGCACTGGCTTGATGTTCAAATACCTCCTGGTGTTCGGCGTCTAAGTTATCATGGCTGGTACTTGTGCCACGCATCAAGACAGAGCAAGATAGTGTTAGAAGGCCCCCAGATATCTGCCCAAGAGAACTGGGACCTGTAGGCTGAGTGTAAACACTGTGAACATGTACGTATAAATGCGTAGTGGATGTGTCGACTGGAACTGATACGTCTGGAAAGGTTACCGCATTGTTAAGTGCTGCCCATGACCGACTAGGGAATCTGAAAGTTAGCGTTCTTTTGCTTTGTGAGTGAGATGATGTCAAGTGATTGTGCTTTGCACTTACTGTCGGTGCTTGGTAAGGGGGTCGTGGAAATAGTACCTCCTCTCCTAGGCTGTACCACAACAATTGGATTTCCAAATCTTTTCTCCACATACCAGCCGCGTATTTATCCCCCGTCTCACTTTCCACTGCCTGAGCAAGACCTGATAAAGCAACTAGTTTGTCGCTGTACCTCGTCAACTTGGCTGCTGAATACAGATTCACTAAAAGATGCCAAATCGAAGCAAGCGACGCCCTTTTCCTGTAGGTCTGGTGGAAAAGGAGATCTTGAGGTAGTCTGTCAGGAAATAGGCTACAGGCCTCCTTTTCATGGCACTCCCAGAGCATATCAGTCCTGCTGAAGTGCAGCGTTCGAGGTGCCAAAAACCTCTCTTGCAAAGTCCAAGCGCGACTTGACAGGTGGCTCCAGCTAGTGCAGTAAGGATATAGATAAATAGGCGAAAGTTCCCACGGCCTCTTGTCTTGCAGACCTGGCATCCTCAAACGATACCTAAATGCCTTGCGCTGTGTTCTGATTGCCATATCATCGTAGAGACAGCCGCCATTACCGTCAATGGAATCAGCTGCCGCAATGTTGATTGTAGAGCCTCCGTAAACACCACTCATTAACGCTGATTCTCTCAGCCAGTCTTGGTCGTCGTCTTGGATTATACATAAGGAATCGATCCATAGATATTCCAGTCCCAGAGATCGAGTGATGTAAATTGCATCGCGGAAAGTCTTCGTAAGCTCATTTTCGGGGACACACTTCTGAAGATCTTTTAAGTTTTCGTTGGATAGCTTGAAGAACTCTATAGATCCCCAAGAATGGCTCAATGTGGCATACTGTAGTTGAATGCCTTGAACATTTGGTACATGTATCGGATGCTGTCCCCACCGAGGCATAGCAATCTAGTGGGTAGAACCTGCCGATTGGGTTTAATGCAGTGTTCATGTTTGTCAATGCACTCCTTCAGCCAGTCTTTTGCCATAGGTAAATAATTTGACGTTGATGGTCGCATTATTTCGTATGTCGGTGCTACTGAATTTAGCACTTGTAAGTTATGCTATACTTCGGATTAGGGGTAGGTACCTTCATCAACCGGCGCGATAAGTACCATCTTCTGGTTGTGGTCCAGCTTGTCTCGAAGGCGAAGAGCGATGGTCCACGGAATTTTTTGAGTATCCAGGTAAATCTGAGGAACATTGAGAGGTTCGATATTCCCGATAGCGTCTTCCAGCACTTGACAGTCTTTTGCAAAAGCCTTAAATCCATAGGCCTCAATGAATAGCGTGCAAACTTTGCAGCCGTTTTGACTAGATTCTTGGACTGCCATGGCGCTTTTGTAGTGACGTCTGAATTTGGAATTACAATTCGCCCTGGCCCCCATGGAAATCATTGTAGCTATTGTTTCAAATAATTCCTGGCACACAGTGCAGATCCCATTTCCTCCGAGCTGGAAATTGGACATATGGGGTTGTATATGGTCCGTATCATCGTTTGTAAGACAAGATTCTTCTGAGACGCTTTCATTCTTCATATCCTGCTCTGGATATAAGGATTCGTGCTTTACTGATGGAATTTGAAGCTCGGGCTTAGATTGGCCTACTGGCAGGCCGTCAAGCGCTCTTGTAAATTCATCTTTGAGAGGAAGTGAAGTTATAGATGGATCTGTGGAGAAACGACAGCTATCACTAGAATCTTGCGTCATACTGCAAAAGTACTATAGGACTTGGCTGGCTCTATCTACTTCGTATTGGGCCAAACAGTTCCAAAGTCTCCACATCTGATATATACTTAATCAGGTAGTATTTCTCAAGATCCAGAAAATTATTGGCTGAATTACCCTGGCTCAAAAGAAGTCTCTAGAAGTCTTGGCGGAACTGATGCACAGAATACCAAAGTATGTTATCCCGCCGTCGCGATAGTCAGCGTGCTGCCGCCTGCTGATAGAATGTTCGAGAAACCTGCACTTACGCTACACGCGTGACCAATGTACGGCAAGCACGTGATTAGACCTGAGAATCTTGGCTAAGTAAAATATAGCAAGCCCGGGTGTGAACATAGTATAGGCTAGTGTACATTACTAGGCACTGAACATGTGGACCCTCTCATCGCACCGGCGTAACTCCCGGACTGCATTCTTTCCTTCTCTAGGTGTCTTTAAAATTTAGGGCCATATTATTTCGTAAAGGACCTTTTCTTAAGTACTCTGAATTTTGAAAGGACTTTAATAGTCGCGATTAAATAGGGGGGGATAACGGAAGCGGCGATCGGTAGCGTAATTAAAACGATCAATAACATAGTTAACCACAGTCTTTTTCCTATGCTTAAGTGGTCTCCTTGAGGAGAAATAATTAAAGAAGGTGACATATAAATAACAACTTTATAGACTTGCTAGGAAAAACTTTGTGATTCCAAAACTATAGATTCGTCTCGCGACAGGGTGCGTCTCGGCACGCAGGGACAGACGTTACTCCACCAGTTACTATTTTTCGTTTCCTAGTCGCAACACTTGATTCTTCGGAATAGCTGCCCCCACTATAACTCGGGTCTTGCATCGGATGGCCTTTATATTTGATGAAGCGCGTAAGGGGAAAGGACGGAAATAATAGTAATATTTTTAAGTACCTGGGTATGATAATGGCACTCCGGAGTCATGGTTATATGGCAGGTCCTTATAATGTTATTCCATATAAATGATCGCTCGAGAGGTAAATAATAACCGCGTTCTACCGAAAACTCCAAATACAAATCCCGAAGGCGGGGTACTGCGGGGAACAGGGCCCTAAAATCAAGCCAAAATCCCCATTCAAGGCGATAATAAATGATAACGTCCCAAGTGGGACATCTTAGGACAACGTGGGGCCAGTGTGGGTTGGTTTACTTTGTACAACAAAACCAATATTAATAACCGCTGTCTTCTATTTATCATTTCTTGTTCTGGGATCCCATGCACATATTCTAACTTATTGATGCAATTTGGAAATTTGCGGTTTGATTGTTGAGCTTGTACAGTTGTTATTCAAAGCCGGCACTGTGAAATACGGAACAACCGAGGCATCCCGAAAATAGCATCTTCAAGTAGACTTACTAACGGCCGCACCTATTGATATCCGGACCCGGAATCTGTCCAGCATGGCGGGCAATAGCAAAAGCATCATTGTGACCGGTACGTGCTCCATTCCCCCAGTCGAACCCAATACATTAATTTGACGTTCCCTATAGGCGGCTTATCAGGAATCGGCCTGGCTGAAGTTACTTTAATGTCCTCGGCATCCAACAAGATCGCCGTTCTTGACATCTCCCCAACTCTAGCTTCATCAGTACTCATAGACTTACGCTCAAAGTTCCCGCAGACCACCTTCCTGTTCAAAAAAGCGGACGTCTCAAGTTGGGACGAGCAAGCTGCTGCATTTGAGGAAGTTCACAAGGAGTTTGGTAGCATCGATGTAGTATTCGCAAATGCGGGGGTTAGTGAAATTGGGGAGTTTCTTGAGCGGAGCGAAGATGCATCTGCGGGGCCGACGAAGCCTAATCTGAAGACTCTTGATATCGACCTTTCTGGATTATTGTACAGTGAGTACTAAAAATGCCACCGAAAAGGAAATATTAAAGGTTGATCACTAAGTGGGGAAATAGCTGTCAGGTTAGCTGTTCATTACATGCGTAAGAATGCAACGTCAGAGAAGGGATCTATCATATGTACCGCCTCCAATGCGGGGATCTATGCGTTCCCGGCTGCACCTATGTATGGGGTGGCAAAACATGGTGTAGTCGGTGCGGTAAGATCTTTGGCGGAACCATTGAGCAAGGAGGGAATTCGGATTAATGGGATTTGCCCTAATGTTATTCGTATGTTCAATCCCATTTCTTTACCAACTCTTTTTGGTGCCGTGTTTTCTAGCGGAGAATATGCCGAGGATAGTGTTGACAGAAGAAAGGAACTGGTTTGGCCAGCGATCATCTGTTTGAAGCGATGCAACTGACCCCAATGCAAACGGCTCTCGACGCTATCGAGGCATTTTTGAATGATTCTGCGATGACCGGAGGCACGGCGGAGATCAGTGGGGAGAAGTTCACGCTGAGAGAGGCCCCGGCATTCATTGACGATATTACGGCGAAGAACTTTGTGGTTTTTGGCGAGAAGGGGGCATGAGGCTGGTTGAAATAGATACCTAGGTACTACGCTACGCTTCTTGGGTAACATTCAGGGCGATCGTCCATTGAAGTAGTTAAATAACCCATTTGTACACCACATACAACCATCGAGTCTAGATTGAATAGAAATGAGCATCCCGTCCGCTCTGTCATACACAAGCTTCAATAGCACCTGGACAATAGCCCCAATCATGCCAATAGGCTTAGCGTTGAACCCAGGTTCCTTGCCGCTTGAAGGGCGATCAACGAAACAAAAATGCTCTTGTGAGACATGCCAGAGACGCAGATCTCATCCGGCCGGTTGAGGTCGTGTATCCTGTCTATTGCTTTTGCATAAAGGAACTTAAAGGAAGGAAGGGTTTCGGGGCAATGCTATTGTTTGGAAAAGGGAGCCAATATTAGATGAAGGATTGCCGCCATCTTAGATGATGATAGAATCTTTAATATTGTAGTAATAACTGCCCGACTGTAACCATTAGCGATCTCTCGACACCTCCGCCCTCTTCAAAGTTGAGGCGCTGAACAAATTCTGGAGGAGGAAAGAGAATGCCACTCCACTAACGTTTGGCATTTTGTCTTTGTTTGCGAGTAGCTTCGTTCTGAGATTATCAAGCGCTCTAGCAGTCATTATGGAGAATGCTGAGCCGACTTTCAAAGAAAGCGGCATTTTGAGGGTCTGAAGTCCCGGGTGAGAGTTCCATAACGGCGTGTATGCTGGGACTGTTATTGTTGACAAATTTACAAATAGTTTGCAATTTGCTTGTAATAAAGAGGATCACTCGACTTTTGTTTTTAATAATAGAAGTGCGCTCGGCCATAATAGAAGTTACATTTGCATTGCCATTCCCCAAAATGAATCATTTTTATCAGCCCCGTCTTTGTTTGAATCGTATATGAATTCGTTCCAGTCATCCCAATTGATAGGGATATCTGTAATCTCAAGGCTTGTGCGAGACAGAGACTTATCTACCACTGGAAATGCGTCGAATCCCAAGGGTTGATGTGACTGATCCATGAAATTTTGTTCTTGGAACGTATCGTGAGTATATGTGTAGGTCCGATTGGTCTCTAGACTGAGATCTGTCAGTTCTGGTACGAGATGGGCGTTTTTCCAACTTGGATTGCATGGTAGTGCAGCTTGCAGATTATCAGGAGTTGCCATAGCTGGGGCAGATTGTAGCCTTGCTGTTTGAGCCTTTTCCAGCAAGATCTTCATTGGGCGCCACGGCATACCATCCCTTGCCCCATCCATACGATTGCTCCATTTTGTAAAACTCTTGTCGATAATAGCCCAAGCTTGATCTGCGAGAGGCCCTCGAGGCTCTCTTAATAGTTCCGCTAACATGACTGCCACAGCATGCCATGGAACATTTCTTGCGAAAAACAAGTGCAAGCCCGAAGCAAAACTGTTTTCTTCAATAAGATCAGAGATAGTAAGGAAAGATATGGCGTCTTGAAGACTTTGTTGCCGAGATCCCGCTACTGTACCAGCAGCTTGGACGTGTAGAGGATAATGAATGGAGAGCCAGAGTTTGAGAATGAGAAGTCGACCGAACATGTAGATGATCCAGACTGATTTATCAGTGGGGTCGCATCCAGCCAAATACTTCGTTTCGAGTTTGTTGGCACACTCCTTTACCAGTGCTTCCTTATCCTGGAGTGTAAGTCGCGGTTCTCTCGTGAGTGTTACGAAATTGAGCTTCCGAAATACGACTGTCATGTGCATGCACATCAAGCCGAACGTCATCTCCGTGATTCCTGCCTTATCTACCAGAGAACATTGACTTGCACATTCCTCGGGGTTGAGACTTCCCAACTTAAATTCCAGTTCAACGTCGTTGCAATTACTCGGCATTAAAGTAGTGTAGGAGCTCTCCAGGATCATAGGCTCGGTCCCACGATCTTCAGCACCTCTCATGTCAAGTATAATAAGCTGCCACCAAAGCCGGCGGCGCAGCTCTATTTCAAATGTACCTCTGGTAGAACAGTCTGGGTCTATGTGAAGTCTTTGGGAATGAGCGATGCGAATTGCAAGGCCGATCAAGGCCCAGCTTGATCGGTTTTTATTTTGGAAGCGCAAGGTCATCTAACCCGGTTAATATATGATGTGGCAGAAGCTCCCAAAGTCGACGATAAACGAAACTTACAATATAGAGAACAAACGCTTGCAAGGTGACGATGTCCGTAGTGTCCATAAAATCCGCCCTCATCAATGCTACCTCTGCACTCTGCTGAAACTGTGCAAGTAATATGTCCTTGTCTTGACTGAAGTTCTTCAAGCATTCTTCAGGAGTCATACTCATCACGGCTGCAAAGTACATCGAAAAAGTAATGGCATCGATACTAGAAAATTTGAACCGCCCCCTATCGTCAAGGAGATCCTTCGTACCTAGCAAGTGAAAAGAAATACTGGGCCTGTGTAATATCTTGCAAATGGGGTCGATATTGGTGAAGTAAAAGTGAAAGAGCCTCTCTCTCTCGGGATCGGAAGGATAAATAGGATCTGGTATAGCTTTGCTATCTGGATAACCAAAAACCAACTGTGGTGTAGTGTTGCTGATGCTCACAGTGCTCAAGTTCGAATCTTGAAGCTCATCTTCCTCCTCGGGTTGGCTCTCCAACAGCTGGCGGATTCCAGAGACCTCATCTCCTAGACTTGTCCAGAATTCCCCACTGCGGTAACGAACTTCGTTTCCTTGTTGCTTGATGAAAAATGCGTACTGCTCATCGGCACGTTCTGTTTGTGGCACAAGATGAGGCCCATCATCGCGCTTGGCATGAGTAGATAGTACACTATTTCGAGCTTCTTCAGTCAATTGGACCTGAGACTCTTTTCCATCGGCCGTCAAAGCTAAAGATTTTGCCAAATTGCTGGTGCTTAACAGGTTTTCTAAACGGTGGATACGACGCAAGAGCTCGGAATCACGAGCCACTACTATAGCTTTTCTGCTGGTCCGTTCTGCGCGGGCACGAGTTGGAGTGACACATTGAATGCCAGCTATTTGGCAAGGAAAACACGGGTTCGTTTTATTGCATCTCATCTTACGTTGACGACAGGCAGTACAGCTGAGAGGGCTTGGAGCCGTACGGTTCGTGGGCGTGGCATTTCCCATTGTATTCATGGTTATCTAGGTAGCTGGTGAGAAGAGCTGTAGATGTTCGTTTGATGGCAAAGGTTGGGATGTTGAAGTCAGTATTCTGACAGCATGTAATGTATCGCGGTATTGAGATTACTCGAGTACGCGTAACTGACTTACGGACTTCGCCCTCGTTCTCTTTCATCACGTGACCTCTCCTCTATAGCCCTCCTAATATAACGCCTATCTCCAACAAGTAGTCTCGGTTGTAAGGCTCAACTCGATTTTTATTGTATTTAGTTTACTAGACAAGCATAGCTCATGAATTTGTGTTTGGATCAAGCTAGACCGTTGCAGTTTATCGCAATATATGATAAAAAGTCTTAGTGATCTATCTTCTATAATAGCTTAACTTTCCCGCATGCATTCGCAGACTACTCCGCAACTTCTAAGCCATACGTCTTCCAACTCTACTCCTGAATCAATCCAAGAGCCTTCAGCGTCTCCTTCACATCCCCTGGACTTGTACTCTCACTCTCTTTCTTCCACTTCTCCAAATTGCACCTTACCTCCTCGACATCACTCTTGATTAGTGTCCAGCTGTCTGCCCCAACAGGCAGCCTCAAGAGATTTCTTCCGCCCCATTTCCCCTCCTCATCTCTAACAACCTTAGCCATAAGGTTTGCCACATCCCTAGCTTCCGCCCCAAGCTTGCCCTCCCATCCCGCCATATTCCGGATTAGGTCCGTCCCCAACATCTTGCTTTCTTCGCGCACATACGCCGGGTGCTGTCCCCCGTCGACCATATTCGCATTACTCCACTTCGTTTTTACACTCCCCGGCTCGAAAATCACAGCGCGGATGTGCCACTCCGGATCTAACTCCTTAACAAGAGACTCGGTGGCGGCTTCCAGCGCCCATTTTGACGAATGGTAGTACACCTGCCCGGGTGCGGTGATGTAGCCCCCGGCTGAGGAGACTTGCGCAATCACGCCTCCGATTGGGCCAGAAAGAGGATTCACCTCTCTGAAAATGCGGATAGCTTCAAGCGTGATTTGAATTGGCGCCCAATAATTGATCTCAAACAGTTCTCGGCCGGCGGTGACAGAAACAGACTCGAGCTCGCCGATGAGTCCATAGCCCGCATTATTAACGACGACGTCGATGCGTCCAAATGTCTTGATGGCGGCATCGAAAGCCGCCTTGATGGAGTCTTTGGACTTCAGATCGACGGGTACGAGAAGAGTGTTGTCCTTGGTAGAGGTTGAAGGGAGGGGAATTGCTGATGGGTCACGACTTAGAGCAACGACCCGGTGACCGGGGGCGGAGAGGATGGAGGATAAGAGACTATGTCCGATGCCCGAGGATGTGCCGGTCACTAGATATTGTTAGATACTAGAAAGGAAGAGCTAGGGGCGAGTAATAGAGAAAAGGGGGTAAGAACTCACCGAACCAGACAGCGTTGTGCGGGAGGGTGAGAGCGGTGAGAGCGGATTGAGACATTGTAAATTAATGTATGTGTTTTGAGGAATCCGATGGTCTATATTCTCGGCTCTGAAAAGTCCCAATCTCGAATAGGAGTCAGCTTAATGAATATATGAATGTTTAGCCTGAAGTTAATGGTTGTAGACTGACTGCTTGCTTCATTCTGAACAATTTTGTGTTCCCACCATGCCTCCCCTTCATTTATATAGAGAGTTCCAGATGTCCCACTCTCGCTCATGTCGTTTCATTTCTTTGTGGCCCTCATACATACCCCTTGCATTTTCCGTGGACTCCACCTCTCTTCTATTGTGCGTGGACTCTCAACGCTCCTCCATTGTCCGCGGTCTCTCCGCTCTCCTCCATTGTCCGCGGACATTCACCTTATATCCGATCTCCGTGAAATAAGCACGCTAGCAAGAAAGAGCTGCCGCCAAGCACGATGATGAGCCATGCCAGATTGGGAACTTCTTTTTAGACCGCCCGAGCGATTCTGCCACCCCACTCTCTCAGAAACTCGGCGTCGAGTCCCCGTCTTCTTCCCCACTTCAATCAACTCTTTCTACCTGTTGTCAAGCGCTCCAAGATTTGACAGGTACAAAGGCCTCCGCCGTCATTATTGCTCTTCTTGTTCGATTATGGAATTCCAGTTGAGAAACTTAGCCCAGGACGGCCGTCGGCAGGGGTGGACGAGTAGCCCTTGCGCCAATTGGTTCGCAAACTTTACGAAGCTACAAGTTCTCTTAGCCCTCGAGTCCTAACACCAAGTGAGCCGCAGATGTTGCGCATGGAAGGGATATTACATCAGAGAACTAGAGCTTTCCTTTTTATTATTGCGGTGTTGCCTTGAGAGGAGAAGCAGGAGAAACAGGCTGCACACAACAATCTGGGGTGTTTTTGGCCTTTTGTAGCCGAGTAGCGGCTGTTACTCTATCTCCCTGCCAGCTAACGTGGCACTGGAGGCATTCTATTCTCAATTGACTAGTCATATCGAGAGGCGCATAAAATATTTCTATTTCTAATTCCCACGCGTGTAATATTCAATGTCTAAATCTATTTTGTAAACCGCAAGCGCCTTTACACACTATCTGTCCTTGTGTTCTAAGCCAGATCCTTGATGTTTTCTGCTACGGTTTCCTCGAGAATATTCCAGCCTGGACGCCCAAAAACATCCTTCAAGAGCTGCTCTCCTCGCTCATTTGGCACCTTCATGTTACTCAGCTCTGCACCTAGCATAACCTCTGGGAGCGACTTGGATGGACGTAGCTTCCGAAATATAGCTTGGATCTGACCCCAATTGAAGGGGGCAGCAACCGCGAAGATGCGCTCATTTTGGACAGACTTGGAAACCAATGCAGCCACGTGAATACGCGCCGTATCATCGACGTTCACGTACCATTCTATACATCTGTTAATTCACGCAGCGTCAAGGGCGAAAGACCAATAAAACTTACGCAATGGCAAGCCCTTCACAAAATCAACAGCACCATTATAGAACATCCTGATCCAGTTTCCCGTGCTCAAGCTTCCTTGCAAGCTTAGTATTCCGCCCATATTTGCATCGGGCAATATCGTGTTAACCTTAAATGATGGTTTCTCCTCCTCCACAAACTTCCAGAAAGCCTTCTCGGCTTCTGCTTTGCTCGCACCGTACACCACAGAGCTGTGAGTTGGAGGGAAAGGGGCCGAAGTAACACTCCATGCTTCTTTAATCTGCCCGTCGTTCCAAGTCGAAGCATCGATGCTGAAATGCTTATTAGGCCCAGGGACCCCTCCCGCAGCTGCCATGCTACTGGACGTGAGGACAAAGCTCTTCACAGATGATTCTTTGGCAGCGGATCGAAGAATGCCGGTAGCGCCAGCTATGCTCTCCGGGATAACTTCGTTTGGGTCTGGGCTGAATGTCATAACCGCAGCGCTATGAACCACGCCCTGGACGCCTAAGTGATATTAAAGAGAGGATTACTATGGGGTATCTCGGCAAGTCATACCCTTCACGGCTTCATCGAAGGCCCCTTCAATTGACATTTCTGGAACGATAACAGCGGAGAATTTTCCAGCACCATGGCGTTCTGTGAATAATTCTGTGGTCCATGCTACTTTCTTCTCGTCTCGAACTGTACCACGGACACGGTAGCCAGCAAGAAGCAATTGATCGACGATATGAGTGGCAATAAAACCACTTGCGCCCGTGACTAGCACAACAGAGCCAGTTGGGATGGCAAGGTCACTAGCAGAAAGTTTCATGTTGACGGTAATGTATAAGTAGTTGGTATATGGTTCGATGTGTAGACGATGGTTTGATGCGTAGATAATGGTTGATTGTATTGCTGATAGTAAAACGCAGAAAGTGTAGCTACCTTATGTATTATTTCACAAAGCTCAAGCTCTTAGATTGTCAGACTAGAACGACATGGTCAGATTATGGTTAAAGTGATTTCGAAGCGACTATTGTTATCCTGCTCATCATTTTCTGCATATTAGTGGGGTTGGTTTGAAATACAAGATCGATCTATCAACAATTAAGAAAGAGTGATGCCCATAACTCTGTATAACCGCCGTTAGTGTTGCACTCTCGAAGTCAGGGTTCCCCCTGTAGCATTGGCATTGCGATTACGAAGCAATATTCATATTATGCGTCTGTAAACACCGCATGTTATATCCGAATCGCAATCGCTCCACTTGGAAACTTGTTTTACAAGCCACACATACCCTTTCCGATTGATTCGAGTGGTTACAAATCCGCGATAGCACCGTTTTCAGAGATAATCCTCGGCGGACGACCGGCGGACCTTAGTCTCGAATTCTATACCGACCTCCAAATTATCATTTATATCAGCTTGGGTAACAATTTAACCTGAGTCGCCGTCTACGGAGGTGCACGATCTCAAGGCTATTCCGCCGCGTTCGATCGTAAAACCTTTTTGAAACCTCTATATCTGACACGAATACTGGTGAGTGTGGCGGACTTACTCATCAATCATGTTCAAGGCAGCACCACAGTTTAGACTCTATGGTGGAGGGTGGTCACCATCCCAAAATAGAGGGTAAGGGCGACTAGGCTCACCCGCTGGGCCAGGCACCGACCGAACTATTAAACAAGGCAAATCTCAGATCGGCAGAGTAATGTCGTCGGGCGCCCACCAGCGAATTCCTGGTTCTGTTTCCGTTCGCGCATTGTTATACGATACTTTCGACTTCTGGTCTATATATACTAATGTAAGCAAATAGCTGTCACATACGACCATAGACTGAGGAGAAATGGGCATCCCGTCCGCTCTGCCATACACAAGCCTCAGATCGGCAGATTAGTAGTTGGGTGGGTGACCACCAGCGAATACCTGCTGTTGTATGTTTTTTTTTGGACTTTTTTTTGCGTCGAGGCTCACTCGCTAAGCCGCGGTATTAGAAAAGTTAGTGGGCTCAGTCGTGTTAATGGGCATGCCGTTGAATCCAAACCCTTTGCCGCCTGATCTTGGGGTGAGCCGCGAGTGAGTACTCGCAGGGTGAACATAGTAGGGCGAAGCACAAAATTTTCGCATCAGATCTAGAGTTTGACCTGGCCGCCTTGGCTCTAAGTATCAAGCATAACTCGCTCTTACCATCCTAGATGATTCGTCATATTTCGAAGCCACCCGTAGCGTCGTAGCGAGATCTAGGAACTCGTCGCTCGCATATTCGAGTATGTCCTTACCATGTGTATCGAGGAATAAATGCTAGAGAAATGAGCATTTGCAGCGCTTCCGATCCGGGGAGCAGCGTCTTTAAGGATAATAGTGTCGCTGGAGGAAAGATAGGTTATGCTTGAAGAGGTCTCGACATGCAGCCGATCGCCCTCGATCATCATCTTGTGGCACCTGACTATCTGCTAGAGTACCCCAAAACAACGGAGGTAATCGGGGCAACTCTTGTTTCACGGTAGCTCCATCATACAAGCCCTGGAGCAATCATGGGCCGCGGCTATGGTGTATTGGAGTCTGAGTGGGTTCCACAGAGTCTCGAATGCCATTCCTTAATTAGTACCTTACTACTAGAATTCAAGAAGGCGTACAGTACTTGTACTTTTGAAAATGTGACGTCTCTACGACTTCTAGTTGCTTTATTTACTTAGTTTTTAAGGCTTATAAGCTAGACCTCTTAAATAATACGCTTGACCACAGCAAAACATATAATAAAGTGTTAGAATATGGGAGTTATGGGAGTTCCCCTGGCCGGCTGGTCAAGCCACTTAGGCACCCCACTTGGCACTTCTCCACCACAAAGGAGAAATGAGATATGTGTACTCGCGATGAGCCGAATACACGGATATCATCGCATCCCATACTAATTAGTATGGCACATGATGATGGAGGCCCTGGGAAGCCATTCGGATACCATCGGTATTATTTCCTTGAGTCACCTGATTGATCACCTGACCCCATACATTCATTTGCCTATATATGTGAGGCTTTCACCCTATAGTATTAGGCTTCTTAATCAATTCAATTACCCCATTCCATGACCCATTCTGACCAATCAATTACCTGTATTAAGTGTACCAATTTGGGTCCCATTAATCAACATAAAGTGTATAAGTAAATTATAAATACAAAACGCGTTTTATTATCAGTTACAGAGGAATTATAATTATAATTATATAATAAAATTATACCTATAATTATAAACATTTAGCCCATAAGTCCTTTACTCTTAAGATCATCAATCTGCACAGCATCTAGGTTCTCTAGATCCGCGGCCCTATAAAGAGAAGAACTATTAGCAAATATCTTAAAATTATTAAAATCATAAGAAGATGCGACTAACCTTCTTCCGGGCCCCACTGTCTCCGTTGAGGCGAACTTTCGCGCTGGGATATGCTGGGCGAACAACTCGTCAAGTTCCTATTTAGTTTGGATTAGCGTTAGATAGAAGAGTTTCTAGTCTAGGTAATGTAGAAAAGTAAGCTTACTTCAAGAGATCGGCCCTATAGCGAATATAATTAGCTTTCAAGTTGATTTACTAAACTGAAGGAGTAGTCACCTTTGTCTCAGGGACGAAGAAATATGTGAAGATAGTCGCCAAAGCCGCCATACATCCAAACACCCAACCGATGTTGGCTCCTATATCGTCCAAGATATAGGGAATACAGAATGCAACAATCCATGCTGCTAGGATACTAGAAACGTTGATGTTAGGTTCACATATTATGGTTCAGTATATCAATCTCGTACCTAACAGCGGTTGTAAAAGCCATTGTCTTTTCACGGACAGCTGCTGTACCGATTTCACTTCCGACCTATTCAAGCGTTGCCGTTAGTTAGGAAATAAAGGGTTAGGTAGCTAGGATTAGAAGAATATACTTACAACATAGGAGACTGGTGCTAATGTTCTGTTGATAACACAATCAGTATGGCTCAAATCAAAAGGACATCTCTACTTACCCAGCAAAGAAAAAGTTGTATAGCATCACACTAGCAACAAGAGTGTTTGCCGCTGCCGCGGTAGGGTGCTTTGGCAAGCCCATGCCTGCAACAAGGAAGAGAAATACCGCCTGGCCGATGCAGCCGACAATAAGAACCGTTCGACGGCCAGCAAGATCAATGAAAAACATTCCAATCAGGACACCGACCCACCCTAATACTGCAGACCCAATGTTATAGTCAAAAGCGTGTTTGCTTAGGCCAACAGTGTTATAGAAGCGGGGTGAATCTAATAAGGAATCAATTAGATTGCCGGGGAATAGGAAGTTAAGGAGAGGAAGCATACAATTAGAAACAAAGGCTTGACCAGTGAACTGCTGGAATATAAAGATGACTGTGGCAATCATAGTGCGTCGCAGATTAGTGCCGCGCTAGGATGGAGTCAGTTCTACTGATAATGCAGGCTGTACATGCCGAAGGCAGGTCAAGCTACTCACAAATAGGTCAATCCATGGCCCTTTATCGGTTTCGTTGTTGATGGCTTCTTGAATAGCGGCAACCTCCTCTTTGCAATGGCCAGCATCAACGTCCGCTTTTGGCCGCACCTTCTCAAGGGTTTTTACTGCATCATCTATTCGTCCCTTACTTATCAACCATCTAGGTCCGTCCGCTACTTTATTGTAAGTATACTTTAAGTATATGTAGAGAGTAGGATAACCAACGAATGAAGTAAACACCAATGACAATAATAATCGGGGCACATGCTTGGACGGCAACTGGTATGATCCAACTAAGAGCTGTCAGGTCTCAATAGCACTACAGAGGCTAGCCGGCGGAATAACTCACCCCTTTGGTTCCATTGATTGGTAGTACCTCCTGTTCACCAATGCCGCCAGTATCTGCCCTATCTGATTGAACAACTGAATTGAGCCAACCACAGTTCCCCGCATCGCTGCAGGTACAATCTCGCTCTGGTATGTACTGTAGAGTCTCTGTTAGTAAAAGTGTGTCTGTCATATGGAGGAAGGTAAACTTACGTTGCGCAGATCTCAGCAGCACCAACGCTATTCCCTCAACCTGTCAGATATCCCGCTATATTGCTCTCACAAACGAGGGGGCAAACCTGAAATAAACAATACAACGCCCTACAACAAAGGGTGCAACTTCATGAGAAGTGCATTCGATAATAATCCCAATGAAGCTAATGACGCAGACGATCCAAATGCTGTACCGATGGCCGATCGATTCAATGATGGGAGAACCAAACTATATTTTTCGTTAGTCAACTAGCTAGCGATAACGGGGCAGGAACATACCAGAGCACCGAGAAACTTCCCAGCAAATCCCACAGAGCTCATGAAAGATGCACGAGATGCGGAGAGCATATAGGCGCCGTTCTTGCCTATCGGAGTCCCAAACTCTCGGCCAAAAGCTGGGATATTCTGGACACCACCAAAGCTTGTGGTGTCAAAGCCGAAGAGTACATTGAGGATTGCAGTGACCATCCAACACATGAACAAGGCAGGCGTCAATTTCTTGAACATAAGCTTGAAGCCCCCAATTGGGGACGTAGTTTTTGGGGGCATTATTCAAAAGTAAGAGAGCAAATAGCTGGGCTAAAGAAGGTATTTCTTAGTAAAATTCTGTCGTAATGGAGCACTGCCGAGAGGATGAAATAAAGAAGGAAGTATGTGGATTTGTCTCCGCTAATATAGAAAAGATACCTACAACAATGAACACACCCCCGCTCACTAAAGAAGACGCCATACACATGGTTGTTTGGCTCATATTCCCCACGGGGTAGAAATTGGTTAGCAACGAGTCTGAAGCAGAGAGAAGAGATTGCCATGGGCGGCCTCCGCGAGATACGCGACATAAAGTCCGCCGAGATACACGACGAACGCGCATTAGTTCAGTCCCCCCATTTCCTACCGAGATACGCGAGAAGGGTAGCCATGGCTCTAGAATAATGGGCTTGAAATTATATTATTTAAATAGTCCCGTGCCATTCCCCTCCCTTTCTGACAGATCAGGCCGATATTGTCTCATATTCGAGTAGTCCAGGATATTCCACATCCCTAACCACTCACCTAGTCTGCCGCCATGACCGTTCCCAAGATGCCGGGCAGTGATACCCGCCCTAATTTCTTAATTATCCTTGCCGATGGTCAGCTCTTTCTCTCTCCTGAGATTTATATTGTACACGGGCTAACGACTGAATGACGCTTTAGACCTGGGCTATAGCGATATTGGCTGCTTTGGAAGCGAGATCAGAACGCCTCACCTGGACAAACTGGCTCGGAATGGCGCTAGATTTACGGATTGTAAGATTACAATGACCCTCACTTCTTGAACCTATCCCTGCAAGATTGCAATAACTGATATGCATGCCGAGCCAGACCACACGGCAGCAGCCTGCAGCCCTACGCGATCCATGCTGCTCACTGGCACGGACAACCATATTGCTGGCGTTGGCATAATGAGCGAGCAAAAGGGGCAGAATCCAGAGCGATGGGATGTTCCCGGCCACGAAGGATTCCTCAAGTGAGTCAAAAACAATATTACGGATTCGCCCTCCATGTACCCAACTAAATACCGAGATTAGCCACGATGTTGCCGCCATGTCGGAGATTCTCCAGGACAACGGATATCACACTCTTATCAGTGGGAAATGGCACTTGGGGTACAGGCCAGACAACAATGCTGCCGAGCGTGGGTTCGACCGAGCCTTTACCTTGCTACCGGGAACGTCGAACCATTACGGCCATGAGCCCCAGATCGATGACAAGGACTACGGCCCGTTTTTCTCTCGGGTCAGCCCACAGCTTGTAAGTGATTACACCTAACTTCATCGAAGAATAAATCAGATGAGCGGCGCTGATATCTGATCCACAGTACACTCTCGACGGAAAAAAGTTCGACGTCGAACCCAACGTCACAAACGACCCTAAGGGCTTCTACTCCTCAAACTACTACACCGACAATCTAGTAGACTGGCTCGAAGAGCGCACGCCAGCTGACCGCGAAAAACCCTTCTTCGCCTACCTCCCCTTCAGCGCGCCTCACTGGCCACTCCAATGCAGCAAGGCCGATCGTGATAGGTATGAAGGCGTGTATGAGGACGGCCCGGGGGCTCTGCGCCTGCGGAGACTGGAGAAGATGAAGAAGATGGGCCTGATTCCGGAGGATGTTGTGCCGCATGAGGTTGTGGCTGGCCCGTGGAATCTGGAGTGGGAGGAGATGACGCCGTATGAGCGCAAGTGTTCGGCACGCGCGATGCAGTGTTTCGCCGGGATGGTAGATAATATTGATCAGAATGTTGGAAAGATTGTGCAATATTTAAAGAGGTCAAAGGAGTTTGAGAGTGAGTGCTTCTCTTTTCAAGAGACCGATGTGTGGAAGCCGGAGACTAATGCGTTTTCTTTTAGACACGGTTATTATTTTCCAGAGCGATAATGGTGCTGAGGGTGCGGACTACGAGGCTATGCCTACTATGGGCGCGGATCTCATGCGAGTTGTGAAGATGTATTGTATGGCGTACCTACCATATATATCCAGAAGGAACAATCAGCTAACTCGGGTCCAATATTAGATGACAACACCTTCGATAACATCGGGAATGCAACATCGTATGTTTGGTACGGATCAAGGGTGAGTTATCTTGGACCGCTCGTGGAGTTGAACCTGACTAACTGGCCGTCCTGTCGTTTAGTGGGCACAAGCATCAACCGCACCGTCGCGTTTGTACAAGATGTATACAACTGAAGGTGGCATCAAAGTCCCTTTCAGTAAGCACCGCCCTCCTTGAAGCATTGTTCTATCGCTCATATATCTTCTAGTCATCCACTATCCAAAGTTCGTAAAGGAAGCACAAAATGGAGCCATAATCGATGCCTTTTCGACAGTCATGGATATTTGTCCCACATTCCTTGACCTCGCAGGCATCACCCACCCCGCTGCCGATGGACAGCCAGGTACCTTTAGGGGTCGAAAGGTTGCGCCGATGCGTGGCAAGTCTTGGGTCAGTAACTTCATAACCCCATCCATAGAGATATGAGATCCTGTACTGATGCTCTTCCGTAGGTTCCGTACCTGGTTGACGGGAAATCCGTCGGCGAAGGCATGGCTGGCATCCACGGCGATACGAGCATGGGGTGGGAGCTCTTCGGCAGAGGCGCAGTCCGCCAAGGGCCTTGGAAGCTGGTGCATATAGACGCTGGAGTTGGCGGCGGCAAGTGGCAGCTGTACGATCTCTCTAAGGACCCTGGGGAGACGAATGATCTCACGGACTCCAACCCCACAAAGGTCGAGGAGATGAAGAAGTTGTGGGAGCAGTATGTCAAGGAGACTGGTGTCGTCTGGGGGCCACATGATGATATTGAGACCACCGGACCAGAGTGGGGAGCAAACGACCCTAGCATTATTGGTGGCGATCATATGGCGCACATTAAGGCTTGGATGCAGGTGCGGAAGGGGGAAACTCCCCCGTTGCCTGCCCCGGTAGTACGGAAGTGAAGAACGGCAGCTTGTATAACGTAGATTAAGGACGGCATAGAGAAATAATGCAGCTTCGCTCTGTCATATGGTCCAACTCTGATGTCTAACTTTGGTGTCCAACTCTGGTAAAGTATTTCCCAATCTAGCCTTCATTGAAGGCAGAAAATAAATTGTCGCCGTTCCCAAAATCAGGTGCAAAGTTTCCGGCAGTCCAGTCGAAGAGTGCTTCCGCTGAGGTGAGGTCGAAAGTGCCATCAGCCCACCCGGCTGCAATTCTCAGCGCTTCCGGGCTGAGAGGGTCATAAGGTTGGAGAAGATAGTCGGCCTCCAAGCCACCGTTGTCAACGGCAAGTGCTGGTTCCTCAACTATAGGGACGCCACTCGTAGGGACTCCTAGTAGAGGGAATGTATGGCCGTTCTGATCCTGTTTGGCTGCAGTCGTAGTTCCTGGTTCGTCAGCATCGATGGTTAGGTTTCGTTGTATAGTGCCGAATGTCCCATATGTTCGGAGACTTGGAGAAGCTGCTCGCGATACTGGTCGCGAGAGCGCTGGAAGAGAAGACCTAACACAGTCAGGGTTAGTGATGATTTGATAATTCTGCTTCTGTCACTTACGAGGACATGTCGGCAAGGTCAATCTCGTATCCGTGGTTGGCAGACAGGCTGCTCAACGCGTTGAGCTGGAAAAGTAATCTTAGCCAACGAAAATAGTTTATAAATTATACCATGAACTCACATATTTTCGAGCAGGGACGGACCATCGAGCCACGCTTTTCGCGCATTGAACCGCCCCGTCAATCGCCCCACGAACGGTTGGATCGGACAGCGGCACGTAACCAGTATCCTCCGGTCGTCTGTCAATCACGAGTAACCTCGTGGCCAAACAGCTACAGATTGCAGCAAACGGATCGCAATCAGATGCAAGGTGGCGCATGGTACCCGATATCACTTGGGCCATAGCAAAAGCGTGATCGAGAAGGCCGCGCGCACATGTGTCAAGGAACCAGGCTGGTGGTTCCGGAAATAATGGCGCTTCGTTCCCGGCAGTCAGCAACGTCAAGAGGGCGCCAATTCGTAGTAAGTCGCAATATGCGCCTTCAAGGAGGCAGTGAAGGTTAAGGAGCCTCATGAGTTCGCCATGAGAGAGGCTATAGAGGGCATTGTGATCGAATCGGAATTCAATGGGTAGCTCAGTCACGAATTGATCCAGCTTCATCTGGAGCTTATAAAATTGCGCATCTTGCTGCCATGGGAGTTCCGATGGGAGGTGATCTTTATTTCGAAGATGATATGAAAAGACATAATCAATGATCTGCATGCGTAACATTGCAGCTTTTATTGAGCAGGCTGAAATTCCGTCGCGCGAGTGGCCCGCGTTGATATCCGAGATGTCGGAGGCATCCGTTGACTGGACCCCTCTTGTGGACGTCGTATCTCTGCCCAAGTGAAACTCCGTTTCGTCGCAAGGGAGGCGAATATCAATAGATGAGATTCTCATTCGAGTCAGTGGGCGAGCCCCACCCTCCATCATCGAGTCCATGACCAGACAGCTCCACATGAGCCGTCGCCGGACTTCCATGACTGTTACTGGGAGAGGCGGTTTTGTACTGCTTCGTTGTGTCTGCAGAGGTTCCATATTGAGCTGTAACGCATGTGCTAGCCTAATGGCCAGGCCTGAGAGGAACCATGCTTTCAGGTGATCTCCACGAAGCTCTTCATATCGTTGTAGAAGCAGGAGTGTCTGAAGACTTGAGGTAGAAATCTTGGTGAAGATGCCCTCCACGACGAGCTGTCGGCTCTCATCCGCCCAAGAATCTGCAAGCCGACTTAGGGGATCTTGTATCCGTTTGACTGTAGCAAGGACGATAAGCAGAAGACATCTGGGGATCAAATCATGGTCAAGCATCTGCATAAAAGTCGGCCGGTGAAGGAAGGCGAAGAAGCTGAAATTATGCGGGCCATTGAAATAGGCGTCGAGCAGCCGGAGCATCGCAGTGCGGCTCAATAAGCTGCCTGAAGCATGTACTGATACTGATAGAGATCCGCGAGACGAAGACGCCTGGTTCTGTGCTCGTCGGGGAGAGACGACGGGGAGACAGGCCGCTCCGGCGCGTCTGCATGGAGCGCAGGGCTCCCCAGGACCGGCCAGAAGGCACCGCATCTAGAATTTCCCGTCAGGATATATATACTCTGTACTGCAGGATCCGAATACTGTAGCAATAACAATAAGCATCCCTACCTACCTTCTTTTGTTGGCATCTCTGGCACGCTCGATTGCTCCTCGACCGCTGTCCGTGACGTAGTCCCGACGAGCCCCAAGTGCATTCGAGCTTGAGGCGACTGCAGTTCTGGCAGACCCCTTGCCGCTCATCGCATTTGACCTACTTACCCATCGTAGTGAGCACTTATGCTTTCAGAATGAACGCAGTCGAGACGAGCAGAGCATACCTTTCTGGTGCGGCAGGTCGTGCAACCGCGCCGTGTACGCGGCTTCTTTGCGCCTTCGTGGTCTCTGTTGGGAGCATCATCGGCGGGGAATTGCGTGTGCACGTTTTGTAGCATGATATCCGTTTTGCCAGGGCCTCGCCTATCAGTTCACATCTAATTTTCTGCTAGGCTTTACGAGTACCACGTAGGTATGTTATATGTTGTGAGGACCTGAACGATAGGGAATCATGGTTTGTAAGCAAAACACTCGTATATTTACTAAACTAATCTCTAGCCCCTTTACAAAAGAGGGGAGCCTCCTTACTTACCTCAGGTATGTGGTGATCTTGGGCTAAAGCGAGGGTTAGCAGACGGACTACGAACTAGGGCGAAATGCAAAATTTTCGCGTCATTTACGCGTCAGATCCCGAGGTTGGCCGCTTTGACTCTGAGTATCAAGCGTAGCTCGACCCTATCTTCCTAGATGATTCGTTATATATCTAAGCCACCTAATCTGAGCACCGCAAGGGGATTGCTGCTGGTACGCGCTTTGGTGGTTTGCTGAGGTCGTGCTCGTAGTCGTCGATTGGCTCCCTGGAGCAAGTACTCTATAGCAGAATATCCTCGGAATGAGACCTTAAGATTTGACCAATTGACCCTTTCAAACACACGGGATGTAATATACCACCACCTGCCCGGAATCGAGTCAAGTCAAAACTGGAATAGCTTTGATCCGCTCGATGGCGAATGCCGAGACCAGCTTTGAGTTACTCGTACTGATCATCCATGCCAAGAATTCCTACCCAAATACCCATCGACATCTCCAGTCTCGTTTATCAAATAACGAGGCTACATATGATCTATTTTAGGCCCTAGTCAAGCGGAAATGTACGATCAATGTCCTAAGGATAAGGGGGTATTATTAGCCTTGGAACTACTCTGGGTAGCGCGAGGGGCGGTTGTGGTGGCTTCAAGAAAGAATCATTCGTGCGGAACTGAAAACTACTAATTGGTTTTCATGTATCATTTAACGGAACGGGAAGGAAAGCGGATTCAAGAGGGCAAACAGGACCGCCAAAGTATAACGAAGCAATAATCTTCAAATAAATATTTGTACCGCCTCGAATCCAACACTAAGCTCTCTTCCGCAACAAGATAGTCTTAGTAGGATTCGCCATAACCCCCGAATTCATCTCAATATTGGCTGGCCGCGCCTCCCCATCAGGAAGCTTCACGTCATACTTCATAATCAGATGTATAAGGATTAACTTGATCTCATACGCTGCAAAGAATCTCCCTGGACAGGCATGCTTCCCATGCCCGAAATACAGCGAGTCAATACCCGTGGTGACAAACTGGTGTTTATTGTCAGCCCCGGGTTCACGACGCAGTCTCTCGAATCTGAACGCATCGAAAACATTTGGCTGATGCCAAAAGTCAGGGTCTCGCGCGATAGCGCTGGCGGGTGTTCCGATATAGTTGCCTTTTGGAATTTGGATCCCGTTGGAGAGGGTCAGGTCAGACATCACTCTCCTCTCAAACGTCAACAGCCCCAGTGGGTTTGTCCTCTGGGACTCTTTCATGAAGCTGTCTAGTTTCCGCAGTTTGGGCATGCTGGTCTTAGTGATGGTGCCCGAAGGTTCTGCGGCGATCACTGCCGCCACTTCCTCTCGCAGAGGATCGATGTACTCTGGGTGGGCAGCAAGGTCGAATAGGGCGTGGCTGAGCTGCATGTTAGTTGTATGGATGGCTGCGGCGCTGACGATGAGTTGGTTGTGGGCCTGGTAGTCGATGTCGCTGACCAGCTTCGGGGGGGAGTTATTGATATTCCAGGTCAGCATGTCTGGCACCTGGCTCGCCTTGTTGCCCTTGGCTGCGACCCGTTGCTTGATAATGGGGCAAATAAGGCGCTTCATGGCCTGAAGTTTCGCCCTGGAGCGCTTAAGTCCTGGAATCCACCATTGAGCAAGAGGCCGAAGGAAGGAGGGGTAGGCACGGAGGGCTTCCCCCCCCATCATACTGTCAATCGTGAAATTCACAATGCAGTCCAGGTAATCTTTGTTACGGTTAAGGCTGCTACCAACGAAGATCCTGCCTGATGCAAGCGCAATAACGCGTAATAGCGAATGGGCGGGGAATATTGGAGTCCATTCTAATCAGATGCGATCAGTACTGAGAATCAAGAAATAGCGGCTCGAAAATTACCCTCACAAGCTTCAATCTCACTTGCAAATGCATAGCTAACTTCCTCCTCGACATCCGCCACCACCTTACCTGTTGGTAGACAATTCGTCAGTGCCTTGGCAGCTTATCTTTCTTTAGCCACACCTACCAAGGTGCTTTGTGAGGTCATTTTGGATACTCTTGATAACCGTATTGTCATCTGGATGGTCCACAAGTGAGACAAGTAAGGTATACCGGGCGAAAAATCTCTGTTCGACGTATTAATACATGTTCTTCGGGAAAGAAGTGTGCGGAATTACCTCTCGGGCGAGATACTGGAAGCTCAAAACGGTCTCAGGGGCAGCTTTCAGCTCATCGACAAACTTTGGGGGAATGACTACAATTTCTCCAAAGTGCTCTTTTAACCTGAAGACTTGCTCTCGAAACTAGGAGGTTGTTAAATTAAGCATCTAATCATTGGAGAGGTGAAGAGCTCTTACTCTAGGGTATGTGTAGGCCACAATACTTGAAATGGACTTGTGCCCGAACTTCACCGACGGATCATGGTTGACTTTAAACAGAGGTGCAACGGCCGCTCTGGGACCCGCTGTAGCATACTTGAGAAGAAAGAAGAAGCAAACAGCACCACCAAGCGTCGTTAATACACCAGTATGATCTGCCACATTTCCAATAAACGGAGCCATTTGAGATGCCTTGCCGAATTCAAATTTGAGTCTGTACTGGGTTTTATCAATATGAGGCCGTGGGGTTGTTTGAGAGCAGTGTTATAAATGTTACTCGAGTACAGAACTGGTATATTTCCGACATACAAAGAGATCAACTATCGAGGGCTCCGAAGCGGATGAGGCATATAACATACCTTACGAAGGAAGTAGTGCACGATTGCACGGCTGCGCCAATCCTTACCTTAGTATGTACACTCACTGTGCCACCCTGGCGATTAACGCAGCTGTAGGTTACTAGGAGGCATCCTCGCATCCTCGCATCCATGCTGCCGTAAGATACCTACGAAGGAAGCAGTGCGGCACAGACAGTCGAACATGCAGTACGAGTACTTATATAACCGGGGTATAATACCTACATTACGTTACTGTATGTGGAATAAACCAGCGAAATTAGCCCGTAAGATCTAAGTCTCCTTCGTCATGCTACTTCCCTGCTGGAGAAGCTTCCCCTGCGCTGTCGACGCCACTCTCAGCCTTTCGCGGAATTGCGCGCTCTAGTTGCTCCAGTTCTAGGTTGCTAATGCCGGGGTTTCTGTATTTTGTTTGTCGGGTTTATCGGGTTTGTCCTGGCTCAAATGACCCAACAACGTAAGGTATATATATGAGAGAAGGGCACCAAAGCAAGAAAGAGAGGCTGGAATACAACATACTTTGACGAACCTGCAAATAACCGCCAGCCATGGAGTTCCCCAACTTCATAAGTCCAATCCCAATACATCCCATACTTCTGCTGTCCCTCCAAATCCTTTCCTCCACCCTCGCAGTTTGCTACACGCCAACCGCCTCGCTATGGCGTCCAGCAGTGCTTCCCCTCCAACTCATCTTCGTACATTCTATTGTCAGTTCTGTTAATTACATGCGGCCATTCTGGGCATCACTGCTTGGCGGCTTGAGCTTCGTACTCTTCCTGCAGTTTTTCGACCTTAACCTGCTGAGCAAATGGAGCTTCGAGCACAACGGACCAGTGGACTGGGTTCCGTCTTCAGGGAAGAAACTGAACGGGGCTACTCGTACTACAGAGGCCCATCAGAATTTCCACGCCAAAGTATCAGTTATTGACACCCTCTGGAACCGATTCCGCTGGGGCTTCAACGTCAATTGTGCCCTCCGGCACATCAACACGCCCCAAGAATCCAAAAACTGCCCGCACTTCCACGCCCAAGACCCCGAATACACGCCCTCTCGCCCCGTATTCCTCGCCCGGTCCTTCCTCATCGCCGTCTGCGCCTACATGACGATGGACGTGTTCTCGTCTCAGCCGCCCCCGCCAGACCCCGCCACGCTCTTCGGGGCGGATCGTGTGCGGTTCTTCACTCGCCTTGGGGACGTCACGGCCGAGGAGCTGGCCATGCGAATCATGGTCACCGTCGCCGGATTTCTTAATAGCTACTGTCTCATCACCGGTGTCCCGCTACTTATGAGCTTCTTCTTCGTCGGTTTCGGCCTGAGCGAGCCACGGTTCTGGCGGCCGCTGTTTGGCTCCTTGCTCGATGCCTATTCCGTGCGCCGGTTCTGGGGTAACTTCTGGCACCAGAACCTGCGGCGGATGATGGGCGAGCCAGCTTTGTTTCTCTCGCGGAGTATATTGCACCTGCCTGAGGGCGGGATCTTAGAGCGATATACTAAGATCATGGCGACGTTCTACATTTCCGGAGTCGTGCATGCCATCGCGGATCTGGCGGGGGGCCTCCCTTGGAGCAAACAGTTGACGGTAAAGTTCTTCGTAACGCAAGCACTGGGGATTATTATTGAGGATACCGTCGAAGCGGTCTACAGAGCGATCTGTGGCAAGAAGCGGACGCCGGGCCCTCCAGCTTTTTGGATTAGGATTGTGGGTTATGTGTGGCTCGCAGGATTCTTGGTCTGGTCTACACCCATGTGGGTGTATCCAGGTGCTTCCAGGACTTCTGAAGGGACAAGATCGATTCTCCCATATAGCGTCATTAACAGGGAGTGGACTTGATCAACAACAGGTCGTAAGAAACAGAATTTAAAAAAGTATTAAAAAACGATTGTGTGCTGGAACTAAATTCTTGTTAGATCAATCTCGGTTGTACAGTACCTTGGCACCCGTATATCCCCCCTTATATCTGACTCAATCAATCACATCACTCTTTCAATTTGACCCAACGGTATTTACTGTTACGGACGTACTATATTCTCCAAGCTAGTCAGGTTCCTAACTTTAAATTAATGAGCTACAAGAAAACCTCAACAATCCACTACTAAAGCATATCAAAACATTCGATTTCCCCCATCCAGAGCATAGATATCCCATCCTCAAGCACCTAAAACAATTGCCTTCCCCAACCTACTTGCTCTTGACCTCGGCCCCAACACCACTCTTCGTTTCAACCGTGGTCTCGTCGGTTGTGGCCTCGTTGGTTGTGGTCTCGTCGGTTGTGGTCTTCTCGATGGTTTCAGCTTCAGCCGTCGTGTCTGTAGACTTCGCGGTCTTGACGCTCTTCCATTCCGGGAATAATGACAGTAAAAGGCCGATACCGCCAGCTGCTATGGCTACAATGAATGCTCTTGTCACTGCATAATTGTAGGAATAAAGGACATCTGGTAGGAACCGCGGTGGTGTTGCTTCAGCAACCTTGGCTGCACCAGCGGCAACAATTGCAGGGATTTGGTCGACAGGAATGCGTTTCGTGAGCTCCGAGACAAGGGAGTTACTAAAGATGTTCTGGGCGATTGAGACGGCAAGGGCACCGCCGAGACTCGTGAAGAAAACCACTAGAGAGTTACCAATAGCCTGGTCTTCGACACTCAACACAACTTGGGTGGCAACGAATGGAACTTGGAGAGAGAGACCACAGCCAATACCAGCCAAGAGCTGGTAGCCGATCCATTTTCCTGCGTAAGAGCTGACCTCCAGAGTGTAGAGAAGACTAGAGCCAATAGTGAAGAATATAGCACTAAACCAGAGGAACGGTACGTAGTATCCGAAGGTTGTGGTCATTCCGCCGGATACAATTGAGGCCAGCGTGATACTCACTAGCAACGGGATCATGCGAATTCCAGAGTTTTCCGCAGAGACACCTTTTACAGCTTGAAAGTAGAACGGGAGATAGAAAATGAGCACGTAGAGACCCAGGCCTAGTATAAACGTAAACCAGCAACAAGACCAGACTGTGCGTTGTTTCAGGATGCGGGGAGGAATTGTACCTCTGTGCCAGTAATTAGCAGATAATTTGGCCACTTTCGTGGACAGTACTTACTTATCCCCAAGCTTAAATTGGATAGCTATAAACACGGCAAGGAGAAGGAAAAAGCCGAGAAGACAACCCCAAACCTTGGAATCGCTCCAAGGGTATGTTACTCCACCCCATTTCAATGCGAGAAGTAGACAAATGACAGCACTGATGAGTGAAATTGCACCAAGGATATCTAGTTCTAAGAACTTCTGTTTTATGCTTTTGTCGTTCTTCTTGTGATCCGGATTCTTGAAGACGAGAAACACGGCAAGAATAGTCACACCACCAAAAGGCAAACTGTCTATCATTAGTTAAGTTCGCATCATTGCGTCCAGTTGGAATATACTTGATCCTATAATTGTCAGCTTCTTATCGCCTGAGAGGATTTTCAATTTGAAAGAGCTCATACCAGAAACACCATCTCCACGACACACGGTCCGTGAATGCGCCTCCAATGATGGGACCCACAATGGATGCAATTCCAAACATACTCGACAAAGCACCAATATAGATTGCCCTATGTCTCAGAGGCACGCTAAAACCAATGATGTTCATAGCCCCAGAAAACAGTGCCGCTGCTCCTATACCTGCCACGGCACGTCCAACGATGAACATAGTCGAGGTTGATGCAGCAGCACAGAGTATTGATCCGAGCTCAAAGATCAGCAATGCGGAAATATAGGTCCATTTTACATCGAACAGCGTATAGATCTTTCCAAAAGTTGGCTGTAGCGCGCAGTTCGTGAGCAGATATGCAGAACCATACCAGCCAACATCGTTGAGAGAGTCAAAGTCTGTTGTGATGCGAGGGATAGCAGTTGCTGTAATTTTTAGCAGGCAATCAAGAGGTCCCTAGAATGGTATAGTCGTACCGATGACAGTGTTGTCTAATGCTACAACAAACATAGCAAGACATAATCCGAGTGTGAGCAGAGCCAATGAGAGACCACCTGGATATTTCGTCACATTCTCAGTCTCCTCTTGTCCCTCCACCTTGGGCACCTCTCCTTCAGTGTCAAGCATAGTAGCATCATTGCTGCTTCTTACAGCGGGATGACTCGGAGGAGCATCTTGGTCGAGCCTGGGGATACCAGCAGAGACTAGAGGACTGTCTGATAATGTTGAATTCTCAGTCCCTTCCGCTGCTCTAGTTGGCGGATGTGGCACTCTCACGGTGTCACGCACGACGGCCGCGGGTAAGGGTTCTGTGGCAGCCATGATGACTATGCTAATAGCCAAGGTGTGAAAATACAGTGTTCGTTGTAAGCGACAGATATCACTAACGCCCACCTCTAAGAACGCTCTACTTTCTCTTCGAAATATTCTGAGCCGTGCCTCTGGAAAGAATGGGTTTGGAGGCGTTGTTGTGAGGACAGCACAATTGGTTGGACCTATTGACGTTAGGTTAGTCGAATGGCACAGCGAACAGGTATAGCCGATGTTGAAACAGGCGTATCGGTGCTCGAAGCAACGTTACACACAGGAAAGCCAGTAAAAAATGAGTGAGCTGGCACGGTAGTACAATGAGATAAGAACGTCATAGTAAGCAAAGCGCTCGCAATGGAAAGAGGCTCAAACATGCACAGTACTGTATGGATGGAGTATATCCATGAGGATAAACCCATGATAGATTAAGATTGATGATGGTGGGTACAGGGGGGGAAGTCAATACAATGGGGGCCCGTCAGCAGCCCTGCAGACACGGATCCATAGGTAAGGGTCTACTGGTAAGGATATGGCAGCCATGGATCAATGAAGGATCTACACACACTACATGCAAAAGCAAATGCAACCACGGTCGACATAATCAACAACCCGTCCCCAGTTAACGGCATGTGCCGCAGCTGTTGCATAAGACAAAGCTTAACAATGCGGGAGACATGAGTGGGTAGAGTATTGCGCCTCATTTATTTACCAATATTCAATATTTACCTTTCATTTTATCATTCGAATAATAGGATAAAATATTAACATAGATAGCCAAATAGGGAATTTTCCGAAGTATTCCTTTGCTTACAATATTGGGCACACCGCCAGAAGAAATGCTGCAAAGGGGCGGCACTGCTTATCTGACTCTGTTCCCCGTGCCGCCCCCTGATGAGAGCTAGAATTATCTAGTAGGATCATGCCGGAGGGAGCATAGCTATGCGCGATGATGAGATACTCTGATGGATTGCAGATCTATGTACGAAGTAACCTTCGCTGTTTGGACATTGCATGCCAGCTAAGAAAAATTTCAGAATTTCAGTCACTATGGCTACACCAATTTCGAATGTCGAGACTGCAGAAGTGCTGGCAGATTTGATAGATCCCCATGGGTCTTTTACGGCTGCAGGGTCGTCTGATCAAAACAGAGACTCGGAGCAGGACATCGAAAAAAGTCGAGAGTTGTCGCCTTTTGATGTTGTGGGATTCGATGGCCCAGGAGATTCATATGATCCGGTGTACTGGTCCAAGAGTAAGAAATGGGGGGTCCTCCTAGTGGTAGCGTTGATGACTCTAATCACGTATGTGTATACTTCGAAAATATTGAGGCCTATGCTAACAATGCAGACCTCTGTCTCCATCGATGTTCGCATCCGCTCTCCCAGAAGTCTTGATGGACTACCCTCCTGACAAATCTATCCTATCCACTATGGTTGTGTCAGTCTATGCCCTTGGGCTTGGATTTGGGCCCTTGGTGATCGCCCCGCTCTCTGAGCTCTATGGCCGGCTGGTGCTGTACCACGTAACGGCCATCCTCTTCGTAATATTTAGCATTGCCTGCGCTGTAAGCAGCAACCTCAACATGTTGATTGTGTTTCAATTTCTCCAAGGCTGTGCTGGTTCCGCACCTATTACCATGGGAGGTGGAACTGTCGCTGATATGTTTTCGCAAACGGAACGGGGTTCGCGGATTGCTGTTTTGGCAATCGGCCCACTTCTGACGCTGCTTTTCGGACCTGTAGCTGGATCTTTTTTGGCCGCAGCGAAAGGTTGGCGCTGGGTATTTTGGCTGATGGCTATCTTAGTAAGTTTTCTTGCTGTGTTATTTGACAACTGCTGACTTCTCAGGCTGGAGCCACAGAGATTTTATACTGTTGTTTCCTACGGGAAACTTATCCCTCCGTTGTACTCGAAAAGAAGGTTCAAAGCATCCGCAATGAGACGGGAAATCAAAACCTTCGGTCGAAACTACATAAGGATCTCTCACTAACAACTCAACTTTCGGTGTCTTTGATCAGGCCATTCAAGATGCTCTTCCTCTATCCCGTGGTGCTTGGTCTTGCCGTGCACGTGGCTATCGGATACTCGTATTTCTACCTCCTTCTTACCACACTAGCTGGGGTCTTTATAGGAGAGTACGCTTTCGGGGTCGACATCATTGGGGTGGTATTCCTCGGCATCGGAGTAGGCATGGCAGCTGGTGCTATCAGCTTTGGCATACTTTCCGATAAGAGACTAAAATACAAGGCCAGAATGGGTGAAATGAAGCCTGAATATCGGCTGGAACCTATGGTCGCCGGTGGCATATCGATTCCGATTGGGTTGTTTATATACGGATGGGCAACGCACTATGGAGTTCATTGGTTCGTTCCAATTTTGGGCACAGGATTTGTCGGTTTGGGTCTCATGTGGCTCCTGGTAGGTTCATAATTGCTCTGCGGTGGCACTGGCAAGAGGTACTAACAATTCGGCAGTTACCAATTGATACTTATCTGGTCGACGCATATCCAATGTATGCAGCATCCAGCATAGGCGCTACTACGGTCTTTAGATCAATCGTGAGCGCATTCCTACCCTTGGCTGGCCCGCCGATGTATGCGAGGTTGGGCCTTGGATGGGGTAATTCTGTACTCGCTTTTATCGCGATAGCTTTTATCCCTGTCCCGTTGCTATTTCTCAAGTACGGCGAGGCCATACGCAAGAATCCTCGTTTTCAGTGGGAACTTTGACGAGTGGCACGTTAGTGAATTTCTGGATAGAAACTTAATAACACATTCTTCTAGTTAATTGAAGTCGGTATCATTCAAAACTCAAATCATCCAACATGAGACGGGATAACATTTGCCGCTCGACATGTTTATGTGATTCAGGCAATTATATATGAAAAAGACATTTATTTTTATTTTTTTTTCGCTGTGCAACCCAAAGACAGGAAGACAGAACGTAGAGGCTGTTGTCATCCACTCCAGTTTCTCAATCTCTGACCACTTCTGGCCATGTCAATCTCACTATTCCGATGCCAATGCAAATAAACTCTTTTCCTCACTCGTAGTTGTGACCTTATAAGCCCAACTACGATCCTCATACCCCTTCCTCAACCGCACCTTCACGTCAATATCCCCCAACGGCGGCAAAATACTCGCCGCAACATTGCTGTAGTTAGGCTCGGGGAACTTCCACTCGCCACTATCGGGCTCAACATCGTACCTCACAATAATCATGCCAACAAAACACATAACCTCGACAGTAGCAAAGTGTCGCCCAGGACAGAGGGCGGGCGCACCACCAAAAGCACGGAACGCAACCGGTGAGCGCTTGATCTCACTCTTCTTAGTGAAACGGTAGGGATCAAATTCCTTTGCCTCATCACCCCACTGAGAAGTCTCGTAATGCAAGACAGCGCTGGGGATCTGGAGGATTGCACCCTTCTTGAGCAGATAACGGTCGTCAAGAACGGTGTCTTCTAGAACAAAACGCGGAGAGGCAAATGATGCGCGTGTGCGTAGTGTCTCCTGGTAGGCGGAGAAGAGAATGGGACACTGTGTTCGGATTTCGGCAGTGTCGAGGGTCCAAACATCTTTTCCGCTGGAGGAGTCAATTTTAAAGACTTTCTCCACTTCGGCCCGGATGTCTGATAGCAGAGTTGGGTTGGAAACAATGTTAGCCAGCGTCCAGAAGGCAGTTGGTACAGTGTTGGACAAGATACCAGTTCCACCTGGGACTTCCAGGCGAGCGATGGCCTCAATCGGGACTCCATTGTCGAGTCCCGTCTGACAACGCGTTTGTGCCATGATAGAAGCCTTCTTCCAGGCTCCACGACGGTAATAGTCAATCATTTTTTCGGCCAGGAACTCCCGCCGTTTGTAAGTCTGGCGGGCGGTTAATTGCGGTACCACATTAAGCAATAGCATCGTAAGTTTCGATTCGTAAGCCCTAGTTATATTGGTCAAGGATGGTATTCAGAGACTTCGGAGATGTAGTTACCAGAATGTTTCCTCATAGTTGTCACGTGTATATGGATTCTCAGGGCCATATACAGCATCGGTGCTAGCAATCGAGATAACACGGCGAGTCCATTTCCAGAGAGAAAAAGAATCTTTTTGTGTTGCAAGTTTATCGGTGTATTTCTGGAGATTGGCAAGCATTGGTATGTTCATCAGATCCAAGCCATGGCCGGTAAGAGATGGTGACATGGAGTGGACAAGTTTCCTGTGAGCTCCTCCCCCTCCACTTTCAAGCTCTCTCAGTAATTCAAGTGAGGGGCCGCCAATGCCAGCCAAGCGTTGGGCTACTATAGTCAAGATAGGATCGAACGAGATGGTTTTAGCATTTCGTTGGACTGCCGTGACCAGCTTAGTCGAGTTCACAACATATGTCCTGCCATTGGGCATGGAAAATGTGTAAATCGGCTTTTTGTACTTGACGCTGTTTTTAACTCATCAGAAAACCATCTTCTTGTCATTATGAAGGATAACGAACCTAGTACGTAGATAATAATCGCTTCCATACTTCAGGAATCCCGCCAAATGTCCCAGTATTGGAATTTTCTGAGAAATCAGAGGAGGCTCTCTAGGATCAAGTTTAAGGCGCAATAATCTATCCAAAAGTACAGCCAGTACAGCAAAAACTGTGAATATTGGGACTGCGTTTGACAACATTGTCGGTAGGTTATTTTCTTCAAAAGACAGTCCTTTGATTCACCTTTGTGTTTAAGGCCGACCTTCAAATTTCGGTAGGGAGTGGGGGTTGGGCTTAAAATCTGAAAGCAAGCACCAATCCTCTTGTCTTCCACGTTACTGCAATAATTCTCAAAAAACGGATCTTAGCCACACTAAGCTCTAAATCATCAATCGTATTTTCGATATCCCCTTGATACAAGGCAAATACTCTATATCGATTAGCTCAATATGAATACGAATACGCCGAAATTACACGCGGCGCATTTTACGCCGCGTGAACTGATAAGAAAGACTTACAATGCAGTCCCAAGTCCCCGGAGGTACAGCGGTGAAGTATTCGTAGAGCACTAGCAAGGGTCCCTTGATTGGCACTGTGTCTTACGCGATACAGTAGTAAACAGAGCGTCTTACTGACCTTACTTGGCAAAGCATGATGGGCGTCTGGGGGGGCCTTACAAGCACCCTACGAATACTTACCCGCTGAGCCTCCGCAGGGAGTGAGCAAGTCAAAGCGCCGGGGGCAATAATGGCAGGGGCACAGCATCCTAGGGCGGGAGGATCGGGGTGCATATGGGGTGCAGACGGAGTGCTACGTGCTTCCACCCACTCGGCGAATTGGGTTTCATCACCCCAGCCCCATACTACCTAAAGCTTGTTTGCACGACCGCCAGCGTCATTTAGCGCTTACGGAAATAGGTACGTACTCGAGTACACATCCATCGGTTGGGAGCATGTATCTCACTGTATGTACTATTCCATTGCAAGACGCGTTTTTTTTATAAAATAGCCCTAAACCGGAAGGTGATAATGCCGCATGCAGCTTTCCAACCTCGGCATCCTGCCCCCGTTGGGCTCTCAGCTAGGTACGTACTCGAGTACTATCCCATTACAGATTCACATGAAAGAAGCCGGAAATCGACACCTGCGCCGCAACTTGGTCTCGACTCTTATCGCACTTCCAACTGCCTAGTTGGAAGCCAAGCTAAACTTCAGCTTCGGATTCCCCATCTCATATCCCCACTCTCCATCAGTCCCCGGCAGCGGCTTCATATCCACCGCAATATCGCTCGAAGGAGTCGCAATACCTGACATCGTGTAGGTCAGCTTGGGAGTTGTCCAGTAACCCAACGCCGGCTCCACATCAAAGCGCGAAATAAGCATAGCACCAATACACAGAATCTCCAATGTCGCAACCTGTCTCCCCGGGCACAAGTGTGGAGCGCCACCGAATGAGCGGAATGCTACCGCAGGACGTTTTGGGCCGTCTGTTTTGAGTTGACGGTTGATATCAAAGGACGCTGGGTTCTTGCCCCACCACTTCTGCTCGGCGTGGACAGGTGCGAAAGGCATCAGGATGAGAGTGCCTTTTTTAACAAGGTACTTGTTGTCGACAATCGTGTCCTGGAGTACTCTCCGTGCCGATGTACCGATCCCGTGCATGCGAAGTATCTCATGATAAACAGCCACGAAGCGCGGGCATTTTGTTTTGAGGCTGGGAACGTCCATCGTGAACGTGGGGTTCCCATCGCGGCTGCCCTTGATGATGGCATGAGAGATTTCTTCACGAACCTCAGCAAGTAGTTCGGGCCGCGCATATATCTCTCGTATCAGCCAGAAGAGCGCCGGAGCCGTATTGGATAAGATGGGGGTTGACATTCCAGCTTCGAACTGAGCGATGTCTTCAATCTTGAATCCGTTCTCTTCAAACAACTTCCGCCTCATAGTGACGAAGGTGGAAGCCCCTTTGTTTCCGTCTTGATAATATTTGAGGAACCCTGCGGCCAGCTTTTTACGGCCATTCCATGCCGTGCGAGCTTGGTACTTGGGCCACACGCTGGTTAAGAGACTTCCAGCATTATTCTCGAATGCCCTAGAAAAGTTAGCAAAGTTCGATGCTGAGATTTGGATAATGAACTCACCAGAAAGCCTTTTCAACCTCCACGTCATTCATGGGGTGGTTTGGTCCATAAACTGCACCAAAGCTCGTTTGGGAGATGACATGGACCATCCATTTGTAAATACCAAAGTTGGTTCCCCATGAAGGTATCTCATCCATCAAAGGCTTCAGCTCAGTAAGCACAGCATCGTTCATCTGCCGTGCACCCTCCACGGTATAGAGGGTGTGATGAATAAGTCTGTGATGCTCCACACCCATGCCCTCATCGAAACGCCCATTGTCCACAAACCAAGCCTTACACAGCTCTGGTCTGAGGCCTGCAATTCGCTCTGCAACATATGGAATCAAAGGAGCAAATGACAACGTCTTCGCGTTGCGTTGAATGCTGTGTATGATTTGGGAGGTGTTCACGACATAACTCCTCGTGCCAAAAATACCAAGTGTAAAAATGGGAGGGCGGCTCTTTGCAGAAACACGAGTATAATATTCAGGACCGTATCTTACCAGTCCATAAAAGTGCCCAAATAATGGGACTTTGTGGGTGAGCAGCGGCGGCTCATTCTTTTCAAGGTGCGGACCGAGAATCTTTTCGAGGACAACAAAGGTGAGGCAGAGAACAAAAAAGATGATTATGTGGAGATAGATGTCCATGATTTCCAACATACGGCAGTGGTATGGAGAAGCGGTGGGTATACGCGTTTTCTGAGATAGAATTATCGCCTTGACGATGGTGGTCGGCGTTAAGATGGTTTGAATCATTTAGGGTTGCCTCAGCACATGTATACTGATTTGCTGCGACTTTGAAATGTCCCTTATTAGTTAGTATTTTAACTAATAATAAATATTGAATTTATATATACATTTATTATGTTTTACAATGTAGTTATTAATGCTACTAGGATCCTTGACGAAGTAACAGGGGTTTTACAACTATATATCGAGGGGTATCTCGACGAGAAAGGATTGTTGTGCCAAACCAGTTAGATAATAATCCCACCTACACAGCGAAATTACACAGGGCAGCTCCCCATCCTCTCTCGATCTTCCAATATGCCACAGCTTACAGACAAAGTCGCCATTATCACTGGGGTTTCCTCAGGCATCGGTCATGCAACAGCACTCCAATTCCTAGGCGAGGGTGCACGAGTCTTTGGCATCGACATATCCCCGTTTCCCACCACCGCTGGTCTCACGGACTCACAACAGTCCCTGTTCGAGTTTCACCAATGCAATCTGGTAACTTCCGGAGCCATACCTACTGCAGTCAGCTCTTGCAAGGCAAGATTTGGCGACCGGATTGACATCCTAGTCAACGTGGCTGGCGTGATAGACGGCTGGTCGAGCGTCGACACGACCACGGATGATGAATGGAGCCGAGTCATGGCTATCAACTTGGATGTGCCTGTTAAGCTGATGCGTGAGGTTCTGCCCGCCATGAAGCTGCAGAAGAGCGGTGCGATTGTCAATGTCTGCAGCAAAGCAAGCATGAGCGGCGCGGCTGCTGGTGCAGCTTATACGGCTAGTAAACATGCTTTAGTAAGTGAAGGATCACTTCCTAACCTTCTAAATGTGGAGTACTGATAAAGCAACATCGCTTCTAGGCAGGTGTTACCAAGAACGTGGCGTGGCGATTCCGTCTGGAAGGCATCAGATGCAATGCCGTGTGTCCAGGAGGTGAGCCGGCATCCGACTCTCAGATATTCTTAGGATGAACGACTACGTGTATCTCGGTGAGCTACTGCTGACCTTGTTTAGCCACCACGACCAACATTGCGACATCAATGAAGATGGAATATTTTGACCCCGCAGCTTTTGCGGTCTTTCAGTTGGTTCACCCTTCTAGTCCAAGGCGACACATTTTGACCAGACTCCAGACCCATTATCCAGCTACACTGTGCAAGTGATACAGCAGGAATACCAACAACGCATATCAGCCCAGCGGATATTGCAAATGGCATCAGATTCTTGGCCTCTGATGAATCAAAGATGATTAATGGTGTTCTTTTGCCAATTGATACTGCATGGTCCACTATCTAGGAATGGGTCCTCCTTGAGCTGAAAATCATTGATTGTATGACTGCGTGTTCACTTTGGGTTTCTAGAGATTTTGGACCTCTGAAAATAATCAAATGATAATTCCTTTCTGCACTATCATAAATGACTATATGGTTTCTGGTTCTATGAAATGATTGATAAACTACTTCGAGGAAATGTTGGCTACTTTTGTTCCCAAGGTTCAAACTTAGACAGCCCTCTCTCTGAACATTACAGCCTTTTCCATATCTGGGATGACCTATTATAGAATCAGCATTAAATATATAATATGGTTCAATCTTGTGTCTCACCATGGTCTCAAAGCTGGAGTTCTTGTATCGGCCAGCTGCTGGATCTACCAACGCGAGGTCATAGCTCTGCAATATTTTACTAAGAATGACTTTAATCTCATCAACAGCGAAGAACCGTCCAGGGCAGGCATGTCGTCCGTAGCCCCAGTTCAAGCTGTCCCGGCTTGAAGTCACAAACTGATGTTTGTTCATATCATCTTCACTGCGTTTACGAAGCTTGTAAAAACGGAAGCCATCAAATTCATCTGCATGGGGATAGATTGATGGATCTGCATTGACAGCGCCGGCCGGAAGCTCAATATTACTGCCTGTGGGTATTACTGTACCATTGGACAGAACCAGATCTTTCAGAGTCTTGCGACGACCGTTTGCTATTGCCACTTAGTTAATGCTTTCAATTTAGAAGCTGCTTATCCGCAAACTTACTTAGACCCGGAGGATTGTAGCGCTGCGATTCCTTCATGAAGCTGTCCAACATCAACAGCTTGTTGAGTGTTACTTTTGTCAGAATACCACCGGTTGATTTCAAGGCCTCTCTGTACTCTTCTCTCAACGGCTCATGATACTCAGGATAGGCAGCCAAATCAAACATCTCATGCAAAAGTGTAAAATTGGTCGAATGAATAGCACCCATGGCAAGTGCCAATTGCAGATGAGCCTGATGATGGAGCTCTTCATCAGTACCAGCTTTATCACCGAGTCTATCAATCATCCACTGCATGATATCGTCTGGTTTCTGATAGTCTGGATCATTTTGCATGGCATCCAGGCGCTTTTTCAAGACGGGTACCACCAGTCGTTGGGCTTCTTGGCGGGTTGCATGCATACGAGCTGGTTGTGGCATGAGACGAGCTGCAATCGGACGCAAAAACACTGGCCAAAATTTAATCGACTTGGCTGCTGCGAAAGCATCCATCCAATAGTCTACTGAAATTCGGAGCCAGTCTGGGTCACGACAAAGGTCCATTCCAACAAAGGATCGTGCCGTGACAGATGCAATTATATTCTGAGTTGCCTTATTCATAATAACGGCTTTCCATTCTAATTAAGCGTCCAGGTCAGCGGGGTCAACGAAGCAAGGCTGGTTAATTTACCTTTGCATGAACCTATTTCCTTCCCAACAATGTAGTTGACTTCATCTTCAAGAGTTTCCGTAAGCCTTGCTGTGGCGGCCGGTCAGAATCATTTCGCTGAAGCAGAAGAAGCAGGCAGAACAGTTGACTTACCCATTCCTGGAGTTAAGTCCCGGTTTATGGCGAGTTCTTTCAAGTCGTCTGATATCAAAACCCCAGTATAATGGGTTGCAAAAAGCTAGAGTATAACATTAGGCTGGCTGTTAATGCTATCTTTCTGTCAGAAACTCACGTCCGAGATAGACCCCTTGAAGCTTAGTTCATCATCTTTGAAGTCACACAATTCAGTGTAAAACCTCTGCCCTGCTACAATTCTAGTTCCTATAGGACGTATTAGAAGGCAAATAACGATGTGGGAATTTGGAAAGAGTTGCCTTCTGTGGTTGTGATCTGAAATAACCCATCCTTGAACTTGTCGTACCCTTCTTTGAGGAGAGCATTGGCGTCGGTGACGTACTTCTTTTTCCTCTTTGACAGGCTTCCAAGCTCCAAGCCTACAAATGGAACTTTTGCCTCTGGTGAGCTCTTCGTAAGAACAAAACTAGCATACGTCACGGCAAATAGCACCAAGATAGCCACTCCGAGCGGTCGACTCTCGATTTCGTAAAGTTTTCTGAAGATTGTTACGGGCACCTCATTGATAGTAACAGTAGCATTGAAGGCCATGGTGAGGATTGAGGATTGATCAAACGTGTTACTAAGTGTGAAGATACTCTTCGAGATGTGGAAGGTAAGATGTGGGCATCACCAATTTGGCATCCTAAGTGTAGTGTCTTTGCTACCTGTTGCGACCCTGCAATATGAATCCTCGCTTACTCAAGTATAGGGAGGACATCCTCGGATGCACCACGATACTGCCCAGGCCAAATTTACATCTAAATATGCCCGTTTTGCTCTACAAGGAATATTATTACCTGTAGCGTGCGGACTACCCCTTGAGGCTAGTAATGTCTGTAGATATAACATATACCTAATTAGGTAAGATTTTACATCTACAGATATGGTTTAAAAGCATACTACTTAGTAGTCCAATTACGGGCATAGTGCATATCTTCAGCCAAATCATAGCCTGCATTCCGTCCTTATCGTGAGGCGCCACCTCATTCTTCATTCTACTCGAGTCGTCACAAGCTGTGCACATGAGGCTACATGGTCCGTACTTACGTACACGATTCCAGACCATGTATGGATAGGGGCTCGGATAGGAGCTCGGTCCCGAATCACGCAACAGCCCCGGTTGGGCAATAACCTACAGGGGCAGGGCAGGCTGCAGCTAAGACCCTTTTGGACACCACAGAGCTAGCCCCAACTTACCGGAGAATGCCGGTCAGCCCTTGCCGACGGGAGGCACCGCGGGACCTCCCGCGTAGAGAGTAGTTTATTCACATGGGTCAGATCCATTTATTACTCCGTAGGGGCGTAAGCATGGGTGCGGGGGCGGCTGGGTTCTCCACCTCCCCCCTATTCACGGAGAGAGTACTTCGTCGTTTATTTACAGGGTCAAATTCATTTATTAGGGGCGTAAGCATGGGCGTGCGGGCGGCTGGGTTATAAACCTCATGTGTCTGGGTACCAGGTTTGTGTATGCGTTGTCTCACATCCAAAGCTTCTCCGAGGCGCCTCCAAGGTGATGGTATCCAATGATCTGACGGACATTGACAATGTGGTCAGAAAAGGAACGCCATAATTATACCTACAGATTTCAAAGCTAATCGTGGAATCCTTCTGACGTAAACTTGATTTGAGTAATAGAAGGCTAGGCAGGTGAGGAAGGTAGGTTGACGGCGGTGCATGCATCACATCATGGACTAGGATCTGTTTCCTCGAAGGAATCTGTTGTTAGAGATAACGCTCGATGAGAGATGCCCTTGAAGTCATATGATTGCGAGAGCTTTTAGCCCGTCGTTTATTCGGTTGATAGAACGATGGGCTTATCTTCGGCCCCGATACGTTGTTAAATGCGACTTGGTTTATAGCTTAGATTTGAGCGTGGTCTTATTTTCAGTCAACAGAACATCTCGAAAAAGCTCTTCTTTGCAATTTCGTGTTACTGAGCTCTCGCTATGAATTATGATACTCGATCAGATTAAGTCTAGCCTTGCCACTGTTGTGGCGGCTGGAGCGGAGTTCGTCGCCCTATACCCTCTGCCTCTACTCGCAATTGTTATCCTCTCCATATTGACATTGAATGTCATCTCGGTACTTAAAACCAGATACTTCCACTTGAATACCATTCCCGGGCCCAGCTTTGCGGCTTTTACTAGACTATGGCTTTGCAAAGTTATTGCTTCAGGGGACTCAGCCAAGAAATTTGTGGATATCAATAAGGAATTTGGTACGTTAATCGCCAAGAAATCGCCATATATATATTATGCTGAGTAGATAATTTAGGTCCAATCGCTCGGATAGGACCAAACCACCTCTTAACAGATGACCCGGAAGTTGTACGACGAATTCTAGCAGCACGGTCACATTACACTAGAGGACCATGGTTTGACTCGATCAGGATTGATCCTCATGTGCCAAACATCGTCTCGGAAAGAGACACAGGGAAGCACAATCATTTACGGCATCGGATGTCAGCCGGTGTAAGCTATCTCTTATAGTGTTTTTATCTGTGACTTCTTGCTTACTACTTAACAGTACTCCGGCAAGGAGATCCTAGGTACTGAAGCAATAATCGATGAACGGATCTCGGATTTCGTGGAGCGAATTGAGCAAAAATGGGTATCGGAGAATGGCGAGACCAAAGTGTTTGATATTGGTAGGAGAATCCAGTACCTTGCTGTGGACATTATTACCCACCTCTGTTTTGGTGAGCCACTCGGTTTCGTGGATCAGGATCGAGATGTTCATGACTTCCTTTTCACCATCGAGAGTCAACTTCCCATCGTGCAGCACTTCTCTGTGATTATTGAAATCAACACAATGGTTAGAAATATCATGAGTTTTAGTTGGATCAAGAAAGCACTTGCTCCTTCTGCGAGAGACAAGACTGGAATTGGCAAGATTATGGGAGTAAGTAGCCACTCATCTGTCCATATATTGCTCACAGGTCTGACCAACTGAATTAGATCTCGAAGAAGGTAGTTGATCAACGTATATTGCCTCTCGCAGAACCGAAAAAAGATATGCTTGGTTCATTCCTCAAGCATGGCCTTACAGCCGACGAGGCAGAGGCCGAGATATCCATTTCCCTGTAATAAATTTCGTCTCTTTGTCCAAAACTACCATGCACTGACCGCAAGACAGCGTTGCTGGGTCTGATACCACAGCCACTTCAATGCGTGCTACTCTTCTTGCAATTATTACAAATCCATCTGTCTACGCCAAGCTCCAAGCCGAAATTGATGCCGCAGACCGCGCCGGACTCCTCTCTTCCCCGATTAAAGAATCCGAAGCTTCCAAGCTCCCATATCTACAAGCCTGCATATCCGAAGGTCTTCGGCGCTTCCCGCCCATTACTCAGCTCCGAGAGAGACAAGTTCCGCCTGAGGGAGACATCATCAATGGGCACCATGTGCCTGGAGGAACCTTCATTGGCTTGAACGCGTGGGGCCTGCAGCTCAACTCCGTCTTTGGCTGGGATCCGGAGATTTTCCGCCCAGAGCGTTGGTTGATCGAGGATAAAGACTTGCTACTGAGAATGCAGAAGGTACATGAGCTAATCTTTGGCTACGGAAACACGAAGTGTCTAGGAATCCCAATTGCCATGTTGAACTTGAATAAGATCTTTGTCGAGGTCAGTATTCCCATCACTATTCTTTCATAACACAAAAACATGCCGCTTACAGGTAATATGTGTTAGCTTTTCCGCCGCTTTGACATTTCCATTGCCAATCCACACAGACCGTGGAAAAGCACGTGTTATGGGATTTTTTTCCAAAAAGATTTTAACGTTAGGATCCAGTTACGAAGGAATAAATTCTGAAGCACCATACCACGAGCTAGATAGGATAGATTAGTGAAGAGTTTTGTTCGGAGTCGATTAGAAATACATACAAAGCTATATCAGGGATTTGAATATTATGAATTTATGAATTGAAATGAAATGATTTATACTTCCTGCAGCTGCTGTTGAGATGGAACAACTGTGATTATGCCGCAAAATATCATTAGCGGCTGGTAACTACCCTTCGAGCTTTTGCCAACTAATACTTGAAAATGTATAACCAACAACTTTTGACGTTGAACGATTGAGGTTAAACGTTTCTCAGTATGTTGATGACCGTAGCCACCACAGTAGACTACGCGACGTTCACCTAAATCATAGATGGTTATTGCCTTCAGGCTTTACCTCTCAGGGCATAGAGAATAATTATGGCCAAGAGTGCAACAACAGCATTTATATTCATAAGATTTTGAATTATGTTAATAAGCATAGATCTTATGCAGCTACATCAATCAGATTTATAGTTATGCAGGACCATTTGTGCTTGGTGTACCATTTGCATGAGTACCTCTCTCTTTTTTCAAGCACGCACGAACCGGCGCATAGCTAGCCTCCCTGAGCGGTGCAAATAGTGCTTCAATATCCACAAATTCCTCTGGTTTTTTTCCAGCATACGGAGTGTGAGTCATGACAGTTCCACCTTCATACTTACCCTCCTGAACCAACTCCATAATTGTCTCCGCAACTTCCATTCCGGACAGCGCTTGGGACTGATCATATGACCACTGCGGCTTAATATCATCAGTCCACAAGGGAGTGGCCACGAGCCTAGTCAATTTTGAATTAGTAACCGAAGGGTTTAAGACCGTGTGTTGTCAGCAAGAAACTTACCCAGGGCAGACAGCCACAATCTTAATATTCTCCTCGATGTCAGCGGGCTTCATGCATTTCACAAAGCCCACAACGGCATGCTTGGAGGCATTGTAGACGGGGCTTGGGTACAATGGATAGAGGCCTGCCATAGAGGCAACAATGCACATGACCATCTTTTTGTTGCGTGGGATGCTAGCCTTCATGCCAATGCGAGTCAATTTGATCGGATGCGAAGCATTTACATCCATGAGGGAATAGTGATCCTCCTCTTGGTCTTCAAAGAAGGATATTTCGGGCTGAAGATTGACTCGGAATTATTATAAGGTAGTTTTGGTAGTGCGGGGCGTTTACCTTTTCGAAAATACCCGCTCCGGCAACGTAGACGTCGGGCACATCACCAAACTCCTCCTCTGACATCGTGATCAAATTCTGCATCTCTTTCCACACAGCAACATTGCATTTTGTGAAGATGACGGTCTTTGATAGCTCGTGTTTTTTGACAAAATCTCCAGCTTCTGGTGTTAAGCGTAAGTCAGCAATGATTACTTTGTTGTTCTGTGCCACAGCCAGTTGGGCAAAGTTGAAGCTAAGTCCTTGATATTGTCAGTCAGAAGTTCACCACGATGGAATTATATATTTACCTGAGCCACCACCAGTGACCACCACTATCTTATTATTGAGAGGAAAGTCGCCAACAGTCATTATGGTAAGGTTGATTTTTGAGTCTGAAGGGTATGTCGGTTTTCACTATAAACAGTAGTATGGGAAGAAAAGCTGAAAATTCAAAGGTAGCACTGAGGGAGGTCGGAATCGGAAGTATTCTGTGCCACATTCTAGCAGGCCAAAGTCTCGCCCAATCTCTTCTCCATCTCTGTCGGTTTTGTGCCTGTACTACTGCGTCGTAGAGCTATCAAACCAGACTCCAGATGAGAAGCTGTATACCGCTCTTTACGCCTCATCCTCCTCAATCTTCTACGAGGTGCATGCAGCACGTTTGATACGAGTAAATTTAGCTGGATCTAAGAGCCCTCCATTATTGGAATGATAGCAAGGGATAACACCCGACGGATGAGGAAGGTGAGACTTGTTCGTCTCGCGATACTATTAGTTGGTAATGGCGTTCTTGTTTCTATTGGGTGTGGCGCTACTCCTGGGTAGGTAGGACAAGGCCATCGACCATCGTAGGCCAGAGGAATACTTTACATGGGGTACATGGGGTACATGGGATCTGCGCTGTATAATGTGTATGCATGTCTGACGCAGCCTGCATATTTTGAACCAGCCGGTGTGATTAGGACTTGGAATCTGCATCTGCGGGCTAGGTAAGCTTACCTTACCTTATCCCCACACCTGGCAGCCAGCTACTTCCTACGCTAGCAGGGAATATTTCAGGGTATGTGAAGGGAATGTGATAGGAGAAATCATTTTATTACTCAGTTAAATTTAAGATATATCTTATATAATACTTGTAAACAACGCAGGAGCCAGTAGGGGTGGATTAATAGGGGGGGGCTGCTAGCGTAGCCAGGGGCTGCCAGACGAGGGGATAAGAGTTTCGGTGCCTTTTCTCCTGATACGAGTATAAAAAAAAGTAAGCTAAAACCTTAAAAGAGTAGTTTGCGGTTTTTTCACTTCATACATAAGGTATACTGCGTAAGGTGGCTTAGATTACTCACGCCTCTGTTTTACAGCAATGATAACGTACATCAGCGGCACGGAAGACCTCGCCTGCTTCAAGCCATAGTGATCAACATTTGCCTGACCTAGCGTTCGTAATTGTCACTCGCAAAAAAGCCGGAGTCTCCTACCTCCACAGCACCTATTCCTGATTCTTGGTCAATCGTCCTATATTTTCTCCCTTCTGTAATAGCTTATCACACTCGGAGAGCAGTTTTGTAACCACAACCCAATTCTACCAGCCGATATGGCCGCTCAAGAGAAACTCATCCGCATCACGGCCTTCATCTATCGCAAGCCTGGGATGTCGTCGGAAGAATTCCATCATTATTGGTCTGAAATACACGGCCCCAAGATGGTCGACCTCTCCCTTCGGTACGGCGTGGTTGATTATCGTCAGGTATGTATCATAATGCACTCAGATAAGCCATCAGTTAACACTCTAATGAGTATCACACGACGCCCGAGACAAAAGAACTGCTAAATGTTGCTACAAAGGCAATGGGGAAGGAGTGCATGGCCCACGATGGCACGGCAGAGACGCTGGTTAAAGACCTTGGGCAATATCTGCATATGAACGCAGATCCGGAATATCTAGAGAAGATGGTGCCGGATGAGGAGGCTTTTATGGATAGGTCGAGGCTTGAGTTTACGATTGGATATGAGTATGGGATTATTAGCAATGGAAAGTTCGTTACAGAACATGCAAGGAAATACTGAATATTAACTATATCAATCAATCACGCATTATTAAATGCTCAATGTTTAGTATAGTTACTCTAAAATGTAACAGTTTTGTCTCTTTCGAGGCTCACTACATAATTATTGACTACTGAAGTGCTGTAGAGATATCATTTCGTTTCTGAACCGGTAGATTAGATACTGTGGCTTGCCAAACTATTTTGAAATAAGAACAGATAAAACCGAGTAAGATAGATTACACATTATGCAGTTGCCAAGACGCTAAAACCCCAAGTAGAGAGCCGATAAGTAGATAAATAGCTCCTTTCCCTCTCACACAGTTCCTAGATCTTACGTGCCAAAATCATGGAAGCCTTTCTTGAAGCCCTTCAACATCTCCCGCCAGATCATTTCGTGAAGAGCGAGGCATTTACTAAAACGGTCCACCGCGACGAATATGGGTCCATTAATCCAGTATCACCGGCTTTATCACAGGATGGCAAGGTGATCGTCATCACGGGTGCCAGCCAAGGCATTGGAAAAAGGGTGCTCTAACCAAACTTCAATAACTTCTCCCAAGTATGTGGACTGCGCTTACAAGATAAAATTACTTAGGGTCTAGCAAAGCAATTTGCTCGTGCAAAACCCAGGGCCATAGTTCTCGCCGCTCGCGACGTCGCAAAACTCGCAGAGACAGCTGAGTATATCCGCGCCATCGAGCCCAGCGTCCAATTGCTCTCTGTGGCCACAGATGTGACGAGCGAAGTCTCAGTGAAGACTCTATTTGACAAGGTGGAGGACGCGTTCGGTCATGCCGATGTGCTCGTAAACAACGCGGGCGTGAGCCTTGGCTACACTAAAGTAGATGGCATGGAATTGGACCTGTGGTGGCAGAACTTTGTAAGTGCTCCTTTTTCTAAATTAGCATCTACTATACCAATGGCTGTATTTGAATACTAAGTGCCATCGGTTTGTGTAGGAAGTCAACGTCAAGGGCGTCCTCCTCACCACGAAGTACTTTCTTCGTCTCCTTGGTACCGCACCCGGCACAATCATCAACATATCGTCGTCAGCTGCGTGGAATATCGAGGAAGAGGGGGCAGCATACTGCACCTCCAAATTGGCAACTGTGAAGCTGGGACAGCAGATGGCTGCCCGGCCCAATGTAGTGACTGTTGCTTTGCACCCAGGGATGGTGGAGACAGATATGTCGCCGAGCTTCATGTTGAAATTTCATGAAGACACGCCAGAGCTGCCCGGCGGTATGGCGGTTTGGTTGACTACTGACGGGGCCAGATTTCTGAGTGGTAGGTACGTGAGTGCAAACTGGTCTGTAGACGAACTTGTTGAGCGGAAGGAGGAGATTGTGAACGGAGACCTATTGAAAGTAGCACTGACAGGCAAGGTTGGACGGGACCAGTGGAAATAGTTGAGGTATAAACTCTACAGCAATCGAATGGGTGGAGTCGGATGATAATGATACTCTGCTCTCCTGTGCCTAGTACTCTTAAAGTAGTTCGAAAAATCCCAAGTACCACATTTACTAAGTAGTTTTTAAACATCGTCGAGAATCACGTTAGCAAGCCCCGGTACAGCGTACAGCCGTCTCACAACTACCAAATATAAGTATAAATAACCCTCCACCCCCCTCTGACCCCTCCACATCCTATCCATCTGTTTTGTCTCTCACCTCTCCACCTCTGAGCAAAAATGCCCATCATAACCACCACCTCCCTCCGCCTCCCTGCCCTCTACAGCCTCGAAAATTCCGACAACACTGGCGGCCCCTCAATTCCCTACCTCTGTAATGAGAAATGGCATATCTCAGCTTCCACGCTCCCCATCTGGCGCACCAAGCGCAACTGCACAGTGACTTACACGGCCCTCCCACTCGAGGCGCCTATATCTCGCCTCAATAGCCTCACAGCATACCTCCCCTCCATCCTAGCCCCCGTACCCTCCCCACCGCTCCCTCGCATCGACGACCTTGTGCACTACCAGGAGCAAACCTCTGATGCCGTACAGAGCATCCACGCCATTAACACCATGTGGCCAGACAACCCCGCAGGGTGGAGCTGGGTAGGCGTAGGATGGTTCCTGTCACTGATCCAGTGCGAATGGGAGATTTTTGGGTATGGGAAATTGGAGGGCGGGGGGAACTGGATGGTAATGCATTTTCGAAAGACGTGGTTGAGTCCCGAAGGATTGGATCTGTTTACTACGGGGGAGGAGAAATTAAGTGCTCAGGCGTATGAAGAGATTATGGGACTGGTGAGAAAGTTAGGAAATGGAGAGTTGGAGGCGTTGGTCGGGGAGTTTGAGAGGATGGCGAGGGATTGAGTTTGTGCGACCGATTTGTGAATAGAGAGGAGACGCAACGAATGACTGAGGGGTCATAGCAAGTATCACGAAATCCATTGGATGGACGGTAGTTGCCGGGGATACGATATAAGAGCTCCTATCATTAGTGCAATATTACTGTTAGGGGTATTTAGTATTTGGCTAATGGGAATTGTTGAACTCGCTGGCATAGCCATTTTGCAACTCAATTTTTGCTTCCATACTCGACAACATAGAAAGCATCTTAGCGCATGGTAGGCGTATAGAGGTTACTCATCATCTCTTGCAGAAGCCTACAAGGCCGCTAGTATTATATCGGCTGACCTCTTTATGTCATGGATCTACGAAACCGATACGTCGACTTACAGCCTTCGATAACTAAATCCATGGGCGGTCTACAGATTTTCAGCTACCATCCTTCGTAAGGTACCTTAGGCTAGAGCTGCTGCTACAAGGCGCATGCAGCAGGGCTCTCTTCCATGCATACCCCGTTCCTTCAAACCCCTCCCCTCCTCGTTCCTGTTACCTCTGTATATTTATTTTGTGAATTTTCCTTCAACATAGAATCTCCAAGAACCTCAACTTATCAACTTTCCGAAAACTCACACTCAAACGCACGCTTCACCTCAACTTCATAGGGATGTCTTGGACAGAGACCTCCGCCGGACATTGGGAACGGCCCCTCGGTTTGATCGAGAAAGTCCCCCTCGTCGTCAGCGCTCAGAGCTTGAGACCCGGTCGTGAGAATTGGTACGAGACGATGATCGCCAAAGTGAGCTTCGATCCCATCCTAGGCTCTCCAGCAGATGCTCTTCGAAATGGCTGGAAACAAATGCGCTACGCATTCCCCGAGATCGCGGCTTCGGTGCGAAATGGGATATACGTTTACGAAGTGCCCACGACGCCTGCGGCTGTTGAAGATTGGCTGGCTGAAACATGTGTGGTGGTTCAAGAGAATTTGACCGCGGATGAGTTCATGCAGAGCTTACCACCTAGCAAGTTTATGACGCTTCATTTTCTTCCCCATACTTCGGAGGTTATTATGAGCTCCTCGCACTTCCGGCTCGATGGCCCTGCCTTCATGGTTCTTTTCAATTACCTCACACATGCTATGGCTAAACCCGAGCCCTACGAGTTCGGTACAGAGCCCGCAAATCTTGCCCCTAGTTTCGAGGTCTCTGCCTCTGTGCCTCAAGCACCATACACGCCTGAGATCGAGGCAGCCGCCATGTCGCGACTTATGGCTTTCTCTACTCAACTGCCTCCAGTTACCTTGAAACCAACCTACAGTCTTCACTCACCAGCTGGCGTGTCTGGGCGTGCAACTTTAACCATCTCCACATCGGAGTCGAAAGCCATCATCACGGCCTGCAAGGCTCATGCTCTGACTGTCAACATGGCGCAGCATTCAGCTCTCGTCAGTGCCGTGGTAGCGCTTGAAGGTCCCACACCCGCAGGAGTTGTGGAGCGTGCATTTTCTGCTATCGCTGCATTTGGCTTGCGCAAATACTGCATAGCCACTACTACCAGGACGGTGCCTTCTGGTGGTGCTGCGGCTACCATCGCGTCATCTGGGAACGTCTATCCCATCATGGTCACAGATGGCTCCTTCCATTCGCATGCCACGCAGCTGAAAGAGATTTATGCACAGGGCTTTGATGCTTTCTTGCCTTCAATGAGCTGTGCCCAAGAGAAGATGCTGCCCATGTTGGAGAAGCCGATGCCAGCCGAAATGCCCGGGCAAACTGACCCCGTGATGAGCGGCTTGGGTGTGGTTGATAGAATGATCGCATCGGAAGTGAGAAATGAGACAGGAGAAATTGTACTGAGAGTCGAGGATTTCTGGGTTGGTATGGAAATACTTCAAAGGGCACCGCAGCTTTTCTTCTGGACTTGGAAGGGGCAGCTCGTATGGACAGTTTGCTATAACGAGGCATATTGGAGTAAAGCCGATATGAATATTCTCCTAGAAGAGACAAAGCGGCAGTTGATTCAGGGGCTAGGCATTGTGGACTTGGGCGAAGACAAGAAACCAACGACGTAACACTGATATGGCGACGATAGTACAGCGGATGCCTTTTGCCAAATGTTTAAATCTTTGCCACGATTGAATCAGGTATCTTGTGTAATGGTATAGGAGGTGTCAAAGTTAGACAGCCACGCTTGTGAAACCGACAGCATACTTCATAATCGTTGGCTGAGTATTCAAGCACAAAAAAAAATTAACAACTTTCTATACCTCGCCCTATTATTTTAATCTCATAATCGTTAAATATCGCTCAAATTTGTCTCCAAAATTAGTTTGGGAATTTCATGAATAGTTGTTACAACCGAAATCTTACCTAATACAAAGCTCATACACTGAACTTCCTCACGAATCAAAATGTAATCTTCATCACTGTTCAGGGTAGGCCGTAGTCAGGTGTGAGATAGGTGTAGCCTTATCTCAATACCCATTGACAGGGTCCCGAGTGCTAGTAGTTGTCGGTGGGTGCTAGACGGAAGGGCATCTGATTTACAGTCGCTGTTGGAGCAGCTATCGTTGCTCTTGCAGCAGCTATCGTTGCTGTCGATGTAGTAGTGGCAGTTGTAGATTCCAGGCACCTACCAAACCATCCGTATGACTGGCACGTGGTGATTGTCAGAGTCGCTGTCGAAGTTGTAGCCGAAACTGGAATCGTTGTTGTTGATGTAGTAGTAGTGGTGGTAGTTGTAGATTCTAGGCACCCACCAAACCATCCGTATGACTTGCACGTGGTGATTGTTAGAGTCATTGTCGAAGTTTTCGTCGAAACTGGAATCGTTGTTGTTTCATCTAGACACCCCCACCAACCAGGCGTTTTGCAAGTCGCTGTGCGTGTACGAGTCTTGGATGATGACGACTGTGACGAAGTGGTGCTCGACATGGTTGATGTTTTTGTGATGTTGCTATAATCCTTTTTCCACTCAAAGCAATCAACACATTCTTCGTCGGGTTCACAAGTAGGGACCTGGTCATATACTCGGTATACATCCTTGATAGACGGTCTGATTCCATGGGTGGCGAGGGAAACTCTCCAGTTGTGGTCCTTTACAACATCGTATACGCACCTCAAGCCGGTGTGGCACTGAGACTGTAGCGCATAGCCTGCCATTGTACATAGTGACGACGCTCCATTACACGTTCCCATATACACCGGATCTGCAGTGTGACCAAAATGCCAGAGGCCACCATTTTGTCGAGCTTCGGCAGCCGAGTCATATGGAGGTGGCGAAGGGATTCCGAGGCGAGAAGCTGCTAAGGCCTGTGGAACAGACTCAAATGTGACGACGGGTATTCCAAAGGTTAGTCCAAGCAAGCTTGTCACAAGCCCACCAAGGGAGTGGCCTGTAAGCCAGACATTGGCATTGGGATATTGTTCTGTGATGTTGCCGTACAGATCTATGGATGCTTGATAGTAGCGACTCCGCTTATGCATTTCCTCGCAGATGCAGTTCTCGTTGCAGGTGTAGGCTGACGTCTGACAATCACAAGATTTCTTAGCCATCAGAGTTCCCTGGCCACAGCAACAACCAGCGAATAGGTTGTCGTTTATCTTGTCATTTGTCGTCGTCTCAGCCCCGTCAAAGATAGCTGATGAGGTTCCTTTTATGGAGAGGACGATCGTCGAGTTTGTTTCGTCTGCAAAGACGTGGCCCCGAAGTCCATCCTTGTCCCATCCCACGTCGGAAGATAAGTTGAAAGGTTTAGAGACATCTTCCCAGTCCGGGTCTGTGTTATCATGGTTGTATGCATTGGCAGCCATCAGCGCTAAATTCACGACAGTCTCCTTGTCTGTAATATCAGGAGACGGTACCTCACTCAATTTCCATGCGGAGTCGGGCAGCGGGGCTGCCGCTCCACGAGACTGGGCGCTGTTGAGCAGCGCCTTGATATTTTCAACTCGGCGGTCTCGGAGTTTCCATATCTTGAGTAGTGATGAGGAGGTCATATATAACCCAACACCTGCATCACGCAGATCAACGCCCTGAAGACTTGCATTCTTCACTTTGGCAGGGTTCAACTCAAGTCGACGATGGAGATCCGGAAACAAAGTGGCTCCACGGTGATATATATGGCGCAACGTGAAGCTCTGAGTTTTTAAAAAAGGCCGAGATTTGTCCCCGTGTGCTTCAGCATGGATGAGCGGAGGTGGAAATGGCAGTAAAGGCACCCTCCAGCCGCTATCCAAGTTCGCCACAGCGACAGACATAAAAGATGATAAGACGAGAAATAGGAAGTAGGATAGAAGCCATATATCGCCAGCAATCAGGCAATGTTTTGGTTTTGAGGCAGATGTCGCAGGTACACTGACCATCTTGCAAGGGCCTGGACTTGGACGCAATACCAGCTGCTCTTTCGTACCCGTCGGTTTCTTTCTTAATTTAGGTGCAGGATTGTAATGCCCGGGAGATAGCGAGAAAGTATGATGTTGAAGATCTATTTTACTTAATAAGAAGTCGTACTTTATTGAGTAGCTTCTCACCTAGTCCCTCTTGTTCAAGTTCATCGTTAGGCAGATGATGTTCTGTACACAATTAGCTGATTCTCTAAGTAATCTAGATCTAGTGACATACTGCCTGGTTTATAGGCATGATATCGTTTTCCGTCCATTTTAAAACAATGGTATATGCGAGCTCGGACAAGGTTTGTTACGCTCCTATTATAATGGTGGGTTCCTTTGATATAAGTCGTGAACGTGAGGTCAAAGTTACCCGGCCATCGAGGCTGTAATGGCAGGGCCGTTGTTAGAGGCCTTTGGTGTTGTTAGTGATGAACATATCATTAGCTGGAATCGAGCGCACTCGCGAATGAATTTCCAAATCCAATGCTGCATCCTGTGAAGCCATGGTGCTGGGGAGGCTGGGTTGTGTGGCACCCGAAATTCAAGCAACATGTCCCAGACACTTACTTGGACGATCTCTGGCGGTGTGCGCACAATCGTAGGATCTTCGAAGGCCGCGATGGTCTGATGGATAGATGGCTATTGTATCATAGTATGCCTCGATCCCTGGTAGGAATGCTAGACCGTTCACTTTAGTCGACTGGAGTAGCGGGCACGGTAGACAGACACAGTTGATAGATTCGTAAGGTAGACGAGGTTCGCCGGTTGCGTGATGTGCGGCGTAAATGGTATTCTCACCCACTGAGATCGGCATTCTCACCACCCTGCGTATCAGGCACTGGCATGCAGTCTACCACACCAAAACTCCCACTAAACGCGCTGATCCCACCATATTCAGCTCTATTCCGTCGCAACCTCCCTAATTAGAAACCAGAGTATTTATACCGGAGCAAGCTCTAAACTAGAACTCTCTAGTAAGTCTACTAATAGTAGGAATTCAAAAAGAAACAAGTAGTATATAGTATATATCTAGTATTCTACTAATACCAAAATATAATTTATATTTCCTTACTTATTTTTTAGTACAAAAAGAATTAAGACCAAAGTAAAGTACTTAATATCTTTATAAGTAAATATCTACGAAATAATCTTATATATTGTGGTCGGGCGACTCCAACCACTGATTATTACTTTTGTTGTTACAGGAATAGAATCGGCACGTGAATAAGTGGGACCAATTGGACATAAGCTCCGTCTCTCATTCTCTCCTTCACGCACAATCATCACGGAGATCACGGCTTTGCAGCTTGACAGCTTGACAGCTTGACAGCTTGGCAGCTTGACAGCTGGACCAGGGAGAAGCTGGCCAGTTAGCTGATTACCATTACAACCCAATTTGCCATATTTATGTTAATAGATGGATCTCGTGACTATTAGTCGTCCTGAATGCCACTGCCTGACTGCGCTCTGAATATTCACCTGCTCTAAGAAGACCAAACCAGCGGTTTAGCATTCTCCAGCTACGTGGCTGCCTGGCGATAATCCTGCAACGCGACCATCGCCGAATTCAATTGATCCCCATACCATGACGGTGATCACTTGGTTGTTTTATCGATGATTCCTCCTGATACTCCCAGGCCCAAGGGTCCTCCTAGCTCCTCGATCGTCCACGAAAAGAAACGGGCCGGAAAGCAGCCGCTGTTACACACGTAGTAACGCCCTAAGTTTCAGGGATGTGCAGTCTCGACGGGTCTAAACACATCTTGTTTGGCAGATCGTTCGATCATCTCCCAGCTCAAGAGCGACCGAGAATAGTGAGAAGGCGCTTTTCTCAACGCAGCAGAAAGGGTCGTGCTCAGGGCCGCCGCTCTTACAACCAACGCTTATCTCCAATGTTGCAAACGGGCTCCGTGCCAATAACAGGAGGCTTACAGCACTAAGGGCCACTAGCCAGCTGGGCGGAACTCGTCCCAAATTACCGGAACAAGGGTGAAAGGGACTAACAGTGAGAGGACGAGATCCAGAATGTTCTACCTTTGTGATGTATGTCTTAGGTGCCCGAGTAGCCAGCATGTGATGGAGAGTGTTTATAGCCCGGGGAACTTGGGGGAGAAAGAAGTGTCACGAAGAGAGAGAGACATTTCCCTCAGGCCCTAATAACTTATCTTGTCATACAGTACCTTATTATGCTTCTGGCTACGTACTGTATGTATAGTACTATATGTATGTGCTCCGCAAGGTGTTCATGCTCATGTTCATGTTCCTGTTCCTGTTCATGTCCCAAGAAGCCATAGTAAGACGGGGGTGTTATATGGCCCGAGCAGCCGGGTGCGAACGTGTCCATGTACCTCCGTACCTCCGCTGGGGGCGCTTTAATGAGAAGGCGCAGTCCCCGCGTTGGGTTAGCGCGTGGCCGGCTGGATGCAATACGTAAGCCTACGGGCCAGCCAGCGCCGTCCAGTGGTGATTTGATCTTTAATCAGATTGCTCCACAGTCCTTAGGTAACAAACACCTCCAGGGTCCCCCCATCCCGCCAACGTCAAATTGAACATCTTCAACGTCGTACTGCGTACTGCGTACAGTGATAATAGACAACATATCACCGCTGCTCGTCTGGACGAAAGGCACAAGCACATCACGGTCCGGGTCAAGCGACGGCTCACCACTACCTAGCCATCCTCCGCTCCCGCTCCCGCCCCCGATCTAAGCCCGCCTATACGAAGTCCTCTTGATGTTTCCTATCTGTCGTACCCGGCCTAATGGTAGACGAGTCGAAGCCGGTTGCCGGTCTCCGGCGAACACATAGGAAATCCCGCACCGGCTGCAAGACATGTAGAAGCCGTCATATTCGCTGTGATGAGAAGACTCCGATCTGGTGAGTGCTCACATTCCAGCCGCTTGACGGGAACTTGGGGAAGAAACCAGAACCGCCATTCTGATAGCATATAGCCGAAATTGTGAACGGAGCGGGCGGCAATGTCAATACGGTGAGTATTTTTGAGCTTTTTTTCCACATTTATATCATTTGACAGATAGCAACTGACTACTAGTAGTCACTAAACACAAAGTTGAGAGTGACCAACAATCCCCCCCGCCCGGTCTATTGTGGCTGTACCCCCAATTAGAAACTGCCAGTTTCCAACCTCAGGAGCTATATCTCCTTCAATACCTCGCCACATTTAGCTCCGAGGTCCATTTTGTAGACAACAAGTATTCGTCATGGATGCGCAGAATTCCATTGTGAGTTGATTAACCATCCGTATACCCCCAGTCGATATATATGCTCATTCCTCGTCAAGCTTAATGGCCGAACATCGGTTTCTACTCGACTGTGTACTGGGACTTTCTGCTGGCCACCATGCAGTATCCAAGCCCCAGCCCGACTCGTCAGCTTTTGATCGGCTTGCGCTGTATTACCGCGGACGAGGCTTGAGGGGGCTCCAGGCTGCCCTCAACAACTTTTCCGAGAGTAATGCTGATGGTGCACTTGCCGCATCGATTATTTTAACCTGGTATCTATGTGGCTGGTAAGTTATAATCCTCTCTGTATAACATCAATAGTATACTAAGGAATTTGAAAGGCAGGAATGGGCATCCTTAACCCATGGAATCGGCGTTATCCAGACAACCATGCGCCCCTATAAAGAAAACTCCTGTTTTGTCAATCTTATCGAAGCACGGGATGTCGTCCCTGAAGCACTTCAGCCATTGCCACCAACGTCTACCGAGTCAGAAGAACCAGCAGAAGAACACGTGGATGCTCTGAAAGAATTGATTGTCCGATTACACGATGTCAAGCGTTACATCGAGGGGCATGAAGAGGAGCAGAAGCTGTTGGACCAAATTATAGGCTTTGCAATGATGATCGAGAGCAAACTCCCAATGACGAGTACCCACGAACAATTTGAGTCTTCAAAGATGTTACGCATGGCTATCATCACTGTCCCGCCCAAACTACTTCAGCGTGTCCGCAGGGATCCCGCAACCATTATAGTAGCAGCATACTTTTTTGCGGCAACCCTTGCCGTGCAGCCTCTCTTCCCTGCTATGGGCGCCATGGTACGTAATTCCCCATGATATCTTGCGAGACCACGTTGCTGACCTCTGGTAGTTCTTCGGTTTTATGGCCCTCCAGCCTCTCAGCGAACTTGCAAGGTACCTAGAGGAACAGCGTTGCGACCCGGTTGCAGCAACTAAGTACGACTGGGACGAGGCCGCATCTTTGATGACTTATGCAATGGAAACTGTGCGGCGGTTCCGAGCACGACTGGGGTGGCCAACTCCTCCTCAGCCGCTTGTGCCTGCCATCTATGGCTAAGCAAACTTAAATGAGCATGATAGTCTGCGTATCGATTTTTCAAATTGGAGACTCGTTGCTCACAGCAAAACTGCTTGATTTGGCCCCGGAGCAAAACGAGACACCCGTCGTCGAAATACACCGCTCCACCGATTAGAAAATGTTTTAGCAAGGTTTCTATGTCCAAGCTACCGTTCTTGGTCCTATTCCCGGCACGACTGCTCCTCCAGATCGAGTCAAGGAAAGGGCTTTGGGTACATCCGTACGGTGATGTCTTGGAGCTGGAAATATTGAATTAATGACAGATAGAGGTCGAAATAGAGTGGGATTCGGAGGTTAAAAATAATATACACTGGTGTATCGAAGACCGAGTGCGAAGCCATATGAGGTGGCGGGAGAGGGTAAAAGGAGGATTAGGGCTGATGATACTGGAGCAATAGCAGGGAGATATGAAGGGACTTGGGCGGGTCGCGATAAAAGTTCTCCACTCAGTTTATTGGCCGCTTGTGAGGCGGCCCCATCCTTGGGTGATCATAAAGGGTTTACGAATCTCGGCGTAATGAGGCGCAGAATATCAAATTTTGTTAAGCACTCATGTGGAATATATATCATTCCTATTCCAATCTCAGCTGGAGTACTGAGACGAGGGACGGAAACCGACTATTGCAGAAAATTAGGCAGGATTTAATGACGAGGTCGCAAGGCTTGGGAGGAAGATTGCTCAGAGACATCTTGTAAGATTAAAACAGAACAGGTTAGGCCATGCATGTACTATCACACAGCATCTGAGCACTTCACAATCTTTGACGCTAAGCTATAAATGGCCAGTAAGAAAACAAGGCTGCCTCCATACGGTGGCTGTACAGTCTACCAACCTTTCCTGTCTTTCATACGAGCTGGTTTCTAAGATTATATCTTGCTTCCGCCTCAGCCCATGGCCGAGTTCAGGGCAAGTGCTCCTAATGAGCAGACCATCGAGCCAAAACATGTGCAAGTTCTGCGCGGATCGAACCCGGCCGACCACGTCGGCGATGCGAGCCTCCTGGATATCGTCCTTGATGGCCAGTTCAAAGTCGAGAAACTCCTTCGGCACGACAACCATGCCGTCGTATACTCCGCTACTTCGTTTGCTTCACCCACGATAAGCTTTGAAGCCCGTGCTTATGTTCTGGAAGGCATCCCGCAGAAGTTGCGACAGTATCGACTAAGAAATATGAAGCGGCTGTCGAGCAGGGTTGTATTGGAGACTCGGTGGCAGGGGATGGCAGTCATCATGTACAGAACCAACGCTGAGGGTGGCGAGGATCCGGGAGACAACAATCTTACGGAATCATTACCACTCCGTGGGCAGCCAGATCTGGTTATTGGGGGCACTAAGGCTCAGCAGAAGACAGATACACGACATCGACAGCTTGAGAGACGTAGGTCAGGGCGGCGAAAGCACCGATATCTGAAGGCAGCAGAAACCACCTCTACAACGAGTGACACTGAAGTGGAGGGGGACGAGGAAGAATTCTTCAATGATTTATCGTCCTGGGCATATACCAATTGGCTAGATTTGCGTTGGCAACGTCCACTAACATCGAGAACTATCGTTGAAACATGCCTCGAGAAGCAAGATAAGTTCGAGGGCGTCGATCAATTGGAGGCTTTCATGGACACCAAGCATAGCGAACTGATCTACCTGTGCCGCCAGCAGGAGAAACTGCTAGCCATAGTTCGGGAGTGGCACGATGAATCGCTTAAGGTAGATAAGGAGCAGAGTCGACTTCCTAGAGCTTTAATAGAGTGGCAAGATATGCAACTAGGCCGTATGGTAAGAGCACGTGTCCGGATGAGACTTATAATGGGCCTTCACGAAATTCTGGCAAGAGCAGTCGTTGACTATAAAATAACTCGTTAGCATCTCAAAACGAGACTATTGCTAGTCCAGCAAAAGAAGGACGATATGGATAAAATCCAAGTCTTGTATGTGAAGCGTGGGGAATTGGAAAGAAAGGTGGCTACCTACAAGATGTGTTCCCATGGCGTTGCCACCAGGCTCGGTTCCATATGTCCAATCTGTGTCACGACTTCTTGTAGCAGGAGAAGAGTTGAAGAGTTTCAATGCAACGTTTCTTGGAAGTTCAGCACGTGCATTCGAGTCTCTGAGGGAGGAGTACGAGAGTTTGCTATCGGCTCCAGTGAAGGAGTCTGAATTTGCGACCCGAACACTAACTACGTGAGGTTTTCGTGCGCTACGAATTATCTTAAAGGATTTTATTAAAGGAAATATGAAATTAAAATCAAAGGTCTAAGACTATGCTCCTCTGATACGTTCTGTTGTACACTCTCACAAACCCGAAACCTATCCACACCTCCACGGGCCAGCTTGCTCTCTAGCCTCATCTTCCTCTCGGAACATTTCGGCCCTTTGGGTCTTAAAGATGCCAAAACGTCGTTTTATATCTCGGACCTTAAGCAAGTTAACTCTATCGTTAGCTTCTTCTTCGGCAAGTTCAGCCTCGAATTGCTCCATAGTAGGTATTGAATATTTCTCCAACGCTTCTCTACGTGCTATAATTTTGGTAGTAACTTTTGGGTTCAACTTATAGCCTACCGGATAATTGTTAAATAGCCCGGCAATCATCCAGACGCAAACGATACTAACCAGGGCCATAATGATGTTGAAAATCATCTTGTAGTACTGTATAATATCTGACGATATAGTACTAATACGATTACGCGAGTTAGTTATTGTAACTGTGGTTGTAGAGTAGCGAGGGTAGTAGTAATGGGGATGAGGTTAGTGATAGTAAGGAGACGGTAAGTATTTATAGGTAAAGAAAATACAGACCGTAAATAAGGTTAAACAATCAGTGTTTGAAACGGAAGAAGGCTTTGTCTACTTTGTCTATATTTATAGGTAAAGAAAATAAAAACCCTAAATAAGGTTAAACAAACAGTGCAACACGAAAAATAAGTAGAAGGAAATATATTAACAGCAAGGAAGTGTTCTACCCCAATGATAAAAGAGACTTTCCAGTCAAGTGGACCCGAGTGGACAAATAAAATGCCCCAGGTATTAAGGAGTTGGTGATGTGCGCGGCGTGGCTTGGCCATATCAGCGTTCGCGAAGGCAAGTTCCACATCCCAAATCAGACGAGATCAACCAACAAGGTAAAAAAAAATGAATGTCTTTTCGTCTTGCACACTTGTAGATTAGGGCCAATAGATGATCCAAACGTCATTGACCACCAACATACGACAACGGGTCACAAAAACGACATTTAGTCTAATCAGCACTCTGACTACTACTCCTGTGCAAGAACTCCTTCAAAGTTAGTCCTTTCCTGAGATGGTCCAAATCTCTCCTTTGGTGGTCTCCCTCTCTTGCCTCGACCGCAGGCTTCAAAGTGAGCCTCGAAGTCGCGGCGGTTGTGATTAGCGGGGCTGCCGCACGAACAAACAAATGGTTTATCTCCACTACATATGAAGTTCCTGAAGTGGCTCCTGAACTTGTCTTTTCGGGCGAACGACCTCCCGCAGCAGCAGCGAAACTCGGCTGTCTGGCGGTTCTGGTGTGCCTTAGAACACTTGAGATGTAGCCGCAGAGTTCTCTTGTCTTTAAGATTTTGGCAACTGTTGCGGCCGCAGGTGTTCGGCTTGTCTGCATGCTGTTTTGTCAAATGATCCCTGGTTGTTGAGAATTAGTGAGTTTTGTGCGAGAGAGTACCATTAAAGATGGGCCTACATGAGTAGCTCGACACTGCTAAACAATTCTTGACAGAGTTCGCAGGTTTCGTGGGCTTCGAGAGCATTGGGGGCACGCGATATGTCGGAAAATGTTGATGAGATGTTTGGGATCATAGCTGGAGAAAACGAATGTGGAGGTGAAACAAAGCCCTCTCCAGAATCAGGTATAACATCGTGGTCGGAACCATGGTCGGAAATGGCTGACGTCTGCAAATAACTAACTTGCTCGCTCAAACTATGGTGCACTTTGGATGTCCCATCCTGATTGCCATTGAAGGCCGAATTCCGGTAGTAACGTATTTCAAGAAGCCATTTCAGGTCTTCAAGGAAATCACACGCGGGTAATTCAACGTATAAGTGCTTATTCTCTAGAGTGGGAGGCGAAATTTTGGCAATCTACACTCAGAGGCGATTAGCCATTCTGTATTTCTCGCAGAGATTAGAAGCAAGAGAAGATTCCAGCTCTCGCAGCCTGGTTTTTGAGCGGCGGCCGTTAGAAGGTACCTCAGGATCGCAGCTGAAAACGCAAATTACCTACCGGCGGATAATCCAAGAAAATGCAGTAACCTTTTCTCCAGACTCCGGGCTGACGTTGAGTCGCCCCAGAACGGTGTCTGGGTCGAGTCCGCAATGCAGAGGAAGAGATGAATGTCGCCCACGCTGGTATCTTATAATAAACGACCCCCTGTGGAATAGTCGTCATATCACTGGGCAGAGAGTGTGCGCTGGATGTTACACAGTAGCGCTGCTGGGGCCATTTATTTGATTCGCAGTTAACCCCAAAGTGGCGTTTCAACTGCAGGACAGAGATGGGATCGGTGTGCGGAGGTACGAAGCAGCTCATCATATAATCGATAGGCCTAGCAAATTGGTCCTCTGTTGAAGTGGCATCGCCTTCGCGACTGGTGCCTGGCTGGTGATCCTGATGCATTCCCGATGCATCTCGGGACCGCAAGGCATTTCAGGCTCGGACCATGATGCCAGACTAATTTGAGGGCCATTCTCCTCAGTGGCCGATATTGAGAATTCCGCGCACAGCCCGTAGATAGGATGAACAATGCCTTCTACGACGGCTTGACCGCATCCAATATGAAAAATGGCCCCAAATGCAACTTGAGGCAGGACCGCTAACTACCTCACACAACAAGCCCTAAATCTCAGAATGGCAGAGAGTCCAAGCCTGCTGTCCCCAGCTTTGGCAGGTTGGGTTTACCATTACTTTGAGACGAAAAAGGGGGATCAATCCCAAAAGAGCCCGTCCAAATCAATATATAATCTCAGTATTCCCCCCAAGTGATTCGTTTTTAGAGGTTACAATATACACCGAAGCATACTTGAAACAGCTTTCCGGATCAATTCCATTCACGTGTTTACTTTCCATTCACAGTAATCATGGCTTCCTCTACGTCCCGAGCAGACCAGCCCAGGACAACTAAGTCTCCCAATCAGACCAACGACTCAGCAGGAGTTCCCAAGCGCGGAACGAACGAGTCGTTTTCAAAAGAGAACAAGCCCACTTCTGGGGGTCTACAAAAGCAAAACAAAAGTATGGATACCAATGTTGTTCTCCTAGTTCTTCTCCAGCCACTGTTGACTAACAAGGCAACTATAAAAAAGGTATCACAGTTGGGGCGGACCCGATGGCTCGATGGGTTTCGCAACAGAAGGAGGATGAGCCATGGAGCATCCTCCACATATATGTAAACAATGATACGAACCAATTTATTGGGATCGGGAAAGAGGGTGCGGAGGACGACTCAAGTTTAGCTGCTGAGCGGGGTTCTTTTCAGAGCGAAGAGATCTCTAGAAGGTAGAAGCAAGCCTGTGCCTGCAAGGGTTGGCACCGTTCTATGCTATATAAATGGGGAGAACTGAAATGAATGGTTTTGAGACCCGCACTTGTTTGGTTGTATTGTTTGGTTGTATTGTTTGGTTGTATTGTTTGATCTTCATAAAACTCCGAAAATCCAATATACGTCTCCGAAGACCGCATTGTCAAAGCCGAGAATGAACGTCGCAAAATAAATATTGGACCTGTCAACATATTAAAGGCCACTGACGAGGCGCCCAAGATCGCAAGAGGCTCTAAAATACAAGAACAACGAGCAAATGACTGTAGAAATGAAATGAATAAGCCCTGATATATGAAAGCGCAAAAAGAAGATGCAAGTATACGGCTCAACGAGTGATGGAGCGCGACAATTAATTAATTTTGCTGGTGTGTGGGGTGAATATACGCCACCCGAACGCCACGCCATGGCCCAGCGATAGCAATCACGATTTGTAGCGGGATGAGGACAATGTGCTCGACTCGAGAAGCTATCGGTATAAAGGAGGGAAGAAAGAAGCATTAGGAAAACAAACGACTTTGTTCAGAACGGCTAGACTTTTAGCTTTAATTGAATAGAAACAACAATGACGTGCCAATTGGGGAAAACAGAGAAATGTCTCGCGTGGACGCTTGGCATATGGAAGGTTAAGAGAGGACCCCGCAACCGGCGGTGTTTTATCAGCGGAATAGAAACAACTCTATAAAGAAAATGAACATACAATATGAGAAAGGAGTGGTTCTTCCAGGCCCGTGTTAATTCTTAGCTTGCTTCCTTTGAAATCAAACGCATTTAGAGCGATAAAGACTCAACAAATACTTTCCCCGAGACCAAACAAAGCCTATCATATCGCGTCCATCACCGAATTTCCCACTCAAACGCACATCGGGCAAACGGGGTCTGTGCAAACAACGCGTCTGCCCAATGTAACAACGAGAATATGAAGACAAATCGGCGACGGTGAGTCGGGATGTGCTCCCGTTCGCTACTTGCATGTATCTCCCTCGATAATTGGTGCCAGAAAAACTCAATTCATGCATCCTGAGTCCGATGTAACCCAATGTTTGGTTTATTACCTGTACGAAGTCGCGCGCACCAATTGATGTCTTATATTACCTGACGTAGGCCGATGATGATGGAGTTGTGTGCTTTGTTCCTAGCGTCCCACTCTCGCCAAACCTTAATCCCCTCCCCTCACCGTGCTTTGTAGCTCAGCCTCGTGCTTTGTGGTAAAAACCCTTCTTTACGCATGTTATACCATGTGCTATATGTTTTTATGATATATCACTATCTGTCAAAGCTGCCCGAGAAACAACAAGTACCACTCGAATATTTAGCTTGAGCTCAACTCCGGTAGTTGAGCTGAGAGTCGGCTTTATTAATTGTTTTCTTTTTCGGGCACTAGACTAGATCAGCCCCCACAGATACGCTGCAACAACAATTGCAATTTTACATCTCGTCTCTTCTCTTCTTCCCCTGAGCTCTTCACGCCATTGTACCAGTACTATACGTACTGTATGGTACTATTGTTATTGCTCGGGAACCAAAAGCCAAAGTGCCGTATACGCCCCCCAACTGCAGCAACAATGGCAATGTCTGCGAACGCAGCCCGAGCTCTGGAGCAGGTCAAGATGGTAGGTGCTTCGAGATTGACCCCTCTGTCTCACAAACACATTCCACGCCCAACACTTACTTACTTACCTCTTCGTTGGCAGGGCCTATATATGCTCTACGGAGCTGCCTATTTTACAGAAGACGAATGGATCAAGATCGACGGGCTGATCCACAAAGGCAAATATGTCTTCACACAAGGACCGCCAGCAAACTTCCTCGAAGACGAATTGATGAGCTTCGACCATGCCGTAGAGCCTGAACCCTCCGTAAAAATATCCGACTCGTTTGAATTCATCGACAAACATAATACAAAAGTGTCGGAGGAGGCATTATCCTCTACCAGCTCCAAATCCACCGATTCCCCATCCTCGGCCGAAACGCCCAATGAACCCTCCCCAGATGCATCTTCACCTAAAGAAGCGCCCCTGGCGCCCCCACAGCCAGAAGAAGATATTCCGTTCAACCTATCCTCCGACATGACAAAACCGCCCGTCGAGGAACGAGTTGAAGAACGAGTTGAAGAACCAGTTGAAGAACCAATTGAAGAACCCGTTGTCGAATCCGCTGTCGAATCCGCTGTCGAACCCGTTGCAGAACCGGTCAGACCTGCACCAGTGAGCAGACCAAGTAACGGTGGTTTCGCTCTCGGATATACGCAGGCACACGTCGACGAAATCAAGGCCTTCAATGCTTCATTGACCAAAGCAGGCAGCAAATCTCGCCCCAAGTACACAAAGGAATCATACACTTCACCGGAGCGGTCTGAGGACGGCGAATACCCATCCGAAGACAACCCATGGCCAGCAGAAAACACAGCTGAAGAACAAGATTACCCATCTTCAGTCCAGACGGAGGATGATCATCGCATCCAGACTTGGGCTTCGGGCGTGGAGTCCCAGGGATCTCAGCCTGGGAGAACCACAGCCCGAAACAACAGCGCTGGGTCACGCCAAACACTCGCAGAGCCAGTGATAGCTCTGGTAACCCAATTCCAGGAGACACATGGACGACTCCCTAAAGTCCCAAATGATATATACCAGCCAAACAATGCCCAGTTCCGGACCTTAGCTCGACGCCCCGAATCTCGCGCATCTAACAGAACCAGCAAGACCATCAAATCTATCACTAAATCCATCGCCAAAGCCACTACTTTTGAAAACGTTTTCCCCCCTCCTGCACTAAACGTTGCCAGTGGCACCGTCCTCGTTGCTCAGAAGAATGACGACAGCTCATCACAGCTCCGTATCCAGATCCGCGCTGGCGATCATATCAAGGTGGTCAAGCACGTCTCTGGCATCCTCCATTACGGAACAAATCTGCGTACCAATGCTTCGGGCCAATTCCCACACACGATCTTTCAAAAGTCTGCCAAAGCACAAGAAGCCCCGAACCAACAAAATCTGGTTGAGGCAGCCAGGCGGCTACGAGGCCCGAGTGTGAGCACGACCGCTTCCAAAGATTTGGATAGCGTTGAGCGCATCAATGCTTCGGAGTGGGATGAGGTTCCCGCGAGGCGAAAAGTAGCTACTCCCGCCCCTACGCGTCCGTCCAAGGGTGGACTGGCAAATTCCAGATTTGCAGCGTTGGTCGAGAGCGAGGAGTCGAAGCAGGACTTCGTCCATGGCATGACACGTGAGCAGGTGGACAAGATTGTTGATGCAAAGGTAAAGTTCCTTGCTACAGTCGGTGAGATATTAGTTAACCCATATTGCAATAGCTCCAACAAATTCTCAACACACAGAAAGGCGGTATCACCGCCAAGACTAAATCGTCACTCCAGACCTCAGATGATGCCCTCAAATCAGTCACTCCCAAATCAGCAACATGCTGGTAAGTCCCTTCTCCTTTCATGTCCGGAATTTCCTTGACCGAAATCTGTTCCATAACATTATTTTCATTCAGGTTCTGGGCAACGCCCAACAAAGGCTGCCGCTTCACGGCAGATGAATGCAGAGACTTGCACGAGATTCTGCCAGGAAGTATCGCGGATTCGAACCCCGCTAACTTTCGTAGCGGTAAACCAACCTGGGGCGCCGCTGGTGACTACGTCCCTCCCACCCCTCCTACAGGACCCTCCGCAGACAAGTCGAAATATACGTGCCATTTCTGGGCCAATGGAGGAAATTGCACCTATCCTGCTGACAAGTGCAAGTATCTGCATGCGTGGAGCACCGCGGGCGTGGCGGGGAGACCGGGGAGGTCATTTGGCGGTAAGGTCATTGACTGGAATCGGAGTGCTCGTGCTGAGAAAGCGGATGCTATTGATGGCTGGGGATCGAGTGAAGGGTGGGGTGCTGATACATCTGGGGGCTGGGGTGCCAGTCCCACTACCGGAGAAGCAGCTGACGATGAATTTGTGCTGGAGGAGGTGAACGGTTCGTCGGGAACTGCTCAGGGCGGGTGGGATTCGGGGGCTGATAAAGTAAGTGAAGTTGTTCCCTCGAAATGACTCGCTTCTCCTTATTCGATACACCGTACGAAAATACTCATAGCATAGACGCCGTCCAACCCCACTCATGCCCACCCCCCCTACCCAAGATATCTAGTTAACCAACCACAGTATAAACCCCCACATATAAAAGCCCTCGAAGAGCGCGCCCTAGAACCCTCTACCATGTGGTGAAAGAACAAGAGCAAGTTCCAAATCAAAACTTATACTCGAACCTATTGACAACTTAAAAGAAGAAGAGTTATACCTATGTGGAAGACAGAAATGGTCAAAACCCCAAATATGAAAGAATTATGTTATTTTCGGAGAATGGATTAAATGTGCGGTATAGGAGCGTTTTAAGGATAGTTTTTGAGCAAGTAATTGAGGATTATAGTAGGGATACTGGTTAGGATTACAATAAATAAAATAATAATTAAAACAAACAATGAATAGGAAATATGGGTGCGAAAACCAATGCATTATATTATGTAAAATGATCAATCTACATGTGCCTACCCTGCTTCCCTGTTCATCCAAGTGGAAGGAGTTGAGTTGATATGTATTCATTTCTCAGCCAAAATGTAGCAAACTAGATCCGGTATACCATACGCGATGCCTTGCGGTCGACCTTAACGCCTCCCATGATAGCAGAAGGATCTTGAATGAATAACCTCTCACAAATATTTACTCCTCAGCGCTTGGCTAATTGAACTCATCCTACTCGCCATTCCCCCACCAGCTTGCATATTACTCGCCAGCGCCTCCTCGAGCGCACTCTGAGTGACAGAAGCATCTACACTCAATGTTAACATATAATCCCGTCGTTTTCCCGCTTGCCCTGTTTTTCTCAATGGGGAAGAAAGTCGGAAATGATAACGCAGGGCAAAAGGGTAACAAACAAGGCGGATGTATAAAATGGAACGGGACAACCATACCATCCAAATCGCTAAAACTACTTCCCATACTTGGAGTCCCGTCACTCCCCTCCCTCGCCTTCAACGCAACCGTTCGTCTTGGGGACAACGGGCCTGTTAATCGTTGCCTGCCCGAACCTCCTCTTGTTAGTGGCTCTGGGCGTCGATGCGCAGTAGAGCTCGCCGATGAGTCCGAAGTCTGTGATCGTTGCGTTATAGAGGATGCATCTGCCGGCTTCTTATGATGTCCATGTGAAGGCGTTCGGCGGGAAATGTTCTGGGCATCGCCGCGGAGTGTATCGGATAGATCATGATGGGCGGCTTGGGACACTCCGGCCACCGGCATGAATGCTGGGCCGTCGTCGTCATCATCATCGTCGGATTGTTCCAGTTTCTTGGATGTGAAGCGGGGAGGGCGGCGGAGTAGGCGGCTTTGGGCTGGGGGTGAGGAGTCGGATGATGAATCGGAGGAAGACGCAGAGGGAGAGGTAAGAGAGTCTTCTGGAACTGGGGACTGGGAGGAGGCTCTAGGGTCGACGGCGATGGAGGAGGGGCGGGATTTGGGGTTCGGAGAGAGGGATGGCCGGGTTGGTGCTGGGTGGGAGCTTATCTGGTTGAAGTTGCGAGCCGTGATAGTGGTATTCGCTGAGGATGTGCGAGAGATGGGGGGTGCTACAGATTTAGACATGAGCGATGGTTTTGGTTGGGAAGAGGAGGTATACCTATCGTTCGTCCCAAGGCGCTTGGGGTCGGGGCATCGCCTTTCGGGAATGGAGAATCCTTCCTTGCTGAAAGGGCCGAGGACACTCGTGGTCCTATGTCATATAAGTTCCTGGGCGAATTATGGGACCGCATAGCATAGGATGGACTGACCTGCACCTCCCGAGCTTGTCGTTCTCATCATCTCTCCTCCAACATTCTCAGATGTGCTACCAGGAATAGGTGACGGCGCTGCAGATCCCTTCGAGGCACCAACTTTCCGCATCTGCGCCCGTACCTGTAGGAGTTGCCGTTCGTACAGCCATGCTGCTTGTTGGAGGAGGAAGGTTAGGGAGACGTCGAATTTGGTGGCGCTTGGAGTAGTCAGTTTAGCTTGTGATGATAAGTATGGAGACAAACAGTTCGTTCCCTGTGATACAAACTATTAGCTAGAGTTATGCATAATCTGATGCGATATAACTTACAGTCAATATCGCTATTCTTCGAAGCTTTGGAGAGGATCTTCCATAGCGCCTTGTCCTTTCCGGCGTCCCATTCCACCTCCGCCAGTTAATTAGCTTGCCGTGTTAAAACCCAAGGATATACTTACAAAAGGCGGATCAACAAAGTCTCCTCTTGGGAATGGAAGTCTGATAAAGACGGTGTATAATGGATCGGAGTCGGACATGATTTGTTCGATGGTTGTTAAGGTTGGTCGATTTAGCCTGGCTGGGGATGATGGAGCTTCTTCAACCTTATCGGAGCTACGTAGGTACAGCACTAAGATAACGTTGGAGCTAGGCCGGATTTGCAAAAACAACACCAAGTTATTTGTCGCGAGCTATCCCGGCCACTGACATTTTGATTCGAAATTTACTTATTCGAAATTGTTAAAAGTATCATATTTCCTCTCACATTACTCAAATATTTCAGAGATTTACCGTAGACTTCTTGGCCTTAGGTTGCTATCGTTCCGCATTCCTAATCACACCTACGGCCATCAGGTAAGGTCTATAAATTATTTGCTGTGTTCCTTGCAAGACCACCAGGGCCAACAGCCAGTTTCAAAACACATCCTGCCCCATTCCCTACTCAGACAAGGAAAGCGAGTGTGGTCCGCAAACACCGAGAGCGATCCAGAAGCAGCGAAAAGCTTCAAGTCTAAAATAATACTAAGTCTGCTTCTACAAATATAGCTCAGGTGTTTTAATATTTAGTCATCCGAAGTTCTCTAAACGACGTCTAAGTGAAATTGACAGACGTTTTGTTATTGCCAACGTTATTGTTAATGACAGTCGTACAGCTGTTTAATAATTCACCGATTAACACAGCGATATCTGCAGCTGATATACAGGAAATCCTCGACATTCTTTTACCGGTATCCGCAGACCCAGTTGGTGGATTGTTGCCGGTATCGTGCTGCCTCTTTTCTGTGGTGCTTCTTGTTTCTGTTTCTTCTTCTCTCTGTCTTATTGCGGTGTCTGGTTCCACCTCCGGGAGCCCGGTTATACTTCAGCTACATTTATATAAGTAGCGCCCAAGTCCGGGATTTTACCGGATTGGCGGCGTGCATAGGAGATTTGAGAGGTATTCACTTTGTTAGCTCAGTAGAATCCTTCCGGACTAAGACCATGAAATCACCATACCCGTTTTGCTGGCCTCAATCTAACAGCACCAGCTGTAGAAAAATATAGCAAAGGTAACAGGATGGTATTATGCACTAATGAGGTATGTACGCATATAAAAACCCGAATTCTCCCACGGCTATGCTATCAGCAACAAGCAAAACGCCCTTAAAGCAACGCCACAAATGCACCCACCCACCCACGTTGTAAACACTAAAAATTAGGAGCCAGCCTAGACAAATCTCATCTCATCTAGCTTTCGTATCGTGACATTGCATTCGTCCTATACATATCCTCCAAATGTGCGAAAAATCAAAACTCTCAGAACTGATTCCCATCATCTCTCGGCTTCGGTGGCGGCCTTCCTCCCCATAGTGCATTATGTACTTCCTGGGCGTCACCGACCGGCCGGCTGGAATTTGCCCATTGCTCTGAGGGATTAGGTTGTTGTCTTCGTTGGTGCCGCCTATCCTCTAGGTAGGCTTCTGATTGTATTGCCGATGGGAAGGGTTGTGGAATGGCATGGCTCTGATAGGGTTCGGGCTCCCCCTGAGCGGCGGCCATGCCCATATTTCCTTGCCCGCGGTTCCCTTTTTCCGTCAGCGATCCTGGGGTGGGATTTTCCCCCATGAAGCGGTCTGGACTTAAACTTCGGTCATCAGAATCGGAGCGTTGACGCATGGGATCGTAACCTGAGCTAGAATTTTGGGGATTTGGCTGGGCGTGGGTGATGAGCCCTGCGCCCTCCTCGCCCGGTACTTCGTTCGGTCCAGCGCTTGGAATGCCATATTTGCTTCTGCGGAATTCATTCGCGATTGGGAGATGGTCGTCTCCTTTGTATGCTCTCTGTGATGGTTCTAACACCATATCATTTTCCTGGCCGTTCTTGTACGATGTATCATTCTCTCGATGTTTTCGTCCAACAACTAACCACCGCATGCCTCTTGCAAAAGCTTTGACCAAATCCCAGGGGTTCATCGCATCGGCGATCGCTCTCCATCCGAGAAGACCACCCTCATTCTTTCCAAGTGTGTTCATTGGTGGGCTATCAGTGCCAGAAGCTGATATTGGGTATTTCCCCACCTCGGTGCCTTTCTTGTACGGCTGGTATGGAAATGCAAACAGATGCAAAAAGGCGAAGATAGCCATTTCAACACATAGTAGGAGTGATGGGATCCCGACCTTGAGATCCGGATACGCAAGAGTAGTAGTAGGTTTGACCACGTTGAATGTGGCGGAAGTCAAGATACTAATGAGGAAAGTTTGCCAAAACGAAAGGAAGATGACGAGTTTGATGGCTAGAACCTTTAGGAACGGACTGTGGGGAGCAAGGTCTTTGCGAAGTTGAATATAGAACTGAATAAGGCAGAACATCGCGACTGTAACAGCAGCGCCTTCGATAACCAGGACCTAATGTGGTCAGTATAAACCGTGGAGAAATATTGGGAAACATACCCAGATATGCGCAAATACTGGTGAGTTGGAAGACTCGCAGTATTTACCAAAGTACTGAGTTATAACCGCAACAACAGTCGCCCCAATCCGTATGAAACAGTATTGGTAGACTCCCGTCCAAATAATGTTGAACCACGTCAGCCCGCTTCGGGGTGTCCTCCAAGGCCCCCTCTGTCCGCCGCAGCACTTCATCGCCCATGACACCGGCCACACCCATCCTACAGGCTCTATAGTTCGAAAGTAATGCTTCTGTTCGTGTAAATCTGGCGCAATGTAGTGGCACATGAGCGCAAAGAAAGAGGCGATCGCAAAAGCTTCGTAGCACTCTGATATAACGTGGAAATATATCGCATGCCAGTAAAACCAGAAGGCGAGGAACGAGGCCGCGGAATAAACTGGGATCATGAAGAGGATTCGGATGATACTGTGGAAGGTCAGTGAGATGTTAGAATGCTTTAAGAAGGGGTACCTACTGTCTTTGCTCATAGGGCTTCGTATAATTGGTGGCATGCATCCAGATAAGATACAGAGATAGTAATGTGGCGATTAAGGCGGTCGCTGCCGCGATGATGAGACCGAGGGTATGGAATGTCATATTTCCTACCAATGGTACCTCCGAGTCGCCAACTATACTGGGTCAGCACCTACTGATCACCTTCAGTGTAATACCAAGGGATCGCATACTCAGCATCTCGTCCAGCGTCGCATTACAGGTTGTGTTGAACAGCATCTTTGCGGCTGTCGCTCATTCGAGGAGCCCGGTACTTGGGGACTATCCTGTATATCCCTTCTACCATCCGTTGTAATGCCTTGCGCAAATCGTATGTATGTTCCGAAGTCCTCTCTTGAATCGTGACTGATGCCAGCGCAATGTTGTCCGCTCCAAATATCAGGGTCTTTCCCGTTGGTCCCACAATCACCGCAGTGTTTCAGATGTCTCCCAGCGACTTTCCAAGGGCCAGCAGTCGCAAGCGTATTCGAGGGATTCTGGGGGGGTATATTTGCTCTTTTCTTCAAGAATCGCAATCTGAGGTCGTTAGGGAAGAGAAATTCGCGTCGTGGGATTTGGAAATCGTGTATGCAGGTTGATTGATGGTGGCAGGGAGAAGATAGCATTCACAAGGAGGTTGATTGATGGGTGTGGCTTAGCTTGGCTGTTACGTTGTCACATCTCGGCGCCCGATTTAGTTACAAACACGCAAGGTTACGGAATGAAGATCGACTTGGACGACCCATATTTATATTTTATAAAGCAACTGGATACTTCCATAGTTATTAAATCCTATTTGGGCCTAACAATCTACTGCTACTACAGAATGCAACGACAAGTGTTCATGGTCCTGCTTTCAAAGCGCCTCAAAGTGTACAGTACCCGAGTTCCCAAGCTGGTTCCTTTATCTCGTATCGTGCAACGAATGGCTTGCGATAGTAATGCACAGCCTCCCCTCGAGCTCCCTCGACCCCGTCTTTTCAGCCCTCGGTCGCCGCAAGGCAGAGTCTTACGTGGCTAATATTTCATAGAGCTGACTGTCAGCCTCACCCGACGTTGTGATGTTTGTCCACTTGAACCCACGGATCGATGATTGATTTCTCAATCGATTAATTCCCATGAATCAGGTATGAGAGGATCTTGCTACACTGCGTGGTCTATCTACTTCACGAGAATTCCCTTTTACGCCCATTTCAAGTACACAAAGAGCGTTGATGGACTTGTAACATTATGAAACTGGTGTCCACCAATGCGTAGTATTGGCAACACGTGACCTATCATGTGCTTCTCCTCCTGAGGAATGTTAGGGGGAGGGATTTCAGGGGCAGTCAAATTCTACAAATAATAACTATTTCAGCTTTTTCTACATTCTCAATCATTCTCTCCAACAAAAGCAAATCCGGCATCTGCTCTCAGGCGCATCCTTAAACAGTAGACTTGAGTTGTCTTCCTTCAGGTATACTTGATCCATCCCAGTACTATATTGATAGCGGAGTGCTGTTCTACATTCGAGGAGACAACATACTTATCACTCGTGATCGCCGCCATAGTGTTGTAGATATAAAAATATACCTATCAATTTCATAATTAAGCAATCAGACCATCTCGCCCGTTTCAAAAATGGCAAATATGACACAATGTAATTGAATTAGAGCTCTATATACAATTCCTAGATTCCTCAGGAGCGTCTATGGACAAGACTCTCACTCTCACTCTCACTTCCAATGGCATCAATCCCCCATCTCCAACCCCCACCTCCACCCACTGGCCACCAACAGAGCCGAAATTTCTTCTTCAAAAAGTCTGTGTCCATTGCAGATTGCACATTCCCATCCCTCAGCTGCCGCACCAACGAGCTCCCAGCCAGCAGCGACATCTGGGCAGCAATCGAAGTAGGAGGTTTCGCCATCAAGCTCTCCCTGGGAAAGCTAACAAATATGTAAACTAGTCCAGCTAGCATTGCAGCTAATACCACACAAAGCGCAATAGTAGTACGAGCATCTTGTTTCATGCGAGTCAAAGGAGTGCTGATAGTGCCAGGTACAGTCCGAGTGCTATTTTTGGATGCGATTGCTGTCGTATGGGTTCGTAGCTCTGTGATGATTTCTACACAGTAGGAAGTGAAGACGGATTGCACGGCGCTGGAAAGTTGATTCTCATCTAGGACCCCACTAACATCTCCAACTTGGAATTGTTGATGGGCAGCGATGAGCTCAAACATATTGGTACTCTCGCCACGTGTTGGCCATAAACTATCGTTGTCTATAACACCGTCACGGTCGTCGTTATATTGGCTTGGATGACTGGATTTCGGATAAGCCCACAGCGGAGTGGTTTTGTTGTACTGCCTCACATACTCGATACTGTCTTTGTCATATGCAGAAACATCCCATGGTAGTATTTCGGTGCCGTTGACCCTGGTCCTGGTAGTTTTTGTCATTTGCACATTGACATTGACTTCCCAGAAGGCTTTGCTGCAACTGACGGCTACCATGGATGGGCTGCTAGAGTAGTTGAACATTCCAGGCTCGAGCTTTACTGTTGTATTTGAAAGTAAAGTCTGGTTGGTAAACGGCTCCAAGATGCTGGAAAAGTCCCCAAGTGTGACAAGGTAGGGCGTATCAAACGGTCCAGAGCCACCCAGATAACTATATCCCTTAATTTGAGCCCTACCAAAGTAACGATGGGTCGTAAACTCTGGGTTTTGTGCTTTGGTCCATTTAACTAACTCAGCCTGGTCGCCGAACGTATCATTGCAAATCTTACTTGCACAGCGCATGGAGAACTTCCAATTCGTTTCATTTTTCGGTTCTGGCGTATTATCTAGCACGTAGGCTTGGAAGTGCTCCGGTCCCAAAGATGTGCAGGTAAGATTTACCGCGATGGCAGGAACTCTAGTAGCGATGAGACTTCCAACGTCAGATATTTGCTCATGGTCGTCTCCTAGATTTGTCAAGTTGCTAAACACAAGATTTCCCATAGCTCCAGCTCTGTGAGGAACACCAAAGTAAGGAATCGATGTCCACTCGGAGAATTGTGAAGCTCGCCTAACCATCGCATTTTCGGTTTCAATCAGATAGCCGTACCCTTGGGACCGAAACATTTCGTACATGGCTTCGAACCCGTCCATCAGACTGGTGTCAAGTATTACTTGTACAGGTCCTGTATCGATAGCCTCTATAGGTACGTACAAGCCTGCTGCTAAAATCTTTGCCCCTGGGAAAAGCAGGGCCATAATTGAACTTGTGGCCAGTGCGATGCTTCCAAACCGTAAAATAGCATAGATTGGCATGAGCAGGACGAAGCTATACGAACCGTAAAGCAGGGATTTCGATCCAGAATTTCTGTGAAGTGCGAGATATGGAGTAAAGCTTTGTAGCACACCATGGACACTTGACACGCCGTATCCAACGAGAACCAGGATAGTTGTTGGAACGACTGACCACGCCGCTGATGCAGTTGAAGTTATCGCAAGAAAGCCGCCAGAAGTAGTGGAGATCCTCAGCAGAACGGCGAGGGTGGTTATGACCGCCGAGAGAGAAAAGAGCAAAACCACCCTTGATACTAGGTGGAAAGGCAGTGGCTGGTACCTCGATGGCTGAGGTTCGTGTTCCACGGAGGCTACAGCGTTCATAGTTTCCTATGATTGATGGTTAGCTATGTGTTAAAAAGCAGACGTTCGTGGAGTGTAAAGATAGATAACACTCACATAGCGGTTGGAACCGGGAGATTGCTCTGACACTTCGTTAGCCTCAATGACGGAGGTCGCATTTTTGGAGGACAGTAGCCACCGCCATCCGGACAAAGATTCATTCGTCGAACGTGGGTCTGACATCACAACTTCCTGGAGCTTCTGCTCTACCCTATTTTCAGACGCACTCAAGATGACCGAAACAGCAGCCAAGCTAGAAGGATCTTCGGTCAACCGACTCTTTGGCCGAAGAATTGTACAACAGAGACCACAAATCAGACCCATAAAGGCTAGGATAGCTTGCATACCCCGCAATGAGGCAGGTCGAACATGCAGTCTCGATTCGTGTAGAGTAACTGATCCATTGACTGCGCGTGTCACATTTGTCCGCGCGAATGAACTAATAACCTTCGTCAAAATAGTGTTGGAAAGGTCAACTACCTCGGACTCGAACAGAGCCGGATTGTCAATATATTCAGAAATATTGCGCCCACCACTGAGCAGCTGATCGAAAAACACATCATGGCCAGAGTATTCGCTAGCATAACGCGTTACATTCTCGAACGTGGCTTGTGGTAGTCTGCCAGATTTATATGGACCAACTGGACTAAGACGATACGCGGATTGGGATTCTGGATCCACTAGATAATTGAGGAGTCAGTAGTTTCTCTATTGGACAAAAGATTCCTGGAGGGTGTACTTACATGGGTTGTTGAGGTATGTGACGACAACTGGGAGATCTGCGCCAATATCAATAGGCGTCGGGTGACTGTCTTCAAAAGAAAAGCTCAGGATGTCGCCAGTACTCCCATTCAGTCGAATATTAGCCTGGCGAATAAAGTACTTAGGGCGGCATAAGAAACCAATGGCTTTGGCATCTACCATGCTCCCGTTCCCAAAGGGCCTACTCGCGACTGTGGCAAGCATTCGTATATCAGTGCCGTTATCAGAACAGTCGGTGACATTCAGCCAGCCTAATTGTTCTGGATCCCATCCTGCTGAAGTTACACTCTGCGTTAGTGGTGGTCGACAATTTGCCTTGGCCAGATCATCTCCATCTGCATTCAGGACGATATGCGTTTCGTTGGCGACGACATAACTAATATTCATGCATTCGAATGGAGCATTGAATGCTTGCACATGAGCCCCCACAGTGACGTTCTGTTTTAACCACTGAGTTATATTGAGGGACTCGAAGGCAAAATCATCGACTGTCCAAGGGCCGTTCTTTCCATTTGGTTGGCGGGAGGAGGCTACTGCAGCATAAGGTTGACTTCCCCGGTAATCCCATGGGATGTAGAGGGTGCCGTTCTTGCTTGCCAAAGTGTCCTTGAAAGAGAATTGCGAATCCATCACGATGGATGAATGTTGCTCCACAGGAGAATAGAGGTTGACGAAGGTCAACGCATTAGCCAGCGGTACCAGTATGCCACAGAGCAGACCAATGACAAGCCCAAGGAACATCGCCCAGTGTCCATGGCGAGCCGAGGTCCATACAGATATGAATTCAAGAGAGTCTACATAGTCCAGCAACATCGACTTGGGTGATTCGGACCATCTGGCACTCATTATTGAGTATGGTGTGACGATTTTGAGATCACTAACGAGGGATTTCCAAGCAAACCCGAGGCAGATCACGGCCACCGTTGGCAGATACCGGGCAAGCTGCACCGACGTTCTATTGTCTGTCGAGAACCCCTGCCGGTTACGAGCAACAATATTCAAGCATTCCAACAAAATCGCGATCGTCAAGCATGTCAGAGTCAGCAGCGCCGCCGGGACTTTGCGAAGCATTATTGGTACCCATTCCTTCGGGGGTTTCTGGGAGGTTTCTTTCGATGCACCACCACCATGACCGCCAGATGGCAAAGAAAGCAATGCGACGTCGCTGGTGTAAGCGTCTCCATCGGGGGGGTTCACATAAGTGAACGAGGAAGCTCCACTCGGGTTTGGGTTAGGTACTTTCTTGCGCGATATTTTTGAATCTCTGAAAGTTGCAGTCGTGTTCTGACCCGGGGAAGGTCCTGGAGGACAAGTAGTACTGTCTTCCCGGGAAAATGATTGGTCGATAAATGATTGCAATAAAGATGTTGTCTTCAAGGAAAGGTTATCGTCTTCTGTCTCTGCTTGCTGTCAGGACTTGCTGTCCCATGCTAAGCTTGAAATAAAACATACGAGGTAGCTCTGTGTTCATGCGTGCCTGATACCGGTTCTCGTCTGCGATAAACGGACGGTGCGGTGGCGAGCTCATTGAATGAGAGCATATATTTGAAACGCAGTAAGAAATCCGAAAATTGCAGCTGACATTCCGTGTGGGGTGGGGAGGGCTCCACGGGCGGATTAAATTATCAGAGGATTGATTGAACTTGAAATACAATGAGGTACAGAGAGAGCAACAATTATCAAGTTACAAACAACAGTAAATACAAAGTGGCAACGAGGAGAGTAGAAAAGCAAGCAGGTTGAAACGGACAGAGTCGTGTTTAAAGGTATGGCAGGACTTGCCTTACTGTACTCGATCTGCATGCGCCATACTCGAGTAGCACTGCCTCCTCACATCGTACGTACAACGCCGCCAACCAGTTGCCCTGTATCGTGTTGGTTCCTGGAGTCAGCCCTACCTAGGTACCCAGTACTGGGAGAAATCTGGGTAATTGTCCTTCGTAGATCCACCGTGGTTGACAGCGTTGCGCGGTGCTTGGGGCGCCAATAGGGGAGCGCTGCTGCGCGCCCTCTGAATTCTGGATGCGCTTCGTACTGTCAGGTAGGTCCCGACCGCCTTGTTGGTTTACGCTTGGAGGAGGGAGATGATAGGGCAATTACGGGGTGCCAAGTATCTATGACTTGGACTAGGCTGTAAGTTGTAATGCTCACCGACTTCAGAAAAGAAGAAGAAAAGCTCAAGCAACCAAAGGCAGGAAGTACCTATGTACAGTACCTTAGGTAGGCAAAGAGTGGCACGCTGTAGTGATGTGCGCTACAGTACTGTACTGTAGGTGGCAGGCCTAGGCCACAGGGCATGAAGGCCTGAGTACCATGGTACACCGACCGCCATTGTGCTATCGGAATACTAGCAGCAGCATAGACGCAGGGAAGCCACCGTTTATCCATGGCCTGGATAGGTTAGCAAATATGCTTCAAACGGAGTGAGAGTTTGTAGGAAGTAGGCAGTAGGCAGTAGGAAGTAGGACTGAAGAAAACCAAGGGAACGAGTTTACAGTGTTTACAGCATGGCACGACCCCGGAATTGGGCACCTGCGGGGAACCTGGCTTAATAAGCAGCCATGACAAGGTGGCTGCTATCCCGCTTTGGGTACCTGCGCCGCCGAGTCAGTCGGCGGAGCGAGGTCTTCACGCTGCGGCTCCGGTTGTCAGGTGGTAGAAAGAAGCTTGACCAATAGTTTAGTGTTCTTATAAGTGAATATTCTGGGCGCATCCAGGTGGTGGCATTCAGGACGACTAATAGTCACAGGACCCAGTAATTAATATAGGTAAGTATGGCAAATAAAGCGTGTTCCATTCTCTGGCTGGCCAGGTTCTCTCTGGCTCAAGCTCTCTGGCATCGCCGTGTGTAAATGGGAGAGTGAGAGGGAGCCAGGAGCGTATAAGCCCAGCTGGGCCCACCCATCCACGTGTCGTCTAACTGGTACATTTTGAAGGCAGTGACAGAGGATCATATGGTGATTGCAGCTGCCCCACCACGACACATTAAAAGCGAATATCCCGATTTTTGGTGTGTTTCGCGAGGTAGGCCATTATTTAATGTCTAGTACCATCAATGACAGAACCAAAATCTGAAGACGGGAAAGATTGGGGACCTGGACAAGCAGCGCGGCTGGGACGATAAGCGATGAACCAGAACTGCTCAGATTAGCGAGGGTCCCAATTCGGTCCAACACATGATGGCCTCACAATGCAGCACGCGTCTATCTAAAATTACTAACATTAGCCGCTACCCACCCTCACGTCCCAGTGTGACAGGCACCGGAGGAGGCTCAAATAGGCCCCATATTCTCTGTCACCATCGCCCTCGCCCACGCTCTCTTACAGCATCGACTCTTCCGCTGAAGTTACTCCTACACCAAGGTCATCTCACTTCTATATGCAGACGTCACCAATCAATATGTCGAAGACCGTCCAAATTTCAGCTACCTTTTCAACGATTTCGTCTAGATTAGACTCCTTCGGAAGCTGGCCTTGCCAATGTTGGCCTCCTAAGCAGCTAGCAATACATGGGTTTATCAAGTGCCAGGCGAGAAGGATGATCCGATCTCCTGTTTCTCTTGCGGAAAAGAGTGGTATTGTGGGAATTCTACTAAGATGGTCACAGACAAAGAACTCCTAGACTACCACCATGATGACTGTCTTTGGGCAGATATGCGTCGGGAAATCATGGCAGACTCAAGCTTCGCCACTACGAGACCGACGAACCATTCTGTTGTCACTGGGCCTCTACAACAGCAACTCGAGATAGACTCTTCACCATCCCCGTACAGGTTATCTCCATTGTCTTCTCCGCTACCTAAAATCACCTTGATGTGTTTCAATCGATACTCCATTAGTTCACATGCAACCTTCCAAACGCAAGGTGGCCAATGCAATTGCTTGGAGGCAAGCCACACCTTGAGATTTGCATGATTGGTTGGTTGTTCAGCTACAAGCGCAGCCTCGTTGCGCGGCTTGGGCTATTTTCGGCTCACTGCCTTTTCTTTTTCGAGGCTGTGAAGTTTTCCCACTTCATCAAGACCCTCTCTTAAGCTCGTTCATCTAAGGTTGGGAGATATCGTAGCACTTGTTAAGGCTACGCTTACCGACAAGAACGATCGATTTAGTGAAGCAGAGTCCACATCGCCAGGCCGCACAGACTGCGCATACCAGACCTGAGGATAGCTTCAAATAGAGCGGCCTGAGGTAGGCTGCCATCTCCCTATTGACTATGCATTCAGCCTGGCGATAACAAGCTTTGGCACAGAACCCATCCATTCAGAACATCGAACAGTTAGCTCGGCGAGCTGTCATGTCTCCCAAATCGAAAGCTGAACAATCAGCCAATCCAGGTGGTCCGACAGACTTGATCACAAACAGCGTATATCTTCAATCAACCTTCACTAAGCTGCTTGGCTTCCTTCCTGTTGTCTTGTCGACCGTGGTCAGCCTCGTCATCTTAGCCAGTTTTCGAGAGGACTGGAGAATCCGAAATGGCTTTTACTACGACTGGATCATTAAAAACAGAGCACCAACGCAGGTCATAGTGCAAATTCTTGCCGGGCTTCTGGGATTAGCGTTGGTTTCGCCTCTTCGTCTAGCTTCGAACTACGCTGCCCGTCGGTCGCTCGCACGTCGTCCCATATCCATGGACCAGTTAGGTCTCTATAGTGCCCTCACAACGGCTCAAATCAACTGGTCGCTTCCGATGTCATATCTCTCTGCACTTTTGGCGTTCGCGGCCTTTGCATTGCTCCCCCAAGCTTTGTGGGCAGGTGCGCTTACTCCTGTTTCAGTGCTCGTGGCAGACAATAGACTACTCCAAATTCGAGTACCGGCATGGAGCAATGATACGCGAGCTCTATGGTCTCAAAATTGGTACAATTATGCCAATGAGGCCAATGGTCCATCTTTGCAGACGAATATAGGGATCTTTTCCTACGCTGTACACACGAGCCGTTATTCATACCTCATCAATGACGGCTTGACAGCGTCGACTCTCGGCGGAGAGCCCCCCGCTTTTGCGAAAAGCGACAACACCAATTACACCTATCACGGGCGGTCCTACGGTGCCGGTTCGTCTGTTGGGCTCAATGACAGTTTCGTCAACACGGACTCTCACATTACCAGCTACGAATACCTCGAGACCGCTTATCAAATCAAGTATAATTGCATCTATAACGGGTCTCTGTACGTCACGCTCGATGCGCGAGAAGATGCAGCTCCAGTTGAATACTATGCACATTGGGACCTTAACGGCGGTTACTTGACAGGCAGTTTTTGGAACGGCTCACCGATGATTGTGGCTGCAATGACAGTTGGAAATGGATTCCTAATAAATGCGTTAGGGTACAGCCAGCTCCAAAACGTTTCATGCACGACAAAGGTCGTTCCCACCATTTTCCGCGTTGCCGTCGATGTCATCCAAAAGTCGATCACGGTGACACCAGTCAGCCAGGATAGCGTCAAGAATGTAGAGCAAACGAATACAGTCGCCGCTCAAAGCACAGATTCGATGGGTTCCTTATCCATGATAAGCACCACTTCATTCACATCCCTTCTCGGAGATATGTTGGTCAACAACATTTTCAGGGTCCAACAACAGAACACAAATGAGACAGTCGAGCGAAAGAATCTCAGAGGTATTGAAGAGTCAGCAAATGCGATATATGATCAGGCCTTCATCGGAGCAGCGAGTGCTCAGCTCGTTCTCGCGCAGGAATATTCAACACAAAATGTCACTGCTGTTGTTCAAGTCCTTGCCGTGGGTGAGGCTGTATACATCTACCTAGTCACGGCTTTGAATCTGCTAGTTCTTGCAGGACTCTCTTTCGAGGCTTTCCGTACTCGACTTTGGCTCGGGCTGCCAAAATTGGACTTTGTTGATACTAGGAGCGCAGTCATCGCGAGTTCTGCAGGTGGCATTGGGGTCTCTGAATCTGTTGAGCAAAGGCTCAATGCTCATGGTCGAACCTGGGATGGTGCAGCTGGGAATAGGATAGCTGGAAAGATCAAGGTCATGCTCACTTACGGACTAGCCGGTCCGAGTATATCTTTGAATTAGAGTTGCCTCTCGTATGAGACAAATTTTCCTGTGCGCAATAGGGCGACGATCTCTTCTTTTATGTCCTCGGCCTCAGCGCACGCTCCGACCGCCAAGGCAGAGACGACAATGCCATTCCTGGCACTATCTTCTCCAGCATTGCAGTAGTGAGGAATCTATACGTCTTGGTCCCGCACTTCTCTAAAGGGCGCATAAATACTTCAGTCTCTGGACTCGAGAAGAGCAATAACGAGTTGCCAGCCTGGGTCAAGGGCAGAGTGCTGTCGCTCTTGATTGATTCCGCGATCTTGGTGGTTTTACTCATTGTGCTGACCGATTGGGATACTGACGTGCAGTAACGGCTGGCAGAGCATGATAGAGTTGCGAGGTTATATAGTTGCATTTGTGGCAATGTGAGTCTACCCGTAGCCCCGCTGCTAAATCATGGGCTGGCTGCGATGTGTGCGCCGGCTGGGCATGTGTAGGGGCATGTGTTGAGGCATGTGGAGACTTGGGGGAATGAGCGTGGAGGGGAGATGATGGAGATTCTGGAGGATTTGTTTTGAGTATGAGGATAACGACGAGACGGTTATCGATGGAGAAATCGCTATAGATGTCCAGGGCAAGGAGAAGAGAAGATGAATTGTGTAGTTTCGGAGAGATGAGAAGCGGGCAATTGATAGAGGATGGCCTTATCGTCGATAGAGATATGCGCCAGCAAGATATCAGGCGGTTGATTTTAATGTACAGCTCTTGTATATTTACGTTCTAGAAATATTTGCAAAACCAGCCCAAAAACTCAATGCTTGTAAATCCCCCTCCCAAGTGCATATGCATCCCATAAAATGTACCTTCGAAATTGATGCCAGAAAAACACGCTGTAAATTTATGATATCCTCGGGTGCTTAGCCGGCTCGATTTCTGATCCGCCTCTCGAGAGTTTTTTTCTCTCGCCAATGGCCAATCGTCCGTCCTTTGTCTCTTCCACAACCTTCGCCGCCGGCTCCAGATCCTCCAGTCTCTCTTCCTTCATCGCTATGAGCCGTTCTTGTTTCTTGTACATTTTGTAGAAACACCAACTCCCCACAACTGCGCAAACGCGAAAAGGAGGTGCAGCATTGGCGTAGTAATCTTGAAGGCAAGTGTCCGCCGGGGCCACAAACTACCAAAGAGATACATTGTGAGTATCGTTTCTGCAGTTGCTCCTGTAAGTGTTGTGAGACAAGCAACTCGGTAGAGCTTGAGGAGGAATCTGTGGGATGAGGGGTATATGCGGTAGAGGATGATAGAGACGTGAGGGAGAAATTCGGAAATAATGTCGAAGGCGACTGTGCACATGAATTGTTAGAGACTGCTCGCCAGGGGTCGAAGAATTTGGAGGGGAGTGGATGGATTGGAGAAACGTACCCCACACAGTGCACAGAATGAACTCGATTGTCGCGTCCCTTTCCCTCACGAGATTCAAACTGATGGCAATGGCAGATTGTCCAATCAATATTGATCCAATATGATGGTTGACACTGGCTGGTGAGATTGTCGGCCAGTAGAATGCCTCAAAGACGTACATTGCCATGAGTATTTGAGCAGCTATGATCAAGAAACAATTGACATTCGCTTTACGTTAATCTCCCATTGCACAAGAAAACAGAGAATGCTATTAACCAACCGGACCTAACGGTTTAAAGTGATCTTTGTCCAAAATGGGACTCACCTTGAGTCGCGCCTGGCGACTCCTTTACGAACAGTCTCCTCACCATCCTCTTCAGTATTCTCTGGAGTAGATGGGTCAGCTTCTGAATTCGTCTGTAAATCAAAGCCTTTCTCAGGCACGGAACTTGGAAGATTGTCGGTGTCGATGTCCCGTTCTGGAATCAAAAGTATATTGTTCGTGCCATCTGCAGTAACATCTTCAAAACACGTTTAAGGTGTTAGTATACGGAGGTTTGTGTCGAAGATGTACATCCACTCCCACTTTCTCACGTACAGTACTTCATTGCTATTCGCTTTACCTCTGATGGGTCGGAGGGATCAACTTCAAGATCTTGTACAACTCTCCAACTACTACGATCACAGATCTTAAATTTTATCCAAACCATAGCAGGGTCTGGTTTTTGGTCTCTTGATGGTCTTGTAGCCTGCAGAGATGTAAGCTTAGCAGGAAGCAAAAGAGAACTTAAGCGCTTACCTGTAGCTCAACAGCTTTAATCAGTTCTTCGGAGTTAGTGACATGCTCTGGTATCTTACCTGAGGCAGGTGTTGAGTTACTATTATCAGTTGCTGAATAATCCGCGCTAGGCTGCGCATTGTGGATGGGATTTTCGACCTCTTCTTGGTCTGCCATAGTTCGACGTTCGTTCTCCACCGCAGTCTGGTGTGATGGACCCTGTATAAGTTCTTGAGGCTCAGCGTCTCTAAGAGTCTCAAGTTCGAACTGAGTAAGTGGCCAGTTCCTTTTCGCTGCACCTATACCTCTTTGTACCCCCTTTCCCACTATCTTGGGTCTCCTCTGGTCTTGTGTTTTCTCCTTAGGCATTTTTTGCCCAAGTCTCTCTTCCCATTGTTTAGTAATATTCTTCACAAGCCTTTCCTTTCCCTCAGTTGCGGGTGTCTCTTCTTCCATTGCAGCATTATCCTCCTCTTTATATGTAACCCGCTCTTGCTCTTCCCTTACCAGCAGCTCCTTTTCTTCCATTGCAAGTTTTCCCGCTCCTCTCGTGAAGGCCTCTCGACAGCTTGGTTTTGTTCTCTGGAGTCAGAAGCAAGTAGTGGTAGCCTGCCTGAGGCTGTTGAGTTATCAGCTGCTGAATAATCTGAGCTAGGCTGTGGAGGATGGCTAGCTTTATCGACTTCAACTTGATCTCCTGCGGCTCGTAGTGAAAAATCGAACTCCTTTGACGGCGGCACAAAGCGATAGTTAGCTTCTGAAGACTCAACATTAGTGAATTTCTTCAAGTCAAGTTGCGTAAGTGGCCGTTCTCTCCTTTTGACTAAAGCCGATGCACGTAGAGCTCTTCGTACGCCGTTTTGACTTCTTAGTACCTTAGATCCCTTGTCTAGCTAGTTCTTATCGGCCTTCTTTTGCTTGGACCTGTCTTTCCATTACTTAGCAAGTTTCTCCGCCAGTCTTTCCTACTCTTCCCGTGTGACTCGCTCTTGTTCTTCTCTTGCTAACCGTTCTTGCTCGGCACGGTCTTATTCTTCTTTTGCAAGTCCTTCCTGTTACTTATTTGCCGGCCGCTCCTGCTCTTCTCCTGCAAGTCTTTCTTGTTCTTCTTTCGCAAGTCTCTTCTACTCCTCCCTTGTCAGTCTTTCTTATTCCTCCCTTGCGAGCCGTTCTTGCCGTTCCTGCTCTTCTTGTGCGAGTGTCTCTCGCTCCTCCAGTGCAAGTCTTTCCTGTTCTTCTCGCGCGAGTCGTTCTTGTTCCTGTCGTGCAAGCCGCTCCTGCTCCTCTCTCACAAGTCTTTCCTGTTCCTCTCTTACTTGGTCGTCTCCTAGCGGAGCTGAAATTGGAGAATCCAATAGTGATATCACCTCAGGAGAGGGAGGATTAGGACGGCTTAGCTTGCCAAAAAATACAAAGTACACAGATCTGCAGATAAAGAAAGACGATATCTCGTCGCACTATTCCTCGTCGGTATTGTGTAACTAGTCTATAAAAGGGGACAGTTTATCCCGTTCATGATCTTGCGTATACGGGATCCCGCTTCGTTTTGGTGATATATCAGAGCAATCAATCTCGACTGCAGCTCTCGCCTCCTCCTCTGTTACTAGCTGGGCAGCAGAGAACAAATTCACGATGTGCTCCACGTAGTCCTCAAACGCCGCTTCATTGTACTTATAGCAGTCAGGTTTCCGAGCTTTTAATAAGGCACTGCGAGCGATCTCCCTGTCGGGTGACCGCTGGGCTATGCTGTGAATCTTGTCAGACTCATATCCTAAACAGGAGGCTAGAATAGCCCCCTCACATGGGAAAATCTCATCTGCCTTCTCACTAGCAGGCTTTGCCAACAAGTTCTTCTTCTTCGGCTCCGCGGGGACCTGAGGGTAGTTGCGCATCGCATATATCCACATCTGCCATCGCCCAAGGTCTACCCGGTCCGCTAGGCTCCCAGGCCGGAACACGCAGGTGGACTCCGATTCTTGGATCACACACTGACCGGCCCTATAGTTCGCATCTTTGAATGCGTCTTCTAGGGCAGAGGACACTGTGTTCTCCCTACCTCTTCTCCGCGCGCTCTCGTACGAAGTCATTATCCGCACGTATCAAGCATTGGTAGTGCTCGTTGCCTATTCAATTTGGCGACACTTGGTGTCGCAGTCGCTCCTTCACCGTATATATATCTATATTTTTGCAGGAATATGCCTTTTAACGTTTCTCCTCCGGTATAGATTCATCATCTAGCGAAACAAGGCCGTTTGCCGCAGTTTTCCTCAAGCTTCTATCAGCTATATAAACGATACAGTTGAGATCCGCTTAACTTTATCTCGACTGTTAAAAGTCAAAGCTAGATAGCACATTTGGCTGTGGACCCCAGTTAGTTTTTTGTCTTTTTGGCAAAGCTATCTATTCGCTGTGGCATCCTAGTCCGAGGGAGAGCAGAGCGCTTTGGATCTATTTATAAAGCCACGCCAAGGCTTCAATCAAAACTTCTGGAATACAGAAAGTCCAATCCCCCCCCTCCTTAGCTCTGTTCGGTGGGCCACACAGTACCACTGCACCGGTAGGCGAGTACAAGACTGCCCTCGTAGTAGCGAGTGGCTTCGGCATAGCTGCGCAGCTGTCTTACCTGAGGCAGCTAATATATGGGTATAATGCCTGCAAGGCGCGCACCCGCTGCGTTCATTTGGTTTAGCAGTTGGAGACCTTGGGTAAGTTGAACTTAGGTCGGATTGTAAATTCAAGCTGACTGTGAATAGACATTGGGATTGCAGTAGAGTCTTTACTCAACCACGCCCTAGCTGACGACACTTTAGATGAAGGTTATGTCAGTTACCCCCTTACTTACGTTTTTATACAACTTCTAACTTGGATTAGATTCTCAGTATCTCAATTTACATCTAATCAGCAAAAGCAGACCGGGTGCCTTTTGGTCGACGTGCAATAGTATATAGTCGTACAGCCGATCTGACGACGATTCTTCGAGAAGAGGCAGAAGGCAAATATCTCAAAAGGGTGCAAGAGGAGACGGAAGAGCGAGGAGGAATGCTAGTAATAGGTAAGTTTTCATGACCAATAAAAGTATTCCTTTTTCTTATTTTTTATATTTCATTCGCTGACCTGTTTTAGTCTCAGGAACCAGCTAGCTACGCGATCAACTGCGAGATGAAGTACGTGGGTATCTAGATGATAAAGTAAGCCTGTGGGAGTTAGAATACCAGCCAGCGTAGCTGGAAAAGTAAGTCTGGGGAATTAGAATGTAAGTCAGCGTGATTGTGAGACACGGAAGAACATAAGTTAGATTAGTTCAATATCTTAGATTAAAGCGTTTTTGTTTCATATTTTCCCACAGGAATATCCTCCAACACTCGTCAGCCGATGCCGGTGTCGCCGGAGCCACATAGGCTTGAATCCGTCTGCGGAGTTGCCTGCGCTGGTCCAATAGGAGAGAATAAGTCTAAATTCGGTGCACTGCCTCTATTAATTTAGAAACGGAAGTGTGTGCAAGATGCAAGTAAGCTGCACCTATGAGGTCACCGTCTGTAAGCATTTGTGGGCCTTACTCATTTTCTTGGCCTTGCTTACCTACTTCTTCTGGGGTAGGGTAGGAAGACTCCCAATTATCCTAAGAGCTGTATTCTCATAAGGGCTGTAAAATCTGAAGAGAAAAGTCTTGAGAGAAATTTCTTAAGAGATTGCGGGTGTTGAGATATGATTCTTGAGATATTACAGCTCTTGGGAGAGCGTAGCTCCTACGAGAAATTTATTCACAGCCGTGCTCTCTTAAGCGATTTTTCACACGACTCATTATACTATATAACTTTCGTACAGTATGGGTAATGGCCGTTGGGCCTGACAATACATTGGACGCGACAAGGGCTTGTACTGGATTCGCCCAATGATACGCCATACTTACCTAAGTCGCTGTATAGGATGTTGTTATGTCACATCTCCACCTTACTAAGTCGCGATACTCACCATCAGAAAAGAAGACGAGAAGCTCAAGCAACCAAAGACTCCTGAGGAGGAGGGAAGTATAGCGCATTCTTGGGCGAATTTGGTGCAAACCTCTTTTGGCTAGAAATATCAGGCACTCACGACCATTGCCATTAGCCATATATGGCCTCGATATCAAGCTCCTATACTCTTTCCTATACATTCTCGATCGTCAGCGCATAGCACTCTGCTCTGCAACTATTCGACTATCTAGCCGACCGTAAGCAAGGCTATTCCTACGAAGTAGAACCAGGGCCTTATGCCCTGTAGCCACAGCCTGAAGCCCAAGCTCTACCGACTGACTCAGTGGCGCAGGTACCGAAAGTGGGATAGTAGACAGCCCCCCTATCCTCAAGCCTTCTCTTCAGGCCTTTATACACCGTAGTCTAGGCCTGCATCAACTGCATGCACCACTATAGCGTCCCACTATAGGTCCTCGCTCCTGCCGCCATAACCTCCATATCTGACCGAAATTGAGGTATTCAAGTCGTGCGAATATCTCAATTTCGGTCAGATATGGAGAATACGGTGGGCGGACAAAGGTTCGGCAGAGAGATCTTGGAATAGCTTCACTTTGCGATAGGCTAGATATTTGAATAGTAATTATAGTGATATGCGCCAAACTGTCTAGATTGTATAGAAAAGAGTATAGGAGCGGGATATCGAAGTCATATATGGGTAATGGCCGTTGGGCCTTATAATACTGTGTTGGCGAAATCGTTGGTACCAAATCCGCCCAATGATACGCCATACAAACTGGTAAGGTGGTATGCTGTTACATGATCAACTTACAGTCTCGTAAGGTATGACGTAACCATCCACCCTGAGGGGTGCCACAGTCACGTGTGTGGAGGACCCTGCAAGCCACCCGTGGATCATCGACTAGTGACGCGCTAGATGACCGATGTGCAGGGCAGCGGTGGGAATTCTCCGCCAGGTACAAGTGGAGGTCCCTGCTACTTATCTGCTTCTTTCATCATCATCATCATCCACAATAACACCGCACTTTCATCACTTTCACTTTCCGAGACTCCACCCTCAGGAAACATTTCTCTCTGCAACCAACATATCTCTACATAGCTCCTGCGAGCTTTTATCACTTCAGTCCACCTCTTCAAAATCTGAAAAGGTACTGCAACATCATCAAATGGCAGGCCAAAAGCCAGCCCCCCGCCCCAAGGGCACGAATGTTGGGTTCGGGAAGGAAAACGTCAAGCCTGGTCGCCCCACCACCGAAGAATCAGCGCAAGCACGCAAAGATAGACTTGCTAGAAGGGTGGCTACACGCGATATGGCTAGGAAGAAGCAGCAACAGCCGGCCCCAGGTGAGTAGCTAATACTAGGCCATTTCTATATGCTGAGTTAAGGAACGAATGAGCTGACCTGAAAACAGCTGCCGCCCCGTCAAAAGTCGTCATGCTGAGCAGGGAGGAGATAATCGCCAGAACTACAGCGGTGTTTGATGTGGCTATGGAAGAAGCTCGGAAGAGGGGCCCACGTAAGTAGCTGACCAATTCTATATGCCGAGTTAAGGAACGAATAGGCTGACCTTAACACAGCTGCCAACCGGCCGTCAGGCATTAGCCCTAGCGTTGCAATGGCAGCGCTTGAAGAGATAGAGCGTGAACGGGCAAGCGAAGAGTCTGGAGACGACTCGGATGTGCTGAGCAAGGAGGATAAAATCGCCAGAACTAGATCTGTGTCTGATGCAGCTATGGAAAAGCCGACGGCCCCAGGTGAGTAGCTAATGCTAGGCCATTTCTATATGCCGAGTTAAGCATCGAATAGGCTGACCCGAAAGTAGCCGCCACCCAGCCAAAAGAGTTCGGCCCTGATATTATAAGGGCAGCGATTGGAAAGAAGGCGAACGAGCTAAGCGCGGAGGAGATAAACGCTTTAACCAAAGCTATGTTCGATGCGGCTACGGAAAAAGCGTGGAAGATGGCCCCAAGTAAGTACCTGATAGTAACCAATTCTGTATACCAAGTGAAGGAACGAATGGGCTAACCTGAAAACTAGCCGCCAACCGGCCGCCAGGCACCAGTCCTGATGTTGCAATGGCAGCTCTTGAGGAGATAGAGCGTGAATTGACGTGGTCTGACTCGGAAGATGATAGCTAATCTGGTGGTCTGACGCCTGGTCTACGAGCGTCTGTCGATGGGAAATGGACGGGAAGAAGGGCAAATGCATTAAGGAATACTACAGGAGTTGCTCGATTATGATGCTCAATGCTTCGTGACTTTATATATTTTCACGAACCTTTCTACACGTCCAATATTGCATTGTCCCTATGATGTTGCATCTACTGCGTATGAGGCTTTTCTGAGATCAGTATCTTGATCTGGGCTTGGTCCTCCGCTGCTTACGGGTTCGAGCCACCGAATAGTACTTTCACATCCTCTGTGAGGGCATTTGGGGGCTGATCTTTAAGTCATGAATTCTATAATTTCTGCATTTAATAATTTCTGCGTTTTCATAATTTCTACATTCTCATAGTGCCGATCGCAAGGAATAAACATAGCAAACTATTTCTTATCTATTATATAGGCGGCATCGATATTCGCCCAAGGAAACACGCCCGGCTGCTTTATAAACGGCATTCTCAGCTTAGTTGTTTACTTTCTCAAGGTGTTATTCACTACCAGCTTGAGGTTGCTTATATTAACGCTCCCAGGATTATAACATTTCTACTTCGATCACATGCACAACAACTTTATAATTCCCATCCTCTACCATGGATAACACGATAGGCCCATAGCCCAAGAAGACTCCGTCTGATGATACTTTTTGGAATTTCATATCAGCACATCAAAGGAATCTTGACTATGATTATATTAAGCATTTGTCACTTATAGTGGATTTGCCACTTATAGAGAGTTTGTCATTTGCAGGGGATTTGTCATTTTCCGGCGGCATATTAGGAGCTGGGGTCTATTACCACTTTAGTTTTTAGGTAACGCGCAATGCAATACGATACTTAGCCAAGTCGTAAAATTTGTAGTTAAAGGTGCCTGGATACTTTTAGTTCAAGATATCAGCTATTTTAATGCAGAATGAGCTGCATCAACCCGTTCTTGGTCCCTATGTCACATAAAGATTTCCGTTCAAGTTATCCTATATAATGACTTGGTGCTATTTCGCCATAGATTGGTTTCTCAAGAATGTCATTGTAAGAAATGTTACCTGCGCGGAGTAGATATTCCATCATTTTGAAGGACGTGTACGGCCCTTTCACGAACACTTGCTTCCAAAGACTTTCACGCCGCATCAGGGTATGGCTACTTGCTTCACCGGAAGTAGGGCATGATTCAGTACCTCTGTGCTTTTCCCGGTACGAATCCATCCTTATTCCCCCTCCGATACGAGCAATAGTGGAGCATAAAAGGCAAAACGACGGGGAAAGAGAAAAGGATGATTGACTTAGTATATTGAATTTCTCAGTATAATTGAGATATGCCGATCAAGAGCCTACTGCCATTGCCCTTACAGATATCCTCAAATACAAGCTCTATTCGTCTCCTATCTTACGGACTCCATGATCTTTGACTACTTCTGTATAACCTAGCTTTGATAAAATGTAAACTGTAATATAACTACTGCCCGTTATATATTTATTCATTCGCATTTGGCATATCAAAGAAGACTACAGAGTGATATACAAGTCGTCGATTTCCTTCCTGTAGAACGCAATACTCTCCCTTCTACCTACATTCGACTTGGCTCTCCTAGCAAAAGGCTTCTGAGAATCAACTATAAGAACGAGAGATTTCTCAATCCTCATATACTCAGAGTATAGCTGATTTGCCCTTTCCACTGCGCTCTATAACTTCTCGATCAAAGCCCGCTTGGCTACTTCTGTTCTTAGAAATTCAGAGTTATCGACAAACTCAATAATCACGAATAGTTTCGGCTGACTTTCGTTACCGAGTAGTATAACGCGAATCCTTGGATTTATTATAATCTCGGCTTCTATTTTCGACATATCTCGGGATAACTATAAATCTGGACAGAAAGTTGACATTATAGTAGTATTGGAGCTAAGCGGAGACTCTGTTTAGATAACCAGCTCGATGAAGACGAGTGAGGTGAGTAGACGTAGATAGATTATAGAAAGATTAATACTAATAAAGAATTAGAATGAAATTAAAATGATATTCCCGACTTCCGATCTTCTAGAGAACGTGAAAGAAAGCGTATAGTTTATCATACTTTATACTATATATAATATCTACTAACGGCTACTATATCTCTGCTCGGAAATAGTTGATAAGTTATAATAGATTACGCGAATAATCAAACTACGAAGTTATCTTCCGATTAATCAAAGCGAGGAGATAGTAACAAATAAGCAAATATACTATCATCCTTTAGTGTAGCCTCGTTCACTACACTGCTGGCACTTTGGTGCGACACGTCGGCGATCTATATATTTCGAATCTTAACGTTATATTTCTTGACTTCGAAGTAAAGATTATCCCAAAACCGCTTATATATTTCCTAATAAAGCAAATTTTTAGTATCAACATTTAGTTATACTGATTATATCAGGACGTTGGTAAAGGAGATCGAAATTAAGATACTTTTCCGAACCCGTTTACATGGGCGCCGATGATCATTACGGCGTTTGGATCGTCACCGGCAAGGCTTACAGAGCTCAATGGAGTGTATTGCTTGACCGCAAACTTCAGTCCTGCGTATGCCGAGTGCCATTTGGGTATTCACGTATATGCTGGCCCGGAACCACATGCTCGGTGACTCTGAAGATGGATGTTGACATCGTCGTGCTTCTACGAGTAATGTAATTACCGTTTGCTTATTGAGTGCATCACACTATCAAGTATCAAGCGGGCAAGGTGACGCTTCTTTTATTCGATGCGGTTAGGTGAGAATAGATACTACCGAAATATCCGAATTGAATAACCCTCGACGCAGTTAAGCTGTGGAGTAAGCACCAGAATTCGATCGAATTTTTACTTGCGCGGAGCCCGTGATGGCACCGTATGACTGCAGAAGGATTGCTAGGATGAAGCTACTGCACTGCGTACTCGTAATGACTTCGGCTGCTTCGTCGCCGCATTTTCTATGTCATCTAGTACCGCTGATGCGCGATGGCAGCTTGTGTTGCTAGTGGCTGGTTTTCGTACTCGAGTAAGCTTGCACGGCTTTTCAGCCGTCGAGAGTCGTCATCATATCAGCCAACTCCGAGTGGCCACGAGTAGAGCAACAACCCACATTGGACATGAGAAAAATAAGCTCCGTGCCAACCTCAAATCGAATCTTGCAACGTTAAAAAGACTGCGACTGGAAGAAATGAGAGCCGAGTATTTCAAGCATATACGAGTAGACAATATGCGAGCGAAGGGCCTCTCAACCGCCATGTACGAGGTGTCCAATCGAACCCCTCAGTCCCAAACTACCGCAATGGCCACGGCCCGTCTCAAAGACTCAAACTATCACCTACCGAATCTGTCGCTGATCGAGGCTTTATGACAAGGCGGTATATGAAAGCTATCCTGAAATTCTTGATAGAGCCAACTGCTACGTTATTATCGTTGTAATACGTGGCCTTTTAGGTGGTGGCTTCGAAGTACTAGCTTGAACTAGTGAGTCGAAGCGAATTTCGGATAAGTCACGTTTCATTTTAAGGGGATTCGTCTTCTTAATTTTTGCCCATCCATATATACCTTATTCAACACCACCCTTTCCAAGCGGTATGGAGGCATCTGCAGCCAGGAAACCGAAACTGAGAACTGCATGCGACAGATGCTACGAGCTCAAAGAACGATGCCAGCGCGCATCGACCTCCGCCCACTGTGCACGGTGTGACAGGCTGGGTTTGGCTTGTTCAACAGTGCGGCCGGTGCGGCCAGTGGGTAGGAGGGCACATCATACGGGCTCTGTGACCAGAATGACGTTGAGCAAATGCGGGAAGCAGCAATACACACCTAGCATTAGCATTGACGCATGTTTAAACATGCTTCCCAACCTGCAACCAGAAGAAAAAGAGTTGTTAATGTTTCTCCTAAGCCAGCCTGGAAGCCTGGATCAATATGTTGCGTACCCGGGCTTTCAAGCTGGGCAGCAGCAGTTGTTCTCTGTCCAGCTACAGCTGCCAGCTGCCCTGCCGTCGCTCAAGGATGCTTTTCTCGCATGTGCTATAACAGTAAAGCAACTTCAAGCCGGCACTGCAATGGACACAGATACGACTTTCAGTGTCCACTACATATTGAAGGCCATGGACGCATTACGCTCGCTGTCTGTTTTGTCTTCACAGGATGCAGTTCTATGTCATGCTCTGGGAGGTTTACTGGCTTTCTCGATATCTTCAGCCATCGGTGTAGGTGTTCCAGACATTTGCCGTCACTGTCTCGGCACAACAACTCAATTCGTGGGAACAACAGTGTCCGATGCAGATCCGTGGAAGAGCTTTCTGATTCTGTTAGATACCATGGACTGTCTTGTTTATCGACGAAAGCCGATACTGAGGATTCGGGTACCATCCTCTGTTGTTGTTGACTGTCGCCTTGGCCTCTGTTTGCCTCTGTTGCCGTACTATCATGATCTCTGTGTGATCAGCAATTCAATTCTCAATACAACTGACGTGGGCATTCTGGCTCGCTTGCAAAAGCAGCTAGATGAAATCCATTGCCTTGTGGAGCCATGGCAACCATCTCACTTGGATCAACTTGTTGAGCAGTTTGATTCGGCAGAAATCGTCCACCTGCTTGCGCAAGCCAAGTTATACCGCTTGGGAGCGCTCCTAGTGGGCCACCGGTTGCGATTTCCATTTGGTCAGGAGGACGCCCAGGCCGAAATATGGTCCAAGGAAGTTATGATGGAACTTGAAATTGCAAAACGAGTCACGAAGCGATCGATGCGATTTGTGACGTTACCATTCATTATCGCAGCCGTTGAGGTTCGAGATAAGAGTCTACGTATCAAGACGCTCGAGCGTGTGGACGATTGCGTCGACCATTTCGCTCAGTTTTTGCAAAAGGCAACCAAGACATTCTTGTCGAGAGTTTGGCACGAGCGAGATTTGAATCTTACGACTCGTTGGTTTGATTCGATCTACAAACCATGCCCTGTGCTGGATTCCGTTACTGCATCGCTACTCTAAATCTTGTTTATGATCGAGTCCAGTATAGCTGTCGCCTTTATCAAAGCCTCATCCTTATGCCTGTATCCTACAACCTGAACACAAACCGGTGCGCCCTTGTACTGTTCTGGGCCGGTATCTTTGGAGGCATGTGTCAGCTTGAGCTACACGAAATAAACTGCGAAGAAGGTGGTACCTACACAGACTGTAAAGCTGCTCGTCATCTGGACCGAATTTGGCGTTGCTCAAATCGTCAGCAAAGTCCATATCTTGCACCTGGTCCACAGGAATCACAATAGCCGGGTAATCGAGATAGTTCCACAGGCTAGTATATGCCGCTTTCGTCCAGGAGTCCAGGGGAACTGCCGTATGCGGTGCTGGAGGCATTAGAATCACATCTAAATCGTTGTCGCGAAATAGTTTGAGGTACGTTTTCGCGGCCTCGGCTCGACGGACATTCAAATTAAAAAAGCCCTGCAGCGTCGTTCCTGGCACCGATAGAAGGCCGATTGCCGTCAGTGATGGGATGGTCGGCTCCCCTGTTCGCTCGAACTGTTCGTTATAGTACTATTGCAGTCAGTCTTCACCTAGTAAGTCAGGGCACTGATGGGCTCACATCACTTCCTGATAGTGTCATATAGCTGATAAAGTCTTGATAGTGCGATTCGACGTCGGGTAGATTGATATGAATGATCTCAATATCATTATTGCCACTGAGAAGGTCGACAACCTGCTTCAAACCACGTCTAATTGGCGGTGATGGAGTATAGACGCCGTCATTTTGAGCAACACCGATCCGGAGCTTGTGTGCGGGTTTGAGATCTACCCACGGAATCGAGATCGAAGTGCTGTCATACTTCCAGGTGTCTGCTTGGACTATCGACTTTAGAAAGAGAGCACAATCCCGGAGTGAGGTCGCCATGGGCCCAACTGCCGACCGGACACCATCTGTCCCTGGCGGGGTGAGGTCTCGCACACCACTATGAGGAACCAACCCTACGCTAGGCCTGAACCCATAGATGCCATTACATACCGACGGGACACGGATGCTGCCACCAATATCCGTCCCAACCCCGAGAATGCTGCCTCGAAGGGCAAGGAGTGCACCTTCGCCTCCAGTACTTCCACCCGCAGTGAACAATTTATTGCGAGGGTTCAAAGTTCTTCCGAAAACATTATTGTCACTATCGCCAGTCATGATTGACTGGGGCAGGTTGGTCTTGCAGTAAAGGACCGCACCCAAGTCAATCAGCATAGCAGCAAGCGCGCTATTGTCCTCCGCAGGCTCATCCACATAGCAACCCAACCCAGTCGATGTGTCGTATCCAGAAACTTGAAAACTATCCTTGAGTGAAACTGGTAGTCCAAATAGCGGCGGGAGGGGTTTTCCACGAGACTTCGGGTCGTATTCCTGGTCAAGTTTCTTCGCTCGTTCAATAGCATCGTCGAAGAATATTTCCGTCAGACAATTCGTCTGCCATAGGTTCAGAATTAGCGATCTTTCTCCAACAGGTGCTTCACGAACTGACCAACTGGTGGGCAATGGCAGCCCTTTTGCAAAATGCCACGGTGACTTGCTCAGCCGACCAGACTCCAGCCTTCAGCTGTTCAAGAAGTGCGGTTGCATCGTAGTCAGAAGTGATTCTGGATTCTGTCTCGTTTAACAGCCCGCAGGTAAGCGGTACATCCATGACATTGGTTGCATTTTGAAATTTATCTGTAGGAATTCGCCAAGCTTTGGGAATTCTGTCCTGCTGCTGCGCTTTCTTCTTCGCTGAAATGGCCTGGTAAGGTTTCATTTCTGATGCCATCTTGAGCTTGCGAAAGATGTATCAGCCGGAAATAAGAATTAGTGAAGTTTCCGCTGCTTATGGATGATGATTTTCAAATCTAGATGCTTTTCAAATTGGAACATTTCTTGCTATTTATTGTCCCCGCAAGTGATCAAAGCTGTCGAGAGAACCCATGAGTGACTGTAGAAATCATAGAAAGCCTCCGGCTCCGGTTCCGGTTCCGGCTCAGGCTCGAGCGTACATTAATGCAACGCCTGAAACCAAATGGATTGATTTCTAATCAGCTCTTCGGTATTCGATATTCCACACGGCAAAGAACCTCAACGTTCCAGTATAATTTGGCAATGACATGAAATACCTTCAGGCGTCCAGGCCGCCTTGATTGGCCGAGTGTTCAAATCCCCGTGCCTCGGTGGGCTGGTGGGGCAAAACCGGGAAAGTAACCTCCGGTCAACCTTCCGGCCCACTACTTAGCATGACCCATAAGCATGCGACTTGTGCGGAATGTTCAATAACAGGTGGGCAAACGCCTGAAATACCCAGAATCCTAAGTTACGAATCGAAGGGTGTTGATGGTGGGTCGCATATCGAAGATCACCTTAAAACGGAACAGTCAATGGAAGCTCCAGCTGCTATTGCTTGTGGGCAAGAACTTGAAGCATCGGGCAGGGCCACCATTCTCGTCCGTACCAACTCATTCAAGTAGCCAACCCGGTGTGGACCCGGTACCTATTCAGTACATATCTCTTGACAAAGGATATGGCGCCGAAAATACCAGTCCATAGTAGCATATCTTCCTCTAGGGATCTCAGCCCGTTGTCATCATATATTGCAGGAGCGCTACAAGTAAATTCAACTCTGCGGCGTCGTTCTGGGATCAGAGGCCACCAAAGGCGCCATATCCTGACTGCAAATGTTGCGTTGGCAAACGCCGGCCATAATCCCATCAAACTCGCGCCAAACGAAGGACTTGCAATCGTTAACGGCGCCGCAATATCTTCAGTTATTGGTGGTCTAGCTAACATGATTCGCGCTACGTTGCGGTGCTGTCACAGGTGCTCACAGGTATTTGTGTCGAGGCTGAGGGGAGGAACCAACGAGAGTTACGACCCTTTCTTCCAACGACTCCAACTAACCACCTTGATTTATAAAGCGATAGGAATCGGATCCAGTCTTGCATCAGTGATGCAGTGTTTGAACGAGGCGAGGGAGACTTGGTTTGGTGACGCGTAGCGATCAATGATTGATGAAGGATACGGTTTGACGCGAGGAATCGTAAACGCTGGGATCAAGGACTGCAGACGTTTGGAGGGATAAGAAAAGGGACAGAGTACTCCATAGTGCTGCCACAGTAAATAGTAGATGAGAAGGGTTGCTACTACCAAACCCGCTGCATAAATCGATTAAGTTTTGCCCACAATCCGCTTTGCTCTCCATAAAGGTCTATCAATTCGGCGTCATCGCGTTCGAATCTGACCTCTATTTGCTAAGGAGCTATTTTAATTTCTAGTCACAAAATCTCCTCCAGCACTTGAAATGTTCCTGCCCCTGAATCAGTCACGTGGACACGCCAGAGCTGCCCCCCAGCACGCGTGTCTAGCGCGTAGCACAGCATCCCCTATTATGCTGTGTTTGAACTGGTTTCTTGCCACTTTTGCTAAGCCACCTGAATCTCTTGACTGTCAATCAGGAGAGTTGCTGGAGTATGGTCCAGTTTGATTGAGAGCGGCACTGGAATTGACTAAATTTGGCACCATAATAACACTGTACCCTTGCCGCCATGATGGACTACTGGACGCGCACACAGGGGGAATACTATCACCGTACACGTCTGCCAGCAATCGTGGAAATGACCATTGCATCTTGAAACCCTGTTGAAGCGCTCTCAAGAATGCCACCAAAAAGAAAAGCACCCCTCGCGGCCGCAGACGCCAACGCTCTTGCCCCCCCCCCAGCTGCAAAGAAAACAATGACGGGAAAAAAGATGGCTCAAGCTGGCGCATCTGCACCAGCAGCTGCGCCGAAGAAGTACAAATACTCGGACCCAAGTTCTGTATATGACCTCTGTTCCGTTAGCCTACTTAAACTTCCGCGTCTTCTAGCTTCCAAATCGAGATCCCGTTGAGATTGGATTCATCATGTGGGAACCACGCGAGGAGGACGACGAGGACGATACAGACGAGGGCGAGGAAGAAGAGGAAGTCATATCTGGATCACTGCAGGATATTCTAGATGGGCTAGAGAATGAGAGGACAAAGGCGTCGAACGAAGCTCTTAACCCTCCTCATGAGGTTGCTCAGGGCGCTCGTCTTCTTTCCAGTGGGGAAATACGAAGCCGAGTAGACGAGGCATCGGCTCCATACAGGGAGAAAATGGACGAAGCTAGACAGAAGTTTGTGACTGCTGGAACGATGACAGCAGAAGAGGCGAAATTGATTGTGGGGTATAATGATGAAATGAAGAAAGAACGAAGGAAGGCTAAAAAGGATTTGCAAAATGGCCTGAATGGGGTGCAGAAGGAGAAGAACAAGGCGATACATCTGGCCCTGGATCATGACGCCGCAGATACCCTGACAGTTGAAGAGGAACAACGCAGAATCACAGAGGCGTCAAAACCATTTGAGGAGAAGATGGACAAGATCAGAGGTGTGTTTGAGCAGCACAGAAGGCTGACAGCAGCAGAGACGAAGGCAATTGTGCCGAACATAGGGGATGATGCTGGGGACGATGGCAAGAATGGTGACGGAAAGACGGACAAGGACGCAGAGAAGGAAGCCTTTGTCCCCCCGAGAGTCGCTACTGATAAGGGCTTCCCAATCACTAAAGCCGGAATTGAGAGATTTTATGAGATTAATGAGGAGGTGAATAAACGTGATCCGGATATGCATAATATGTATATCTATAATGACTTCTCCGGCTATGGGGTTATAGAAGTATTGGAGAATATGGTAAGTCCATGCAGCTCCTGTCCCCAAAGTGCAGTTGCCTCAATACCACCGAATGCTACACACTGAAATAAATGGCCCTTCTGCTAACAATACATGTATAGCTTGCCGAGTTCAACAAGCTCATTTTCAAGAAAGACGTCTCCCCGTTCAAGAAATGGGCCCTGGTCGAAGGGCTCGCAACCTACCTAGGAATGTGCGACCACATGACCTTGATGAGTATGTTACTTTCCGTCAACCTCCCTTCTCCATACCCTTACCATCATATTCCCCCGGACCCCTTCCCCTTCCCCTACCCCGAACATCCCACTCTACACCGCCTAATACTTCACTAGTGAACGAGAATTCCGAAGGCATGCACGAAATATTTGATATGATGGGTGTAATATTCATCACGGCCCTCGAAATGCTTCACGAATCCGCCCTTATCGGTTCCACGTCCCCACTCCCAGATAACGTAGGGGTAATGACGTTATTCTTCCTCGACTTCATGATGAACACCGCCGCCGATCTCGATATCGAATGGGTCCATGAAATTGTTCGGTCTGCAGATATGTATTGTGTAGTACTTGATCCGTTGTTGGAACGGATTGAGGATGTTGACCAGGATGCTTTGGATGATTTGAGAGAGAGATGTGAGGAGAAGCGGGGGAGGGGATTCGCTTGGAAGACTGAGGTAAGTTGAGATCTCGTCTGACTTTTGGGAACCTAATGCTGACCTTATGGGCAATAGTATCCAAAGTTTAAGAGGGAGCACCCCGGCGGCGATCAATATGACATCACCAAGATTCCGAAGATGCAGAAAGCGCGGCATACGTTTGGTACCAAGGAGAATGATGCACTGATGAGGCGGATCATGGGCGAAGATTCAGGTGAAGATGAAGATTCAGATGAGATGGGGGAGTGGGAAGATATGGAGGATTCGGATCAAGACTAAGGTGTCTGGTTTTCATGAGGACGATCGCGATCTAGACGAGGATTTATCGTCTATTTTCGATATGTGTATTAATACTGTAGTTTTTAGGAACTCTAACTATGTACTGATGGGGGCCTGGTCACCTGTATTTTGGGGCTGCTGCGTGCGGAGAGCATTGATTAAATATGCTACCTTCCAACTGGTCCAGGTTACATGATGTTCTTAAGTATGAGTACTCATTCATGACTTTGGGTTGTTAAAGGGTAGTCACTTTAGCATTGCAATAATGTGCATGCATATATGTTAGAATAAACGGGGGGCCTCAGGGTAGAGTAAACTATAAGCCTATTGGTTCGTATATGTGATCCAGCAGAATTCGGTGCAGTCTACATTATGGCAGACTTGATGTGATGACATGGCTTCGAACCCGGAATGCCACGTTGCCTACCTAGCTAACAGTCCATAATCAGCTATTGATCATATTGTGACATACCTATGTAGACTAGTATCTGTCAAACGCAAGTGGGATTGCTTCGCAGGACTCGGAAAAAGGCCAACAAAGAAACACTCACCCATTTATGCCTAACGAAGCGCAATATCCAGTTATACCACCGACGTAACCCAACGCCTTATTTTATGAGACCCGGAAGTTTGGTCTGGATTTCCCCAAGTTACGGCCTCATTGTTGCTATGGTTGCGCTTTTTTCAAACTTGAACTAAGCCACCACCAACGAGCCGTTTAGAACTAAGAATGGCCACTTTTCCCCTTGCATTCAATAATTATTGTTAAGATCTGGGCTTGGAATGCCTCGTTAAGGCGCGGAGTAGGATGACTCAAGAATGCCAAACAATAATTGTTGACTCAATATGGACATTCGTATAAGTAGATGTGACTTGAGTCACGGCGGTTCCTCATCTCTTTTCTCTTCGTCCCTGTTTATCAGCACCTCGAACTATCTTCTTCGAACTCTTCAACAAGCTGTTACAATATTAAGTCCCGTGAACCTATATTTTGTTGCATCGGCACGCAATGCCCTCTTCCAAACTAATAGGGCAGCCTGGGGAGACTGGACCCGAGTCACCCCACTTGAGACCACAGCTCCAAACCATCCATTCGAGATATGTCTCTAATCCAAAGTATCTGTCGCAGCTGCTGAAAGAGATTTACGGTTTGGGCAATTATACCGTAGAGGTACGTTTTTCCCGTTAGTAATTCTTTGGATTTAGGAAGCAGCCCCATTAAATTCACATCTAGATGAGGCATAATGTGTATTCTATTCGTGCTCCAGGACAGCTGAGATGGGTAGGGTCTTTCGACTGGCGGCTGTGATGCCTAAACTGACTGACACTTGTAGACCGACATTGAGCGACGATGCTTCTAAACTAGCCTGGAGGGAAATGAGAGGCAGCTACTCGGAAGCATTCAATATCCATCCGAAAGACTATATTTCTAAACCTCTGAATCATGACTATAACTGTTACACTTGGTTTGGCACAACTATCTGGATTGTGGAAAGGTTGAACAGACGATGCACTTGATGGCATTCAATTTTATGAGGCTTTACTCGTGCCAGCTTAAACAAAATGCAGGGGAGATAGCGACTGGTAATCATACAAGGAGGGTTGCGCGCGCCACGTTTTGGGATGCTTGAGTCCTCGAGTTTATGCAAGCTACACTCCAGGAGCTGCATAGATATATCGGATCGAAAGATTTAAAGTGCCCAGACTGGTGTCATGCCATGAGCATCTGCCAAATTATATTCTTAGTTTTGTAGTAGTTTTCAATAGAAAAATTAGAACGTACTAAGTAGTAAGTGGTCGAGCCTATGGGAAAGAAACATGCCTTATTTAGTTTTGAGGTAGCAGTATATTTCGCCTTCACTATTATGGATAACAAGCACCATTCGTAACTCGCATGACCGGGCGGAGAATCGTAATGGTCGGAAGGGTGCCTACTATATCTCAGACGGTGGTTGTCAGCGATATTCCAAGTCAAATTTTGCGTACGAGACCTGTAAATCGGGAGAACACAAAGCAGGGCGTATCCGACTGTGCTTAACCTTCTACATGTATATGGTGTCATTTATCGCCAACAGGATTTCAATATTCAGTATTCGTAACTTCTCGGGCTGCTTCAGTTTTACCGGCTGTAATAAAGGGCAAGACGCGAATCTCCTATTTTGATAATTTGAATACCTCATTCAAGGTCATCAGCAAAGAATGAAAGAATATGAAAATATGACAATAATATAGTACTAAAACTATTATTAAGTAAAATAGTATACTCCCGTGGGTGGGAAATGTGCGATTAATTGAAATTTAAACACCAAAACTGAACCAAGAATGCTGCAATATGACCCATTTCGTGACACCATTATGATTATCCATAAGAGCACCAACTTCCCATGTACTAGTTGTATGCCAATGATGGTGGCTATTCAACGCCAAATTTAATCCTATTGATACCGTAATCCTATAACCCAGCAAATTAGAGGACCAAGAACCCAAGACTATAGAAAGTAGAATGATTGTACTCGGTGGCTGTAGATACGACCTGTTTGTCAGAAAAAGTAAAAGTAATGCGACGTTCGTCGCAACTCCGTGTAGAGGCCTAGCTGAATAGTGATTGTCACATGAACCAGTGGCTGCTAGCAAAGCAGGAGAGGCGTGATATGAAGTGCTTCAAGCCCCTTAAGCGACCCTTTAATGCAGCTGTGTCCTCAGAACCTTTGACCTGAGAATGATTTTTTTCTATATTTGAGGGGCGGTTCGCTAATTTGTTCTGCTCTTGGCGCTAGCCGTTTGAGTGTTGCGAAAACGTTGTCCACATGAGAATCGTCCCCATTGCTGTCGCCCTGAGTGATTTTAGCTCGATTTGTAACGTCGTTATTATCGTCGCCATGATTGTTACGAGTCTGAAGGATGGAAGATTTGCGATCGTTTAACGGGAGCTCATGGGGGCCATCATTGTCAACCAATGTATTACCCATTTCCTCGTCATCTGCGGGGTGGTTCATACAGACAGGAGGACCTGGTGGGTTTGGAGCAGAAACCGACTCTACGATGGACGGCGAACCAGGATCGGATTGGATAACATGCCCCCGGTTGACTTCGCTCTGCTTTTCCGTCTGAACTAGGTCGTCTAGAAGCTCATCCCGCACGATTCCCATATCATCTTCATGCCCGGATACCCCTGGTTCCGGTAACTGTTGCTGCTGCTCCTCAAAATGGACCTTCTTGGCCGGTGATTGGGGTTGTAGGCTCTGTGTCTCGGGGCTGTTATGGTCCGATGGAGAAGTTGTGATCTCCTTTATTTGGGGCAGGGTCCCAAGCAGCTGGGAATCATTCTCTAGCGGGTCGGTGTGCTTGGGAAGGGGGGTTCTGTGCATCTGACAGTGCCCCTCTTGCGAGCGGAGAGTCGACTCTGATACCTCAGAGAGGTCCGTTCCAGACCGTGTCGGAGTCACTTTTACTCGCTTCGTACAATAGTCTGGATCTGCCAAACATAAGTTGTTGAGTTCTCTAAACTTTTCAACAATCTCCTTGCAATCAGCCCTATTCTTCGGGTCCATGCGAAGAAGCCTCTTCTTTATGAACGTGAGGATATCGAATAGAAAATCATAGCAATTTTGGTGCTCAGATAGAGTCTGAAATTCCTGGATATTAGGCAGGTCAGCATCACGAAGCACCAAAGACCAGTGTAAGACCTGATTGACTTACATCGGCGACGGAAACCTTGGCTCTTGCGCCCGTTTGCAAGTTTACAAATTTGAAGAAGACGTCCTCAGGGATTTTCCCGACGTCCTCGGGGATTTTCCCACGGTCATCTGCTGTTCGCGCCTCGGAAAACCTATCAACTTCCTCCCACCCAAGAAGATACCAAGCGACGAACTGGAGAAGAACACAGCCCAGAGTCCAGATGTCGAAGCTAGGTGAGACCATCTTGGCAACGTCGTATTCTGGGGGCCGGTAAGTTGGCGATACTGCAACAGGTCCGAAGTGAGATTTCGACCTTGTTCTATGAAACCGGGTTAAGCCGAAATCAGAAATTTTCAGCACTCCCAAGCTGGTTAGATCTGTATCCTGGTATGCCTTAAACCAGAGGATGTTTTCTGGTTTGAGATCGCCGTGTCTTCCGTGGATTTGATGACCAGATGAGTTAGATAAGCCATCCGTAGATGATCTATCTGCTGTGTGAATCATCATTAGTCCTTGCACGATTCCAAGGCATTGTCCGGAGAACCACACGGCCATATTACGATCTCGTTTAAGATGAGACGGCTGAGGGTACAATTTCCAAAAGTCTAGCAAATTGCCATCCGCCCAAGGGAAGAGAAGGTAGAATTGCTCGCGCCATTTGAACGTGACTAGAAGCTTAATGAGGTGTAGATGGTCCTTTTTGCTGACTCGCTTCAAGTTCGAAACTTCGGCCTCAAACGCCTCGTAGTTATTGAGGCGTAGGCGTTTGACGGCATAAGACGGATTATCTTTAGAAGGGGTCTGTTTTGCAATGTTAGTCAAACTCAGACTAAATACAGATACCGGATAATAAAGATAGGTTGAGGCGTACCGAGTCTCCGCAACCGTTATGATGGGCAGGATGTATCTTTACTCTCCAAACGTCACCGTAACCGCCCGCGTTCCCGCGTTTGCCTTCGTCGTCTTCTATATACGGAAGGACTATGCGGTGTTCTTCAAAATTGTAATGTTGCACTTTTTGGTTTGGTTTCGTGCTCAGATGAAAGTAAGGGGCAATAAGTTGCCATTGGTAGTTGTTGAAGGATTCGCGTTCAGATAATCTCCATTTATTAAAAAGCTGGATGGGGCGTAGTTTGCCGTCGCTTCCCTTCCTATCCAATTGACGCGAGCCCGGGTATGGCCCATTCGAGAGTATGAAGGGTAGGTCATTGTCGTGGAGGCCCTCCTGGATGAAGTTTACAATTTCCGGATATTTCTCCATCAAACCTAGGATTGCAAAGATCTTCTTCCTTGTCGTTTCCTTGTCCGGAAATTTCGACATCGAACACGACGGAACAGCCGACGGCGACGCTACTTTCCAGACATCGTCTGTCAACGAGTCTAGTTTGTCAGGCGGGACTACCTTTACGTCAAGGCGGCTAAGTTCCCACCGGACCCGGCTCCTAGTAACAATCCTGTCTAGGGCATCAATAGGCAAGTATTCCTCCTTACCTCCTGCGGCAGACTCTCGAAGGGCGGCGCGTATGGACATCCCTAAGTGATCTTCTTCCGGAGGCTGATATTCCAAATTGTCCCACTCAGCCTTATCCTGTGGGGTGCCCAGGCATTGACCACGAACATCAGCTTCCCTAAGCGCAGGGCAACCGGCCGTATCTGTAAGGCCGGCCCCAAGGTGGGCGACCAGGTCGGTTGTCGACGCTCGAGAATCGTTGCTGAACAATACATCGCTAGATGGCTGATTATCTGCTAGATACTGGGCATTGCCAAGGTCATTGACAACGGTACTATGCGATGGCGCAGAACTCTGCGGCTTTGTGTGATCAAGCAGGTCTGCTCCGGCTCCAGGAACACTCAGTTGTAGGGCGGGGTTCCAGGACACGAGGCCTGATCCCTTGCTAGACGGGCGTGGTTGGGATTCAGAAATCTGGCGCTGTCAGCTGGGTCAGGTAGGGGGCAGCTTATGCGACATGCGTTGGAGCCTTGCCTTTGACTGTCAGGCTGGGCGGCGGAGTCAAGTTCAGTTGGGCAACTTGACTTGACAGACGGGCGTGTCTGCTGCGTCTCGGACTCTGGCTCCATTTGATCAGCCAATATCCATCTAAATTCGTGCTAAGATAAGTTGGAAACCCAGTGGACCAGCGCCTACTATATCCATCAGCCATCCTACAGCAGCGGAGGGTTTAACATCGCTAGCAGTCGCAGCCCAGAGCCTTGCGGCTCTGCTCGAGCACTCCGTACGCGTGAAGTTTTAAGGCCCCCAAGCGCCACAGCGCGTGAAGGAAGGCATGACGGCCAGTGGATCAGCGGAATACACTAGGACTATCGACCGGCAAAGGTCTTGCTATTTGAGGGTTGTGGGCGAAGTCGGCAAATGCGGCAAGAATTCCTTTTCGTCCCCGAGGGATGGTTGTTCAGCTCGACAGCGACGTGACGCCGCATATCTATTCCTAGTGAAACAACTGATGGTGGGGTGTCGAGGATTGCGAATTGAACCTATCCAATTAAGCCATTACCGCCGGAGAACTTTCAATATGACCGCGATGTAGCATCGGGATTCGGCCATGCCCCATAAAGCAGAGGCACTCGAGAAGTTGTAAATTTTCAATGCTGGTATGAGCACTGGGAAGTACTGAGTTGCACTTGCACTCTGTAGGGATCCGTAATTACCGTGTAATTTGGGGCATTTGGCTCCGTTGGGATCAGATCGGTTCTCTTGCAAACCATTTATGCCGCTGACGCAAAAGGTTGTTAGGAAAGATGCAAGAAACAAAACCGCCAGTGCCCTCGACTCCCCTCAAGACTTCAAGTCCAATTGCTACTCCACGCCTAGTCACCCGCCAGACCAAACTAGCTTAAACTTCAAGGGAGTGCACAGTCCAGACTACCCGACACTTGTGTTGATCGGCCGGGGCGTGTAGTGGTTCAAGTCCGTAGCGCGAAATGGACACACACAACCGAAGCAACCAGATTAACCGGATTATCGAATATCAACAGCGACGACGTTAGTCCAGTCAAGCTTGTTGAGACACTCGATAAAAGGTTTGGGAAGGGTGGTTAAAAAGTAGAAGCTGGCCGAGATATCCTGCATTCCCCAGCCATTAGGGATTCGACCTAGCCATAGGTCCATAAGTATTCCCTTGTGACGATCACCAATGATAGGCTTTTCGTACGAGTACGCAGCTCCTTCCCACTAATATTTGGACGAATGGCCGCGACGCGCTTCCTTTGTTATATTTTCCATAACAAGGATAGGAGTAGAGGTACAGCGATATACGATACGAAATGGCGGTGTTCAGAAAGAAAGCAAAATAGCCTATATAACACACTATACACTCTTGGAGGCACTGTTCTTTTTAGTTCCAAAGTATCTTCGCTCTCTTGGTGATCTGCTGGATCCGTTCCAGTTTTCTAGATGCAGAAACAAACTTATAAGAGAAATGGCGGTGCCCTCGAGAATTGGGCACAAGCCAATACCGCGGTGATATTTGCGTAAAAAGTTGGCAACACGAGAGGAGGTCCGACTTGATATACGAAGTACCTTTGTAACGTGTAATGATTAGCTTAATCGGAGACACGCTTAGCCTGATTAGTTATAACTAGGCGAAGCCCGTGCCAAGCATGCGCGGGCCGCTGCCCGTGCCGATGCATAGACCAAGGCGCTTACTCGGGGCTTCCCGCGTCGTGCACCAGCTACTCTACGCCCAAGTAAGACGTTCTCGAGCGATATTACGAAGTTAACCCTCCCTAGACTTCACTAGAAACTCCTAAAAGCATTCTCTCGAGCACAGTCCGATTACATTCCCGAGGATACGGACTTGAGATTTGATGCTCTATTCTCAGCACGGTCCTTGCGAAAATACCAACTCCATGGACCTTGGGGATGAGGCTGTGCAGTAGCTGTTGCCTTCAAGGATGGCACGAGGGCACTGCCCAGTGGCGCCCCATTACTGCTGCATTGTCTGTCGCCCCCGAAGGCTTGCTCAAACTATTCCATTGTGCTTGTGGTCATTGGGACCGATATTCAAACCTTTCAGCAGGCCGTATCCTCAAGACCTGTACCGCTGCCTGCCTCAAGACAAGACCGACCCAGTCTCATAGTCTGGCGGCTGTACGCCCGCCCTCAACTCTATTCCTCTCTCCTCACATTTTTGCAATTCAAACGGAACACCAACATCACTGCCCACCCGCCACCAGCCACCAGCGCTTGGAACGCGCATGGCATGGGAAGCATTTCGATATATTCCCAGAAGCAGGCCATACGGTGGTTGCAAATCCCTTGCCCTTTTGCAGGCTTGTGTCTTCGGTGATCATTCTAGTGGTTGCACATCAGTTCCCGATTGTTCGGCATGCCCTTCTTTTTCGGGAGCCGGTGATTCAGCCAAAGTAGGCCAATGTAGGCCGAGTCATTAGGATTCGTAGCCTGTCGTTTCTTGACAGTATCGAGTCAGCTGGCTTTTCCCAGCTAAAGTCAAGGCATACAGTTAATTTTCGTAAGGAAATCTAACCATGAGGCACTCTACCCACAGTCGCCCCTTCCATGGATCTCACCCTCCATTAGTATATCTTGCGTATAATGTCCACGCACCTGGTTACCGTGAGATCACGACTTGGTTCCATCTAACGATACTATACGTCAGATCAGATTTCCATCATACAGTCATTCTGTTGAACTTCCTGTTTATATTACATTTCTTCAACTCATAACTACACCACGACCGTACGATTGAAACGACGCGCTTCATGTCAATCCACGCTGACGTTGCCGACGAAGGCATCATTATGGTGGAGAAGAATGAGTTGCATACCAAGTATGCTACTCCCCGGAGACTTTCTCAGGTCCTCAAGGACCTTCTCGGAGATAGTGCCGAGTTCCAAGTGGAGGTAAGGAAGATAATAAACCGAGTTTATTCTCAAAACGCAGGAGTATTCGAACTTACCATTTCCCTAGATGCGCCACAATGTCTACAACATCAAGTCCTCCAAACCCCTCGACGTAGTACGTCCCGCCCTCTCCAAGCAATAAATCATACAAAAGTGCGGAAAGCTGATCATGATCTGGTGGACTTACAGGAAATTTTGTTCAACAAATGCCAAGGACTTCACGGACGATGTTCATAGGCGTAGACTTAGAGTTCTGGCCTCTCCTAATCGAGCGGTGAGGTATACCTGACGTTCAATTGATCAGATGGTGCGCACCCGCTTCTCCTGGGAGTTACAGGAAGAGTTTAGGAAGCCTACAATGAAGTCGCCTTTACGAGCCATGGCATAGATTAAAAACCAGGTTGATCCTACTACGCTAGCCCATTTAAACTACGTACTACTTGAAGTCACGCAGCCTACTCTAAATTCTCGAATCGCTATGTTCCCCCGCCGTGTTCCCTCTACATAGCGATACGGTTTTGACGGTATTCCTGATATGGCGACAGAATGACGGCCATGTGGTGTTTCTTTTTTCTCTTGGGAGGCAACACCTTTCTTCCTTATACCATTTGTCCTAGTTCATTATTACTCTCTCTTTATTTTTCGTGGTCGACATGTATTAGCCCCTTAGGATAGAATGGGCCAGAATGGCGTATTGGGTTTGAGGAGGTTAATTTTGATTTTGTTATTTCCACAGAATCTGGAGTTATAGCTGAGTAGTTCGCATGGATAATATCCACAAGAAGCTCATATCTTCAAAAGCATAGACAGCTCAAAAATGATTCTATTGTATTAAGCCGATCAAAGCTCGGCGGCCCCTCCAATTTAGGCGTACTTGTACGCAAGCGCAAACTCGAGATTTCTTTTTGAGTCCACAACCAAATGCGCCCTTGGATCCTGAGAAAGTGGATGCGGCCCTGAAAATATTATTAGCTTCACATCCTCGAAATTTTCAGCCCTCAAATTGAATCGCAACAGATAGCCCCGACACCAGCCAGCCGCAGCCGGAAATTGCCATTCGGTCCAATGCGGAGGCTGATGAAGCGATAACTCCTCATAGCTTCAGATATGAACCGCCGCTAACCTCATACATGAGAGTCAGACCCCCATTTAATTTGGTGTTTAGTGGCTTGATTGGGACAACATGTAATATTCATGCGTGCCCCTGAAACATCAGGCTTTCTTCTTGGGCTTTCTAGCTAAGCAGCGACATGTGCCTAGCTTAGTGCTGTGCGAGCTTGCCTTGTATCTAGGTAGGTGATGTGATAATAACAGCACAGAGCCTTATGCCATTTCACTAGTTGGACAATGTCATAGCCCGAACCTGCCAATATCGCTCAAATGCCATTCACAACGTCAGAATTTGGGTGCGGTACCTAAATAGGTATGTCTATTCGTGTTTGTATTCACGGTGCCCCTGTCGGTGGTAATCGACGCAAAAATGCAAGAGGTGTTCGCTAGATTAGCGGTGTAAGTAAATCCTCGACGCTCCTCGCAGCTTCGGAGCTAACTGGCAAAAGATATGCAGCAGGGTTTGTTACATTTCTCGGCAGCATCAATAATCTAACGGGCAGCTACTCGGCATGATATGGGATCTACGAGTGGTCGGTGCCAGGTTGCTTTCCTTAACATAGAAACATGGCAGGGGGAGTGGGGAGTGGGGAGTGGGGAGTGGGGAGTGGGAGCCGGCCAGAAAATCCCTTGATGAGTCTGCACCCAGATATAGGTGGCACTTGCTTCTATACCTCAGGATGTGGAGGGGTATAAAGCCAATTGTAAATAAAGTTATATCACTTGAGAATTTTCTATTTTGATATGCTTGCTATCAGGTTAACTGCTAACCACTACGTACAAGTTAACCAACCTCATCCCACTTGTAAACTATACTCAGAGAAAGGTTGAAAGGGTCAAGGACTAAGCCAGTCGCTCCTTTGGAGCATCAGCACTCTCGGCTAGCAGAGAACCGGTTGCTTTTTTACTAGTTTATTCAGTTTGAACTGATGTGATTGTAAGCTCTTTTGTTCTCGGTTATCGATGTGCTTTGGTGAGACAGATGACTTACTGGGTATGGAAAGAGGTGTTTTTGATTCGTAGAGGGTGATGCACAAAAGGTCAGCGTGCAAAGGGAGAAATACTAATCTCGAGTTGGTAAAGTGAATTGTACAGAGGCACAAGTATGTGCATCAGAAGTTGTTAGAATATGTGGAACATTCGGGTTTTACTACCTTTTGTCTGAGTCACAGTACTACACCACACACATTTAATTACAAAACAAGGCTTCCACCTTGATTAATTAGACTAAGATTATACCATCCTTCATATTAGGGCTGTTTGATCCTCACAGGTGGGTTTTCGAGATCTAGACGGACGATATACAACGAAATACCACCAAGACCCGATTGTCAGGAAGGTAAAGAAAACAGTGACAACCACATATATCCAGACATATCTTGATACAACCGCACCATCCGAGCCCAACCAGTTAAAAAATGTCATCGAAAACACGGTCTAGGGATAAATACATGTCAGTGACGAGTCCATCCAAGTGTAGAAGGGGTTTTACCGCAAAGAAAGTGCCCGGAAGGAAGACCATTGTGACAAGAGCAATAGATCTCATGTGCTTGGATTCCCGGCCCGTCGCTAATGCAATTTCAACGGTCGTTTCACCTTGAGCCTAATCAAGTTAGTTTCTGGTGAAGCTCAGCGTTACCAAGAGGTCGTACCCATTGGGTTGCCATGGCCATCCCGTCGACTCTCATAGTACAATCCCGGATCTTGTCATCGTATTCGTCACTGATCCCCTGAATTCGATATTTGATCTTGTCTCCAACCCATCGCATATGCTCCTTGTCAACTTCACGACGCTGCTGGGCTATCAAGTTTCCATGCACTTGGGGAGGTCCTTGAAATTCTTTCCCGCTACCCATTCCCTGAGTATGTTCTCCATGGATTCCTGGTTGCTTCTCAACCAGTCCGTCTCCGGCAGGATTAATTGATCCATCGCACGAAAAGTCCGATACCTCAGAATGCTTGGACAATAGCGATCCGCTAGCCTTGAAATCTCTTAAGCTGCTTGACACTTCACATATACCGTCACTAGTTCCAAAGCTCGTACGTGCAACTACTCGATCAGATTTAGTAAGTTTGAACACTGTGGTCTTGAGTTCGTCCGCATGATTGCTCATCTTAACTAGCTGGGTGTTCCAACTTATCAGTCCGTTTCTGAGGTATGTCGTGTCTAGCCACGCAGATCTCTTCTCCTGATTTCGCCTTTCTACCTCGGAATCCAGCATACCTTCTCTGTCCGACTGGATGTCCAGCTCTAGTATCTTGGTCTCCAGCTCGTCAATCGTGGCTTCTACGACATGCACGTGTCTAGACCTTTCGAGTTCTGCGAATATCCCCGGCATAAGAAGGGGATGGGCAGCTTCGGCCGTAGCAAAAGTCAAGCGCTTCACAATCTCCTCTTCCACCGACAATGGGCATCCAAACAAAATAGCAAAGGTCAAGCCGCAATGAGGGAAGTACGTAGCGGTCAGCGCGAGATCCATCTCCCATGCATTACTACTGCGGCAATTGTACACTATTTAGAAAGTTAGACATATGGCTAGTTCTGTCGACTGTCACAAGAGCCCACCATAGGCAGGATATGCTTGCCGATCGGGTCCCCCCATCTCGATTGCTGCACTAGAAAATACCGGAATATCCGCACGGCTTATGTCCCGAGCTATCGAACTATGGGTGTAGAATTTCTTGGTGATAAGTCGGAATATGTGTTTTGAGAATGGCAATGTCCGGACACTCTTTCGGCTACTCATATTCGCACTCCCTATGCTTGGGTGCGCTGTTCGAACTTTCTCAGCTAATGACGCAAATGTCAGAGTCCTCTGCGTAGTGGGCCGCCCTGGCATCTCTGCGTTGATGCGGTCAAGCCAGTCATCAGAGTGGACTTTCTTCATGCTTCCGAACAACGGTTCTCCGGTGCGTTTGGCCAAACTTTACACACCAGGTTAGTTTTGCCAGATCGATTTAAGAGGGAGAATTCTTTACATCAGTACCAGGCCGGATACCGACCCATTGATATCCGGACGTTCCTGTGAAGAGGTCAGTTACACCCGTTTCTCCGATGCCCCATTTCGAGGACAAGGCCGTCATCCTTGCCTTATCAATCCAATTATCCCATTCTTGTTCCCCCTCTAATGACCAAATCTCGGGTTTCTATGAGTGTTAAGCACTGATATCCCCTCGAGGGCGTCTGGAGACTGCACCTTCTCGCCCCCAAGCATCCGTACGACCGACACAGGTTTCTCCTCATACCTGAAGACAGTATCCAGATCTTTGTCACTTAATCCCGCGTTATCGCGGGCCCAATCCATAATTGACTGCAAAGGACGCGTTCAGATATAATGTGGCTGCGGTTCCGACCTCTTCGCGATAGCTTCGAACAAGATGTTGTCGCGACGTGGCGCAGTCTACTACGAGTACGTACATAAATGTCGAACAACACGGCCTGGTTCTGCAGGTTACAAGAAACCCTCACCAGTGAGTGAGGTTCCACTACGTGGCGCAATTGCTTACCGGGCGCAAAAAAGATGCCCCATAGAGTACGACGTACATAACACCATGCCACCATCAGCTATCAGCTATCATAATATCGCCTTGCTTTCCGCCTATCAATATGCCCGAATACTTCGTACGACGCCACCGAATGCTACTCAGCACCGTGGCACGCTACACTCTCGCAAATGGTGACAACAAAAAATTTGCCAATCGTGAAATATTTCATGTAACATTGTGGCAATGAGTACTCGAGTGCCTGCTCAGGTCTCATTCGCATATACCTAGATGTTATATTCAACATCTCAACATCTCAACTACAATACCTCCATCTTTTGCTCTTAAGAAAGTCTTGCGTTCGTCGACCACTTGCGTGATGGCGATCGCTATCGTCCGAGCCACGTACACAGAACAGAACGCTCTAGAGATATTCTTTACAGAGCTCTTTGGCCGGGGCCAGTCACAGGTCGTGGTAAGGAGGCACTGATGCGTTCTTAAACATATACTTATTAACGAAGTTTTATTAGTGGAAACGTGGTAGATACCAATGTACAGTTCCTCGGCCTCTGAAACTGGTACGTTAGGGGGCATTGTAGCCATCATTTTGATAGTCGCTGACCGATTCGGGTAAAGCAAGAAATCGAGGCGCTCCATCAGACAGTCCAAGTTCAGCACTACGAATAAGCATGATGGATGTCGCATCTGCCACTCGCACCCAGTCGCGGATACAAGTTGTGGGAGGACGGTTTTGAATTTCGGTGGCTGAGGGAATTCTAATGGTTACCTTCCTGTAGCCGAGGATTCCGCGACAGCACTCGACGGAAACACAGAAGGGGGATTATATCTCGAAAGCTACATCAATTGTGACATTCCAGCCATTTTGGCCCATAAATCCTGATATGCTATGCACATCCCAATTTTGATCTCCACCATCCCATCGACGATGAAGCAATCACCTCCGGGCGTCTTCCCTTCTCTGTGCCCGTCCGCCCCGCTAGAAGCTTATTCCTTCACAAAATGAGGCTCTCCCCTGCCAACCTGGCCCTTCGAGGCGTTCTACAGCCTTGAGATATCAGCCCGAGCGCCACGACCCCAGGGCTTGATGGTATGCGGTCTCACGGGGTCAGATATTGCCTCAGCCTTGCTGCAGCGGCCAGTGCCGCTAAATGAAATAGCCAACGAGTGGATGAATTTATTTACACCCCTGGCTAAGTGCCCTATAGTAGATACTCGGTATTGCTTTTGCTACCCAGTTACAGAAAATGGCACTACACCATTACAGACCAAGGGGTAACATTTTCTCAAGTTTGAGGACATCTCCAGAGACACAATCGTCAAATTGAGGCCTCGAGCCTTGAAAGCCTAATCAAGGCGGACACGCAGAAGCTCAACTACCTGCCATAGTCTAATTAGGCAGATAAATGGGATAAATAGCATGAATAACTTGAATTATTCATGGCTTTAGGGAGGGGGGGTAAGGCCTCACTTAATAAGACATGCCTCGCTCCAGGCAAGGCTTTTTGCCTACCTAGCCGTTGCCACTTCAAAAGTCTACAGTTCCTTGCGGGCATTTCTCTACGGCCCAAGTCAGGACCCCTATTGTCAATCCATTTGCTTCCCTGAATTGTGTTGATTGTACACTATACCAGCCTACTTTAGGCGCCCTCTCACCCGAAAATTTTCATTACATGGACGAGTCTCCGGCAAGCCAAAACGGGGTTCCCCATCCACCACAGATCTTTATCAATGAACAGCCATACCGAAGCTCCACATTTCTAATGAATAGCCCCAATAATGGCCTGCCCATAATTGAGGAAGGTGACGAGGCTCCACTGGATGAATTGCTTCGAAAGTACGAGATCGAGGGCGCAGATGATCCTAATGCCGGTTTCTGGACCCTTAAGCTATTACATCACATCCTATCAGAAGACCGAATCTTAGCCGAACTGAAGACTTACAAACTGGGGAATGCCGAGACTTACCTCAAGTCTATTCGACCACCAGCCAACCAGCATATAGGACCAACTACCCAGACATACCTCGTGACCTTTGCTCTTTTGGTTTTACTTGAGCGAGGAGACGAGATTGGCAAATTCATCCAGGACAAAGTATCCGATCAAAATCTGCCTCTTATTCGTCATGAGGCTACGATCAAAGGAAAAGTAAACCTCTGTCACAAAACTCTTCCTAATCATCCATTAGTGTGCTTTCAAGGATGGAAGACTCACGAGAAGGAGGCATTTGAGAGAAATCAGTGGCGGCTCCTGGTCCCATACTTTGATCTCGACGGCAACTTTAAGGCAAAGCACTCCACCTTCGATGATAGAACTATTCTACCGAGGTGTAAAAGGGGTGAACATTCGCCTTCTTCTTCTTCGCATCCATCACAGGGGGAAGGGGGCTACGCAGTTGTGTCCTGCATCAAAATTCACCCGTCCTGTCATGGGTTTGATGACGTCCTTCTTAAGGTAAGCCAATGCCTTTAATTGAGAAGAGAGCCGTAAGCAGAGTAGAGCTCATATAATATTTGCAGATTTGCGTAAAAGGTGATCTTTTTGCCTTAAAGATGCTTCATGACACGGATTTCAATAGCGACAAGCAATTCCAAAACGAAATACAGCAGTTGCAACGATTTAACGGTTTGCTACATGCCCACTTCGTAACTCTTTTGGCTACCTTTACCTTCCGGAGAAACCGCTACTTCCTTTTCCCGTGGGCAGACGGTACTCTTGAGCAATACTGGGCAACACATAAGCCAAAACCCGAATTAAACATCCGCACAGCTCGGTGGGTTTCTAAGCAGTGCTTAGGTATTATGACCGCAATAGATATTATCCATAATCCAAATCACCTACAGAATCTAGATGTACAGAGATACGGTAGACACGGCGATATTAAACCGGATAATATCCTATGGTTCTGTTCTTCTAACGATCCGATGGGAATTCTTGTTATATCCGACCTGGGGTTATCATCCTTAAATCGCGACACCAGCCGATCGAACATTCCAAATTTCAAGATTCCCGCAGTCCCTGGTTACCGACCACCAGAGTGTGATGTCGAAGGCGGAACAATTTCTCGAGCTTATGATATATGGACCCTGGGCTGCCTCTTTTTGGAGCTACTTACCTGGCTGCTGGGCGGTTCGGAACTCGTAGATAAATTTGAGGAGGAGCGAAAATCGGAATACATTACAGGATCGATAAACAACATATTCTTCGACCTTAAGAAAATCAATGGGCGGGCCGGCTATGTCGCGCAGGTCAAGACTCAAGTGACAGAGGTTAGTTCGCAGAAGGCATCAGGGATATCATGGCTACTCGTATAGTGACTGATACCTTTACAGTGGTTCAACAAAATGCGCCTTCATGAAAAGTGTCCCAAATTTATTCACGATGTTCTCGATGTTATCGAAAACCAGATGCTCATTGTCCTATCCCAAGATCGGAAAAGAGCCTTGTCTTGGGAACTAAAGGAGAGGTTCGAACAGATTCACTTGAAATGCATGGACGACAGCGACCAAGGCTATTGTATCAGGGGCGTTCCTATCCAGCGTGATGCCAGATCCGCATCCGTGGTTGAAGCTAATTTGAACGATATTGCTAAACTGACAATATCTGAACATCGACCAGACTTGCCAACCCACGATATAGCTCGCGACGGAGAGGCGAGGAAATCAATGCTACCAGAGGATTTGAAGAATATGGATAAGATCTTAAGTAAATTGTAGTACGATTTAGGCTGGAAGTCATTTAGTCCCGTTTAGGTCGGAGAAATAAGGGAGTAGGGAAGTGTTTCTAAATAAAATTAAAAATTCAATTAATTACCTAAGAAGTTAAGTTTGATTCGAGAAACACCCTAATCTACCTCGTTTCGATTTTAATTTCTAGTATTGATCGCCGAGACAAGGTGGTGGACTCGTGGCTCATATATCGCAGGTAGATATTAGGTTATTATTAAATGATCCGAATAGCGGGTTCATCCAGATAACGCGGGTAAGAACGGCATATTGCAGCGGAGTATTAGTGATGCTTAGACTACACATCACTTGAAGTCTAGTCCACATTAGGAAACCACCACAGAGATATACAGTCGATTTTATCAGCTTTGGACAACTGTCTCGACAAGATGGAATAAGATCTTCACCAATCAATATGGGTTATAGATGCACCATGTAGGGAAGGTGGGATCAATTAACATATGGAAGTGATGTAGAAACCCGGTTCTTGAGGTTGAGAAAAAGGAACGCAATTTTTGGCCGGTGCCATTGAGGTGGAGGAACCACATGTTGATCTTGCATCTGATATAATTGATAAAACCCAGCCATCGCTTCTCTACCTGCTAAATTGAAGAGCGATCAATGTAATCCGTCTTCATCAGGGACATCTTCGACTTTGTAATCGATCAGCGGATTGACTATCATAGATAGCTATCTCCAACAGCCGGGATAGACAGAAGCCGAGGGGGCAGTCCCATTCTAAAAAGAAAAGTAAACATAGAACGTAAATATACACAACAGCGCCTTTAAAGTTCCCAGTACCGCGCTGAGGAAAATACTCCCTCTCCCACCCTAAATATTTGCAGAATAAGACTTTCTCAAAAGCTTGAACAGGTGCAGTGCCCCTGCTCACTCAGAGTCGTCCTCACCAGTCTCCTCATTCTCATTGGCACCCTCGTTATTCCCTGGGGCGGCTGTTGCAGTTGCTCCCGAATCAGTTGCAGTTGCTTCTGTGGCAGTCGCAGTCGCAGTGGCTCCCGAATCAGTTGCAGCTGCTTCTGTGGCAGTCGCAGTCGCTTCCGAATCAGTTGCAGTGGCTCCCGAATCAGTTCCAGTGGCTTCCGAATCAGTCCCAGTTGCTTCCGTGGCAGTATCAGCTGGTTTGGTAGCATTAACAGTGGGAATAGCCTCAGTAGTCGCTGTAGGTTCAATAGGTATCACTGTCTGGGTACCAATCGACGGCTTTACAGTTCCCACGGGAATAGTTGGCTTCCCATGATGGGTTGGCTTCCCATGATGGGTTGGCTTCCCGTGATGGGTTGGATGAACACCACCACACCCTCCCTTCTTTGTTTTGTGAGCATGGCCAGTCCTTGTCCTTTTTGGGCCACAATGTCTCGCAGTACCCGAACCTGTGCACTTAAATCTAGGTCTCTCGTTGTTTGGTAACGGAACCGAAACCCCGCGTCTTGCATGAGTGTCCGTGGACTCGCCTCCTAGTGCAGTCATCCGTGGCTCTGCGGATGATGTTGTCGTGCCATTATGTTCGGCTGTACATCCGATGGAGTGAAATCCCTTCTTTCTAGTGTGTGTTTGAAAGCCGCTATTTGATGTGTGGCCGTGGGGGTGGGGGCTTCCATCGTGTTGAGCATCTTGAGCAACTTGGGCAATTGGTGTGCCGGCAACTGGAGGCACACCAATGGTTATCACAGGGTT